TCTCTTGGGGCAAAGGAGGGGAGGGGGACCTTGTTATTTTACTTGGAGAGGTTTGGAGAGGTTTGGAAATTGGTGATGGGGTGGGCATGGGATTGGGAGGTGGGAGGTGAGGAGATGGGAAGGGGAAGGGAAGGGGAAGGGGTTGTTTGTTGTAAGGAGGGGGAGGAGGTATTAGTTAAGTACAGTTAGTATGTACCTATATGTTAAAAGAATTGGGGAGTGATACGGAGTATTTTGAGCCGTTTTTTTTGTGGGGGAGAGGGGGAGAGGGGGTGAGGGGATAAAGGGGGCTGGTTTATGGTTTTTGTTGTTTGTAATTGGGTTTGGAGGGTTTTGTGTGGATTGGTTGGTTAGTTGGTATGTCCTTGTCTGTTCTGTTCTGTTCTGTTCTGTTCTGTTCTATGGGGGGAAGAGGGGGGTTCTGTGATGGTTTATACTTGGTGGGTGTATAGGTGTTGGATTAGTGGTGTGGAATTAGAGTGGGAGGGGATATTGGGGTATGGAGGGGGGGATGTGTTGATGCGGTACTTGGGATTTAGGGAATAAGTAAGATGTATCCTGGAGATGATTTAAAGGATGGTGAGGGATAATAATGGGTATATTGTTCGCAGGTAGGATATCGATAATGTGAGAGGGGTCTAATTTTTACAGCGTAGGAATAGAAAGATATACTCTTAAGTAGTATTAAAGCGTCTGGTCTACTTTTGTATTAGCGTTCGATATGGTACCTAGAATACAATCTATAGAATATATAGAATTTCGTTCTATATAAAACGTTCTATATAAAACGTTCTAGATCTCCTTTAGAATAAAATAATAAAGTATTCTAGGAAATATATATTATTTGTCTAATATAAGACTTTAATTTGGAAGTACAATTAGAAGACGAGGGCATAATGTGAGAAAGGATAAGCGAATAGAGAGAGAAGCTAGCTAAGGGGCGAGTAGGGGGCGTCTTAAATAAGATAACCTTAACCGAGTAAAAGCGTTTTGTATACTAGGTAACTAAGATAATAGCTAGGTAATAAAGATAGAAGTCTTGTATTATAATAAGTATTACTATAAAATCGAAAGATAATAGCCTAGCGTTACTAATCCCTCGTTAAACAAGACTCTTAATAAGTAATTATCTAATATCTAAAATTATAAAAGTATACTATCTAATTTAAATTAGTAGCTTTTTCCGATATTTAAATATAACTCTAAATCTAAGTCTGAAAGAGTATTCCGGCTAGTTTCAATTCCATATACCGGTATCTATATATATATATCTATACTACAATTAAAGTAATGTAATATATCTTATATATCCTAAACAAACGAAATATCGTAGGAGGGGTGTCCTCATGTACTAAAGTCCTTCGAGATCCTAAGCATACTTATCTCGTCGTTCCTTCTCCTATTATTCCTTCCTCCCTTGATCCTTGTCCTGTGCCATAAAAAACATAGCGCGATATACCTCCGCACCGAGTTTTTTCAGGTCCTTTTCATGCTCTTTCTTTGTAGCAGGTGGAGGTATTAGTTCGTCTGGCTTGGCATTTCCGTATGTAATCTAGGAGACGAGTTTTCGGGTAGAAGCATGGAGTTCTTTTGCGATTCCTAGGTTACGTGATATTGCCGCTTTTAAACGGAATGCGATGAGAATGACTTTTGGGTCGTTCCAAGGCTGACAGCCCCGGCGCCCCGCATATTGGCTAAGCGAGAAAAAGGGGGAGGTGTCTGTTGTATGATATCTACTGGCTTGGTTCGTTCTATGAAGGTAGATTTCGGTCGGTTTTTCTGCTGGTTTGTGGGGCAAGTTGAGGCTGTTGGTAAGTACGGAAATAAGTCGGTTTTTTGGCTGTTAGGTTTAATGTAGGGATTAATTCGAAACAGGGTACAGAGAAGGGGAATCGGGTTTGCGATAGAAGGTGGTTAGTTGCCTGGCAGTCTTCTGTTTTGTCCCTTTGACAAGTACTAAATAAGCCAGATCTTAACGCACTGATACTAGATAATGTATCATAGCTCCCTTCGCTCCTAGAGGAAATATAGGGGTAATACGAAAGCTTTCTAAGAACTTTATCGAGCTTATAGTACAAGTGAGTGTATGGTTAGAAGTTATTCGGAATACTAATATAAGTAGGTTATGTATTCTAATAGGTCTCGCTTAATTTTCATTAACCTGGACCCTAGGGAGAATAAGTAATAGAAGGAAATTCTATGTATCTATTAATATCGATTTAGACTATAATATAAATAGGTTCTTGCCTAAATAAACTCGTAGACTTTCTTTCTATAAAAACTCTATAACAAGAGGATAACCTAGAAACTAAATATCTCTGTAGTTGTGGTATCACCATGTATAACCAAGTATCCATGAGTAGTACCCTGATGGGTCTCGCTTAATTCTGACTGAACAAAGGAACAATGAAAAAAGGGAATGCTATCCCTTACTCAGTAACAAACACACTATTGGTTGGCAGAACGTCCTAATTGGGTTTGACCTTAGTGTTCTCACTAATCAACCCTTTTAGAATGAACTTAGACTACAAAATTAAAAGATTCTTAGCTACATAAACTCCCAGACGGTGTTCCACTAAAAACTCCTTAACAGAACAAAACCACACATGACTTATACATTTCTGCAATGGCGTTATAAACAAGAGTCCAAGAACAAGTACCCTGATTGGGTATTCACTTTATTTTTGGTGAACGGAGAAATGAGTGAGAGAATAAAATGCTAGATATCTATTAAACCTATCTCAGACTATGATGCAAAAGGATTCTTGACCAAATAAACCCGTAAACCATATATCTCTAAAAACTCCTAGAAAAAAAGACAACCCATCGATTACATCTCATAAACCAAGACCTTCACCGCGGATAGATCTGCTCATTTCATACACATTACAACAACCTCGCACTCCCCTTACTAGACGGCCTTACCTCATACTCCCTCCCCCCAAGCCCCGACAAACTCCCACTCCCCCCAATCCTCCCACTCCCAAGCCTGACTTCCTCCCCAGTCCCCACCGAAACCACGCTCTCAATCTCACTCCTCCTCAAAGCCGAACCATCACTCCACCTATCACCCGCTCTCCCCACACCAGCACCTGGTGTATCCCACCTGTAGCCCCCTGCAAGAATCATACTATCAATCTGGCGACTGTTCCTCCCACCTTCCCTCAGACTCGGAGTCGGCAGCGGAGTCGGCGTCGTAGGGAGCGAGAAGTTCCTCGCCGGCCCGCAGGAGATCTGGCACGACGATTGGCCGTTGCTAGAGGAGAAGTTGCGTTCCGGGGGTGAGGGTGTCAGGTCCGAGGTTGAGGGTGTCGAGGTGATTTTGAAGGTTTGGTGGATGTGGATGTTGAAGTTGGAGCGGTTTCTTTTGTGAATGGGGGTGGAGGGGTTTGGTGATGGGGAGTCTTGGGTAGAAGCGGGTAAGTGTGATGAGGCAGGGGGGGNTGTTGAAGTTGGAGCGGTTTCTTTTGTGAATGGGGGTGGAGGGGTTTGGTGATGGGGAGTCTTGGGTAGAAGCGGGTAAGTGTGATGAGGCAGGGGGGGAGCGGGCGGATAGTGACCCGACCTTTGTTGATGTGGAGGCCGGGGAGGAGGATGTAAGGAAGGGATCACTTTTAAAAGATGTCGGAGTGAAGCTTGCGCGTTGCTCTTTGAAGACACTCCCCCTCCTCCCCTTTTCGTCTCCGTCCTCCCAATCTTCTAGTCCTGCATTTGAGAATCTGAAATGGGGGTTCGATAATAGGGGATCGGGCATGGGGATTGAGGGTGGCATATTTCGAATCTCAACTTTGGTGTCGTATCTTTTGCCTCCTCGATAGGGCGATGAATTTGAGGACGTGGTCGAGTTTCGTGACGATGCTCGGATGTAATTGAACCAGCGCGAGCGGACGAGAACACTGCTTCGTGGGGTGGCCAAGAGAGAATCGTGGCTATTGGAGAAGAAGGCTCGGAAGAGGGGACGGAAGGTGGCGCCTGCAATGGCTATTATTCCGAGTCCTGGCTCGATTACAGAGCAGATCGCTATTTAAGTTAGTCTTATCGCTACAGGAAGGAAGATGGAAGAGCAAAAGGAACATGTGAAGGCTAGATGAAGCATACCAACGTCTCTATGAGGATGTTAGCAAGTTATGAGTTCGAAGAGGACAAGGAGAGAACGTACGCATTCTTGTAAAGCCAGTCATCCGTAATAGCCAGATCTTTAATCATGGGAATTCTAACTATGGCAGTAATTCCAGCTCTGTTCCCTCATCAGCATCAAGTTCCTCAAATCAAGATATATCTTGGCCGGGTTGAGAGCCACCATTTCTTCAAGCAGAAGAAGTGTAAACAGGTGAAAGGGAAGATGAAAACTTACAATAATCCCAAAGAAAGCAAGCTAGCAATCGAAACTTTCATTCGCTTATTCATCTGCAATCCATACAGAACATGAATAGGCAAGAGACCCATTATCCAATCGGCCACGAAAGCCACAACACTCTGCGCAATACTCGCACTAGGTATCATTTTACTTCCTGTACAATGTCCCTTCATTCCCGCATATTGGCCCCAGAAATATGAAATAGGTTTACACTGGAAGATCACCAGGAAAAAGAAGAAAATACTGAATATGGTGTAGGCTCCGGTGGTGATATAGATGATCCATCGATGTAGAGCCCTGTTCGATAGACGAAGGAGGAACACAGCTACCGTTAGACGAACCAAAAGGGTGGTGATGGTGTAGAATACTTCACCAAGCCACCAGAGACGTAGGGCGATGGGGATATTGGTGAGGGGAATGTCGAGGGTGTGCCGGCCGTTCCCGTATGTTATAGAGATAAAACAACTTGCGCATAGTACTATATAAAATGCCTATTGGTGCTCATTAGTTTTGCCATTCTTCCCATGAAACCCTGCGAAGTTCTGAAGGGAACTTACAAGAGAGACTATGAGAAGAACATCATCTTTGCCCCAGCCCTTTGTCAAGAAAGTCTTGACGTATAATCTAAGGAAGGTAAAGATAATCGCAAGTGCCATGAAAACACTGACAACACCAGCTGGAAAATGAAATTAGAAGAGGGCTTTTAGAGACAGAGTTGAGAGGACGAACCGAAGACGGGACCCTTATTCTGCTCTTTGTTTGATGTAAACATTTTGGAGGATGAGATTACAGGAACAGAAGCTCGACTAAGTTTTCAGCTAATCTGGAAGTGCTGGTACCAGATAAGCTACGCGAAGAGAAGGAACGACAGGTCTCGAAACCGAAAGAAAAGAAAAGATTAAGTCGAGGGGAAATCCGAGATGTTTATCAAAGAGATCCTAACAATCAATAGCGCGCTAAAATGTAGTTCATGTACTAACTCGGTCCGTTGTGCGTCGGAGGTAGCTACCACCGCTTGAGGCAGTTCGAAGCTACAGCCGCAACCCATAATTCTCGTGGTTCCTTCAGCAACGCTAGAATTTGAGTTTGGACTAGATGGTAGAATATCCGGGTCTGGATCTCATCAGCTATCCCTAAATATGGACACTACAGGCTTGTCATCTGACTACTCAAGACTCTTGCTGGAGTAGTCCATCAATGATAGCAGCAGGGTGGCGCAGAGAGTAATTTATTGATTGATTGCTAATTAGAGATATCGAAGTCAATCAAACTCCGTATAAGAAATTACCAACATCCGCTTTTGAAAATTTTGGGTAAGAAAGAAAAAGGAGGACAAGAATGAGATGAAGTGACAAATGAATCTAGAAGCCTGTTCTTCCACTAAAAGCTTTTTCGAGAAAAACCAAAACAACAAACAAATACAACTCTCTCTCTCGGAACAAGAAAAGGTACCTGTGAAGTCTAGCCAAGCAATGAGAACGCCCAAATGGAGAGGTCCGGTGGCCAAAAATCTGTCATCAAAGCATCAAGGCCAACGGCGCAGAACTACCAGTCCAGTAACTCTATTGCCGGATCTAAGACAAGACCGAGACTAGAGGTGATCGTGATACTGCACAGACAATCAAGATGAGCTACTTGAGTAAACAAATAAAAAAGATCTGAGATGGGGAGTCCAGACTCGAATGGAGATGTCAGCTTATGTCTTGGTGTATTCAGACTCAATCTGGTTGATTATTACCTAGATCTGGGAACCAGTACAGTGGCGTGACTGAAGGAACTATGAGAAAATGTTTGAGAGAAAGCAAACAGATAGTTTAGCAAGAATGCATATGCTGCAGAGCATTCGGATCTCAGAAATGAGGTGCCGTACCCTTCACTTGGAAAATTCTCCGAGATGTGTGAAAATTAGGAGGGGGAGGGGGTACGACTGGATAATAAATGCGCCGTCTAGGACTCGCGAAACCACCCATCGGCATTTGGTGACTTTTCGATCCGAGATTCATCCGAGTGCTGCTGCAGCACATGCCGAATTTCCGGTACCACAGACAGACGTATCACTTTATTCTGTAAAAGGAGGTCTGTGGTGTGATGCTGTTGAGATTCATCAACCTGGAAGCGGGGCTCAGCAGGTGCCCCGAGACCCGCTGCCGATCTCCGAGCTCGGCTAAGATGATCAGCACTAGGATTAACGATATCACGAGAAAGGGGAATCGATTAGATGGTACTGTAGCAAACTTGCTCAGGCCATATCTGGCATAAAACATAGGCACTTAGCTGTGTTCACCCTACTGTATAAAACAACAAAAATTTACATCCCCGAACTCTAAGTTTTAACCCTAACCCTAACTTCAGCCCAACCCTAACTAGGGCCCTAAGTTTCTACCTTTAATTCCTCACCCTAACTCCAAAGAAAAAGTGGGTGTTGTAGTCTATTTCTTATAGATGTGGAGGTACTATATGGGGCGTTTTGTTATGGTTAGTGCGTGGGCTTACAGTATAAATTTACATGTATTATTGATACCAAGTTGGCTACCATTTAATCAATTCCAAAGACAGGGGAAGGAGCTGGGGAGATACTTTACTAACTTAGAGAGTTATTTAATTGCCTGTTCGATCTAAGATCCTGCTACTATTCCAGCTAATACCCCGCACTCGAAGTATAAAGTCACTACTCACAATCAATATTACCTTTTCGAGGCCATCGACTACGTTCAAAAAGAAGTTTTGGATCTGAATTTGATACTGGTAAGGAAGGTAGAAAGTTATCATATGATATTGGTTATCAAGTGAATCATGTGTAAAACTGATACCGTCAGTTCTTCCATGATTCGTTACGTTTCTTCACGCCTCATTGTTCTTCGAAGGAGATCCCTGTACTCCAGGAGGGATGCTGAATATCTTGACTCCAGACCATTCATTACTAATATTACTAAAGGAAGGCATCACCAGTGGGTGACAGAATTCGTGGGACAGCACAACTTCTAAATTACGTAATCAAGAACAATAAAAATGACTACTATTCAAACTTTTATTACCACTTCGCAGTCTTTATAGGCTTCCCACTCGTTTTAACTAGTAATTTACATCGCCGAGGCATATCCGCTTTACGGGCACGAACTTCCTCCATTGTAATCTTACTCCATTCGTCCTGAACCACCTCCTTAAGCTCCGCAATTGTATTCCATACTCTCCGACGTATTCTTTGCTTAAGAATATTCCAAAGAGCCTCTATAGGGTTGAGATCTGGGGACTGGGGAGGGTGGACAAGGTTCGTGATCCAATTAGCCCTTTTGAGTACTGATGCAAGGCTATCTGGGTTCTGTATACCATGAGACTTGTCCCCATCTTCCTGAAGAAGCCAACTACTGTTTATACATTCCTCTGTAATCCTTAGGTGTTGAATTGCGTCAATATAAAAAGGAAGAAGGCGTTCTACGTAATAGAGGCCGGTCATGGAGTTCCCTTTTGGCTTAACCTCTTTATCGTGTGCCTCGCATTCAGCCTCCCACTTTAGTATTAACTCTGCATATTCCTCGTCTGTACAGTACTTGGTTTTGCGAGGCTTCCTAGGCTTCCTAGCTTTAATAACTTCATCCTCTTCGTCGTGGTAGAACTGGAGTTTCTCGCATTTGGCATACCAATTACACCACCCTGCGATGTGTAGCCGTACGCCCCGTTTCTCCCCCCTTTCCTGTATATATTCGGGCTTATAACGCTTCCCTTGCTCACGGAGGTAGAAGTCTTGAACGTTAGAGGTAGGATCAATATGTGCCTCGTCTGTCCAGAGAACCCTACGCCAATGGTTCTCAACTGTCTTGTACTGCCACTTCCTCCCGTATTCTGTCCGTTTCTGCCGGTTTGTATTCGAGGTTTTCTTCTTTACGTACGCAGCCTTATAGCGACGGGCCTTGTTTGTATGCCTGAGCAAAGCGCGCTGTAGAGTGCGGGCGGAACCCTTGATCTTGTGGTATTTCATTTGAGCTTCGTAGTGCTGGTTTTGGACGGGGTTTTTGGCTGGGTTGACAAGGAGTAAACAACTCTCTTTTGAGATAAGACGACGCCTCCCAAGTATATTTGACCTCTTCCGCGTCCGCCGGTATGCTGCAGACCCTATTTGAGTACGCTCTTTGAGCCATCGTGATGCCGTAGACCTGGTTACTCCCAAATCTGCCCCAATAGCCTTATGTGTTTCTGCGCCGTGCCGGGCGTCCCAGGCCTCGTAAAACCGGGTCTTTTTGGTAGTAGTAGCTTCGCGGTGGTGTATTTGACGATCTGGCGTGTCCTCTCTACTGTGAGTAGGCGTGTTAGTGTCCATTTGGACGGTTTAAAGAGTATGTTTTATTAAGGTATGATATCTAAGCATTTTTGGTGTTCTTGATTACGTAATTTAGAAGTTGTGCTGTCCCACGAATTCTGTCACCCACTGGTGCATATAAGAATCCGGAAACCTGGTTCACATTGCCTACATATTCACCGTCCCCGCATTCACACGTCGTCAGCGCCCAGCGGCCAAGATTCCAAATCGCCTAAACCCTTTCCCCACCGGACCCCGAAATAGATACAACTCAAGCATCGCCGTTTCCCGTGTCTCTACTAGTAGACAATAATGCCGATCCGCCGTAAATTACGTGCATCAATGATAATAGAACCCATTGTACCCGTAAAAACTCAACAGTAAGGTCCAAAGTGGTCGGGAGTGCGGGCTGTTTCAGGTGGCAGTTCTGGGCCCAGGTGTACTATGCCGTACACTGGATTTGGTGGGATCTACCACCTAATGGGTATTATTGTTGATTTCTATACTTTTGTATAATCGAGCCAATTGAAATGCTCCGATTTCATTATTTTTACAATGACGACGATAATGAGATGGCTCGAAATAGCCTCAATGATTAGGTACCGTACGAGCCTTTTGTAGGTACGTGCGTACTCCCCGACCACTATGGACCTTACTGTTGAGTTTTTACGGTATTTCTTTTCATGGAAAACAGGGCGACCGGATGCCAAGCTACAGAAAAGATACGTTTAGTAGAGTAACATATTGAGTTCCACTAAGCTACCTACTCCCGAATTACGTCCAGAATTCAATAAATTGTACACATAACCACAGTCTTCTTCCAGGTCTGATCCTCCGACTGCTGCGAGTAAGTTCTGCATTAGGCACTAGCAAAGCAAGGACATCCAGCAAAGAGCACCGTTTAAACATATACGGTCTCTCACTGAAGTCATAGATTCCGAGAATATGCATTTATTTAAGCATACCTACTATACTGCCCCTCTTGTATGGTTTCTGGAAAAGGCGAATATATAAAAGGTTTACTCACTTACAATACAGTCTTTTGATTGGAGGTTTTCGTCAACAGGTTTTTACAAGTAAAATACACTCCCGCTCTTGATCTGAAGTTACCCCTTTAATATAAGCCCGGAACTGATGACTGGAGCAAATAAATTACGTAGATACCGTCACTTGTCTCCTATTGTTTTCACTACAGAGTAGTTTTACCCAATATGCATGCACCAAAACGCCAAGAACCATTTACCACATAGGAACCCAACAAACTCGCACAGTACAAAATCAAAAGAACCCCACGGTTCATATCCACCCCACCTACATCAATTCCAAATTCAGAGTAGATCATCCAAGCTATCCCATCCCATCCGCCCTCCCTCTCCATATCAAAAAGAAATAATGAAAGAAAGACAAGAAGTAAGGTTGTTACAGTAATCCAGCCAAGTCCGGGTATTCGGGCCGGTAGGATTGATGCTCATATACAAGTACACCACACTACACAACACGGCTAACTCTACAGTACTATCAAGACTAGCCTTCCTCATCCCTCCGCCCTACGAACGTTACACTAGTAAACACTAAAAGCCCATCGCATCCTATGATGTAAAGTTGAGATGGGTTTTAGTAGGTGGGTGAAGGTATTGGTGGAGGTGGGGCTGTGGGCTCGCGTGGGGTACCCGACGACGGAAACGTCATGGGAAGAGGATGAATGCGGCCGTTTTCTGAGGAGGGAATGAAGCAAAGAAATCTATACAGCATTGAATCAGAACCAGGTTGCAGGTGAAATTTTTGAAAATTGAATTATCTAGAAGAGAAAGGAAAAAAAACTGTCCAACCTTGATGGTGGATGGTATCGTCGCGAAAGCATCGGACGAAAAAAAAAAGTCAAGCCCTCATCTAATTATCATTACGCCTGGAACCCCCAGTTAATCACCGTCATTACAGCCCACAACCTCTGACTCTGAATCATCCCCGTTAAGTCTCCGGAAAAATCATTCATCGGAGTCGCAAACGCCAACCTCTATCCCATTTTTCAGATTTTGTACACGTCCATTGCTGAAATCCTCCATGGTGGACAACATCATTACAATAATAGCGCAGCGACCATGACACCAGCAACAGCTCCCAGCGAGGCAGCTTTCTGAACGGCGCCTCCTGTGTACTGTGAGGGTGCGCCAGTAGGTGTTCCTGTTACATTGCCAGACGTGGTATTGCTAGCCTTCAGAACGAAGTTGGCACATGTAATGCGCGTCTTATTAGCGTAATGGAGAACGAAGGAGCGGTTTCCAAAGAAGGAACCGAGGCCTTGAGTCGTGGACGCAAAGTCATCGATGTAGGTTGCTTGGAAAGGATCCGATCGGATGTCTGAAGTCTTGCCGCTGAGATCACCAACTTGACATGTTTGTGGGAGGTTGCGGTTGCAGGGTGTGACCTGTGATCATGTTAGTTGAGATCGAGGAGATGTGAACTGGCTTTGGGGGAGGGATTTACCTCGCCACGGATGAAAGGGTCTAGATGTGCAAGTGTCTTGGTGCAGTTGCCATCAGCTGGAACGGGATCAACGTGAATATGGTAACCTTTCAAAAGTCAGTAATGATTGCGGAGGTTCAGGAAGTGAATATCAACATACTGAATGGTCCTCCGGTAAGAGGTAAGTTCTCGAATTCGACGTTAAATGTGACACCGATTCCATTGGGGTTGGCGGTAGCAGAGATGGAGCCCTTGACGTTGCCGCGGGGATCTTTTGGGTTGAAGAATCGTTTCTCGGGGAGAGACGCGACATAGGTTACTCCAGGTGGGTTGTTTTCGACAACGGTAGCATTTCCTAGGGCGCCAGTAGTGACATTTTGTGCGGAAATTGAAGAGATGAAAGCAGTCAGGAAGACTGTTGCAATAGTTGTGGCGTGCATCTCGAAAGCGTGCGTTCCTTTGAATTTTTGAGTGTGGTTTCCGAAGGCTGGGAGAAGATGGAGAAGAAGAGAAGATGACGCGGGGTGATAAGTACTAGAAGCGAAGCGAGATATGGGTGCAGGTGGTGTGATTGTCCAACGCAAGCGAACAAAGAGTGAGCGGAAGGAAAGATGCTGGCGAAGCAGTGGATTATTGGTTTAAATATCAAAAAGTGATTGAGTCACCAGTTGGAGCAGCAGTACCAGTAGCTGAAGAAGCTGAAGATGGAAGATGGGACCAAAGTTCACTCGTAGTTGGTATTCGACAGCCGAGGGGGTTGGTGGCTGTAGCTTATAGGCGGACGGCCGAGCTAACGAGATGAAGAAGTAAGAGTACAATATGGATAATTTCACCAGCATCAACTTGCTGGACCCTGTCGTAGAATATATATTGATAAAGGAACGCACGGCAAGCCCGACCCCACGATATGCAGGTTCGCGCCGAGCGGTCTTTTTTGCAAGTGCCATGGGCCATGGGCCATGGGCCATGGTATTTTACCATGGCCCATGGCAGAGGCGGCGGATGCGCGCTGCACCTTTTGTGTTCTCGCCATGCGTGGGGCATCTGGAAGACAAGAACATACAGCACCACAGTGTCTTAAGCTAGAAAAGTGAAAATGAGGCTTCTAAACCAAACAACCCCTATGCAGGGGGTAGCTCCATACGGAGAGCACTGGACCGCGGGTAACCAGCCAAACGGCCAAAATCGAGTCGCTTTGTTTGCAGTTTCATCTCCCGCAACGGGCCTCCAACCAGGCCAACTCATCACGCTACTAAACACCACAGTATACTCATACTGAGTATTGCCGCGTTGTTGTCCACTTGCCAGTCTTATGAGAAGGCAAAATCTCCTCTAAAGCGCTTGCACTTGCACCAGGTGGCTGGGATAATCTGCGATTCTTGGATTACCGCTGTAGTACTAGGCAGTACCAAGTAGTAACTGCTTAGTACTACACACAGGCAGCAGGGTCCGGCGGCTCGCAGATGGAAATATACTTCTACTTCGTACCGACGACAGCACAATCTCTGACGCCATCACAAGATCCAAATTTGATGTGATACCACAGCTCAAGCGAAGAACAAGTACTCGTACCTACTCCGTACGGTACGGAGCAAAGACAACATCTGTAATCTGTAGGATTGCTAGCGAGGAAATCGGCTACCGGAGTATTTTGGGACCGGGTAAAAACAAAGGGTAATCACAAAGGACTTCCAACACACACCTGTACTCGCATACCACGCCGTTTCTTTGTTACCCGTTTTGGAAATCCTTGACGATGCCCATTTCAAACGGTATCTAGTTGACTTGGTCACGGCTCAGTCACGGCAAGACGGGTCACCGAAAGATACTAACATGTGGAGAGAACTTTTCCTAACCTTAAAGATCGCTTGACTCGTAATTGTGAAACGATCTGTCAAAGTGTTGTGCAGCACTTTTCCCGGAGCAAAATCGGGCCAGCTCCAACGGCAAACGTTCATACAGCTATGCCAAGAGGACTAGTTTCTTTGGTCAAGTACGACCAAAACGTCTCCAAATCATTGGCGGAATGAACCTCGACATGTTAAGGAGCCGGGTGCAGTCACCATATCTCAGATGCCAAGAACTGAGATAACAGATGGCTTTCGATGTAGAGATGAAAGGTTGGTTGAAGATGAACCAGATACTGGTAATTGCGATATGAGATTGTGAGAAGAAAGATTGAAGCCATCGAGAACAACATTTTCCAGAAAAGCCCTCCTACGGATCCTTTCATTGGAACCGTGACACAGCGGAAGATCATACAAGATTTTGTGGACGCGCCCAACGAGTGAGGCGAGAATACGGAGGTGAAAGAGAATCAGAAGACTCCCTGTACATCAGATTTACCTTTGTATGCAGAAATTCTTCGTTTCCAACTGCATGGTGCCTGACATCATGGAAAGCAGCTTACTTTGTAGGGTCCAAAATCCATCTGATACTTTTGTCTACTGTGAAGGAAATGCCTCGGTTCCAAATGCCTGGTTCCTAGGATCAAGGAGATCAGGGCTTAGAAATCCGCGTAAAGTCCAGAAGCCAAAAGGAAGAATAATCAAGGCTAGGATTCCAAACCTTCCGTTAGGACAATACATAGCACTTCCACTGGGACAATAAAACGCATATCTGATCATAGATGGTACCAACAAACCCTGGCACACAAAAGTCCATAAGCAGCACCAGACGGCCGCGGATCTTTTGATCCAATAACCACAATTCTGCAGGAATCTGGCCAACATGCTGAAAACATACCAGCGTCCCGGGTAGCTGGAGCTTCCGAAAAGAATCAACAAGAAACGAAACATAGACTGTGTGCTGGAAAGAGAATCCAGAACATTCATGTACTTCGTAGTGACTGACGGCGGAGAAACTTGAGCTAATGTCCCAGAACGATGGCCTTTGCGAACATTCGATGAATCTGCTGCACAATATGCCCAACACCACGGGCGGAGTGAGAATGGCCCGCAAACATACAACTTGTTCATATGTTCATCCTGTTCCCTGTAGAACGCGGGGTTACAGCGATTAGCATTTCGGAGGACAAAAACATTGGTGGTCCATGGTCCTGCTGGCGCGGTACGATTAGGCCACATCCCATTCTCTACTAAGTACTTCGTAAGTACTCCCAGGTACAAGTACGATTCAGATCCAGTAGGGAACCGTAGCTCAAACGTACTTCGTCCCAACCAGCCAAGATCCAAGAATTTGGACAGGAATACCATGGTATCCTTTCGATTAGGCCATATGAGATGAGTGGCTTCAAATATGTCGATATCATGCTGGAGTGACTCGCGATTCCCCTTCTCCCCTCCCCCAGCACTAGACTGAAGAATATGTTATGCCTCGAGGCTACTGATGATGATAATGAACGGAAAGTCTGAAAGTCGGCGCCTCACAGGGTCATGTCGTTGCAACTAGCTGCACGTTTTGCAAGTCCTCTGATACCTGGCACCGCTCGTACCCCAACTTTTACCATCATCGCATCCATGGGCATCTCAAATTGTCGTGGTGTTGTTGTATGCACAACGTAGGTCGAGGTGATGGAGGGAGGAAAGGAAATGTTGTACTGGTGTGAAGCAGAGTTAGGTGATGCCAAGCCTGGTATTCAGTCACGTGTCTAATCAGGCTTCCCGATCCGACCTCATCGCGACGCATAGCCCGCAGAGCCAGTGTAGAGCTCCCGACTCCATCAAGAACCTCACACCACCATTTCCAACACGCCCCAGCTCTCTCAATCGCATCTGCGAAGCTCCTACCAGTCTACAGAGCTTTAAATTCAACGTCCGCAATCATGAAGCCCGTCGTAGGTGTGATGCAGGCATGGTCTTGGTACGTTACCCATCCTCAACCCGATAGCTTCAAACCACCATCCGGATACCAGCTAATGGCAATGATTATATAGCATCGTCATCTCCGTGTTTGCGATCATTATTCTGTCTATCATCGGTTCGCTCTTCAAATCAGGACATCACTCGATGATGGGATCAACGTCGGATCCAAAGGATGGAGCAGCAGTTGCTGGGACGGTTTTTTCGGCCGTGATTGTATATGCTGTACGTACAGGGTTTCCTTCAGAATCAGACTCGATAAGGAAGAGCTGGATAGATTCCTGGATGGGGTCAAAGGAGGGGGGATTGTGGTTCTACACATAAGGTGACAGAATATAGGGAAATACATCTGCTAACCTTACCGCAGCTTTTCCTTTTTGGATGCGGTTTCCAAGCCTACCTACATATCCACGAGAACCGAAGAGGCGCAATTTCCCTATCATAATCACACGATCGAAGAAACCAATATCCACAAACATCCGGCAGAAAGTCTGGGATGTCCAATTTAAGAAGTGTGTACCCGGAGAGGTAGAATCGGAGCCAGGGCTGTACTCATAAGCAGCGAATAGGATGTTGGGGAGGGTTTGGACGGCGTACCGGTGTTGCGAGTAAATCTCTATTTGAAGAGATGCGGTGGTCTTTTTGGGTCATCGATTTATGGTATGCCTTTTTGTACAGTATGCGGGCGGGCTTTCGAGCGGGTTCATAATAAAGAGGATACTCGCACATTAGAGACTCCCTGCTGCTAGTACGAAAAAATATGATTGTGGAACTACCTGTATGAAAGGAGTTATGGGAATTCCTGACTAACCTGCTAGGATCTTGATATCCTTTTCCTCTACAGCTGTCGTCCTAATGCCTCAGAAGAACCAAGGCAGCGTGACTAAGATCGAAAACCAATTCTCTGAAATGTCTTGTCAAGGTGGTAGAGATTCTCTCGTTCTCGGCTCGTTACGTACCTCCCCCGCCCGGGGTCCCGAGATCTAGACATTGATCAAAGATCCCTTATCCCCATTGATCCCTTCTCGCTATTACCATCTTTTGATAAATAGTTGCCCATAGGTACAATTCATACTCGAGTAATGTCACTTTGTTGTTAGTCAAATTACCCTTAAGCTAACACCTAATATCATTGTTTCATCCCATACCTTTCTGTCTAATACATTTTCACATTTCCATACAGTAAATAAGAATATCTCACCTTTCTCTCATTACAATTACCTTTTTCCTATTACCTCATCTATGAACATTGTCCTATACTTAGGAGAATCTTTTACTCCGTAGACAAGCTATAGATGCTATAGGCTACTGATTCACACTCTCTATCTCTTGTTGTAGTAGTGAATACGCCAAATGACTCTAAGCGAGATGCGATACAGGTAGATTCATGTCGCACCATGTAGTCACAGCGGAAAATCTCAAGATTGACTTACAGAGAATAAAATTCACCTTGCAAGTACATACAGCTTCCTGTCTCCGAGGGCATAGATGCTACGGCTATGTATACAGGAGAGATAAAAAGGTCAAGAAATGACTTCCATTTATTTGTATTAAAGATCGCAATGTAGAACACATCCTCCAAATGTCCGGATACACGTGCACAAAATCTTCTCCTCTTTTGCATTCCATATTCTTGCCTGACTATAATGGGGTAGTAGCTATTACTATTTCACCCGTGATAAATTAGCTCGACACCACTCTTTTGATTCTCAAACAGCCACGCTGGACAACTTTCTCGACGAATTTGTATTGCTTATTGCTTATCAACTCTGTGCGCTAGCGCTAAAGGATAGGAAACTAATTCTTTCGATATTTTTCACCTGCAATTTTGAATGTCCTATGATATTTTGCACGATTCCAGCGTCTTTACCAAAGAACATTGGGCTCTTCCACCAATTCCACCCCAATGAGAACCAGCTCATAGGGGCAGTTGAGCCTCAACTGCCTATCCTAGCGAGCGGAGACATGTTCGCGCAGCGATGTCATTGATTTCCACGATAGTAGTTTTGTCTTCAGAGGGCGTGAAAGCCGTCTCGAAGGTGGCATCGACGTACCATTCAGTTCCGTGATGGCTTTGCTTCCAACAGAAGTGGTGGGACCTTTCGGCGGGCAGTATGGTGAAAGAATGAAGGTTTCTGAGCCGGTTGGTGAATAGATCTTCTCCAATGGTATATTGGGAGTCTGATCAGGTACCACAGCTCGTCGTACATGCTTCGGCAAGTAACCCGCTTGTTTGTTTCGAATCTGCAAATGGGCTTCCTTTGGAGATTCGTCCACCAGGGCAATACCTTCGTCTAACGAAATATCTCGTATGGTCAAGTCTTGTGTGGGTTGGAGAAAAGTCTCTGCCAAGAAAGTCAGGAAGTTATCAACATCAGCAATCGTAGTCATGGCGCCCAAACTCGCTCTCACGACACCCATTGGTTTTCCATGGATAATCTCTAGATCTCGGGAATCGCCACAGCGGTATCCGGATGACCATGCGCGTTTGAATTGCCATGGCTCGACCTTGAGATAACTCGCTACTCCTCCTGGGTTGCAAAGTCCGCCCGAGCGAAGGAATATTTGTTTCTCGTTTGCCAGACTTTCGACTAAGGAGTGTGCAATGTATGTTCCATCCGCACCGATGATGTTGAAAGCTACTGTCGCTCCTTGATTCTTTGGAACACTGTAAGGAGAACAGTCGGGATTGTCGTTGTAAAAGTCGCACAGAGGACGTCCATTTAGATGGTGAAGGGCGAGCATTCCCTGATATAATCTCTGAGCCAGAAAGGTCGTATGTCGAGAAATCATCTTCATAGATCCAAACAGTCGTTTGTGAACTCTCAAAGCACAGCCAAGTGCAATGATGTTATGAAAAGGCAGGGTGCCATCCTCGAGAGCATCATGGATCGTGGTATCCTTCCTCTGAACCGTCGCAGGAAACACCGTCAACGCACTCACAGTCCCACCACCAAAGTACTTTCTCCACGACAAGATATGTGCCGAGGACCGTCTCACAATCAACGCTCCTAGATCAGGGAAACCAAAAATCTTATAGAACGATACGACGGTGAAATCCGGTGCGGTATCCGGGTTGCTGAAATCGATAGGGCAATTCGTTGCCAATGCCGCTGCATCAAGAAGGGAATAAGTATTCTGATGCGCAGATACAGGGGATCTCCTCAGTCTTCCTGTCCAGGAAAGTGGCAAGCGTCGTCCAGTCATATTAGATTGTCCGGGATAAGCAAACAAGCCTGGAACCTCCCCCTCTTCTCCCTTCCCCAGGGTTGAGACAGGGAATTTTCCATCTAACCACTCCTCAACCTCTTCATCGCTACCAAAGTAATGGTGATCACCGCCGGTCAACTCTCTCACGCCGACGAGGCTGGTATGAGCGTCTTTATGGTATCCATACCAAAAAGAGCCTGTTGACGAACTCGTTGCCAAGTCTCTGAATGAGTCCGCGACGAGCTTGATGGCTGCTGTGGCGTTTGCAGTGAAGACCAAGTCGAAGTACTCTGGATCTGCGTTGAAGAAGCGTAAAGCTTGTTCTCGGGTTCGGTCAACATGCATACTTGATAGCTGGGCAGGGTCGGACGAGGAATGTGGATTCCCGTATAGATTTGAAATCATGGAATTAGAGAACTCTTCAATGAGAGATTTGGCATAGAGGGTTGTGCCTCCGTGGTCTAGGTATGTTTTATCTAAGAAGGATGTTAGTCAAGTTTTATTATGGAGATGGTGGGGCTGCTTTTATGGCTTTGGGCTATAACTTTGGCAACACTTATGCTAAGGAGGATTGTGTGCTGTAGTCCAAGGCGGCGGAGCTATTATTCGGTGAGAGTTGGGAAAACCTTAGGATTTGAATCCCGGAATATCCTAAACTCCCTCGATTGGTAACCTCACTGCCTCACGACGTTTCATAAGGTTATGAACATAAGAAGCCGCGGAGTAAATCGAGGGTTCTCTTACTTTTGAGCATGGGGTACTCTCTATCACGAAACCCTTCGACTGCTCTATTATACGCCATTTTCAAGGTTGATTGTTTCTGGCTTTGATAATGAGGTGGTAAAAATATGCTAGTGTTGAAGCTAGAACACGAGGGAAGTGTTCCAGCGTGGTGTAATTTGGGATGCGGCTCTGTTGATTACTCCCGAGGTTAAGAGTAGAGATAGATCCCAGACAGAGTTGTTGGAAAGGGTGAGTCAATCAGGATGGGTCATATATCTCAGACCTGGATCGGATAACCTTCTTCGGGCGTCCGAGGACAGAGACGTTCTTGTTTTTGTTGGCACCGCGTGGGGGCTGGGCCTAAGTAAGTGTGGATCTTCTATATATCTTTTGGCCCAGGCCAAGCTATGGTAAGGCAGACATACAGCCTATTCCTTCATGGGTACTCTGCAACACACTACTTTGTGTGTGGAATGATTATTACCCCAGTTTCTAGGATCATGAAACTCTCTACTAGTCTATCAAGAGTCATAACAAGATTACGTTGTATCAAGATTGATATTCATCATTCACTTTATTTACTAACTAGTGAAATACTCGGGATGGAGTTTCTTTTTCACTTCAGAGTAAATAACACAGAACATTGTACCTAGACGCCCTTCCCGCTATATTCGCGACGTTATATTGTTAGATGTTGGAAAAGAGGCGAGGTGAAGATGCCTTACAGCATCACTTGCATCTCAGTATCGCTAAGCGGATATCAGCCAACCAAATGCATAAATATCGCGCAGCGGCGCTTGAGGCGCCTTCAACCTGGCTTACGTTCAACATGAACTAAGCAGATAGATTGTCTTAGATTAATAAGTTTCTAGGCTCGAACGAGAGAAACTCCTCCCGCCATAGTGCCTCAGATAGGTAGATTATTCGAAGCTCGCCTCTGAAACTTAAGCGAGCCCCTCACTCCCCGTGAGCGATTTAAGGGCGGGGAAAGCAAAGATCAAGAAAGCCTCATCACTAAATTGTCGTCACTACCGATAATATACACCTAAAATATTGGTTCATGGGTCGGTCAGCACAATACTGAAACCCAAAAGGGGCAGTAGCAGCCGAGCACACTACCGATAACGTCGTTTTATCTTTCTATCCATGCAGCAAGAGCCGTGAACGCCCTTTCTTCTTCGGTCATGGTACTCAAAAGCCACCAGAAATGTTTAAAGTTGAATGCCGCCGGTAAAGCATAGCTAACTCCCATATCTCAGCTGATCACTAGACCACTCCTCGGCACCCCACTACCACAAGATAGTTGCAGCCTCTCCATCACAAGCCCACTTTTGCATTCTCCAGAGCCTTGATCATCAGCAAGAGAATATGGTTGCAACCATGACTTGGAGGAAAAACTAAACACAATAGGAAATTCCAAACGAGAAATAACAACCTCATTGGAAAAACCTCCCACTGCGCAAGAAATCCGTACGGCCAAAAACCCCAATGCAACTTCAACAGCAAGATTCCAACATCAAGAGACCCCAAAAGCGACCCACCCACAACAAAACAACCACCGTGCCTCGTCCAATCCCCTTTCCGAAAAGGTAGCTCATGCATCACCGCAACATCACCAACAGAGTATCCGTCAAAGCTCATCCCGCTATCGATTCCCAACTTTCGCAACACACCAATCGTCCCCATCAGTGCCATCACGAACCCAATATCTCGCCAGTCAGCGCGTAAATAAAAAAGAAACCCGCTAGCGAATCCCGACAGACAAGGACACAAGCCACCAACCTCACAGCCCACGCAGAAACCCCATCAATCAAAGACGTTCTCCAATTAGTAAGAGTCCATCATCATGCGTCTCTTTATGGATACGCTGACTTATCCGTGAGCGCGGGGATAACGGGCCGTGGGATGGAGGGTGGTCAGAGGTGGTTAGGGCGTACGAGCTTGCTTCGGTGATAGGTTGGAAAACTTGCGCTTACTAGACCCCCAAAAAGCCGCCCGTGCCGCCCCCGAACTACCAGTTCGTGAGAGAAGAGAAAGAGGAAAGTTTTTCCTCAGAGTAGTATTCGCCAACGTTGATTGTCAAGTTTCTGAGACACGTTTTGCGTTCCGGGTGGTCTGAGGTGAGATTGCGCCAATTGAGATGATATCATGAGCGAGTACCTATTCTTCAAAGAACGGATCTATACCCGAAGAAACCCAAGTGAGGGCTTTGAAGAAAGAAGATTTTTGTATTTTACATACATAAGAATTTAGGGCCTTCAAACAACCCGTGCATTAAACTGCTTTACAGCCATCTTTCTATATCTGTCCGCATACCGTATCCGAAAGCGTTTGCCCCAAATAATCCCAGGTATAATAATAAGGTTGAGTCCGATAGTCATGCATCCAATACAAGTAAACATCCCGTGCAGACCAAGACCATCAGTCCATGGATCTTGAACAAAGACTACTATTGTAGCCATTACGTTGCGAACAAACGCCAATCCAATAAGACCAGTAGCAAGGATTTCGGGATATGAGTCTGACAGGTAGGTCAGACTGATGTCGCCCATTGATATAACAACGAAGCCAAATAAACCAATTCCAATACACGGTATAATCCAAGGGGCTCCCTACAAGACGACATAAATTAGCGGGTTAGGTCAGATTTTGTATATCGAGTGGCGACTTACAGCTGCGGTACTATAACCATAAAGGAATAATCCAATAGGTCCCACAATTGCAGGCAAAATAGCACCGTAGAGCCGCATTTCCGGCTCATAGATCCCCCTATTTCGCCGCGTGAACCATACAATAGACCAGTCGCTAAATGGACCACCCCACAAAAACCCAAAGATACACCCAATAAAGGCAGGCATACATAACAGGCCAATTCCCACTTCGTCAAAGTTGTAAGGTGGCAAAATGAAGAACTGTGCCTCGCTTGTGATAATGACAGAGAACCAGGAAAGGAGCATGCCATATTGTAATGCGCAGTATGCAATCGCCGGAATTGTTACTAAAACAACGAATGGATACCAAGCGTGCCGAAGTAGCTTGCTAAAGGGGGCTTCGCTTGTGGTGACAAAAGCGAGACGTTCACGACGTGATTTCATAGGAATATTAGTGTTGATTTTAGGTCGACTGTGGGTGAGAGTGGTGGGCAGAGATTCCTTGACCTTCTCCCCAGACTCGCGTTCCAATGAATGACTGTTAGAACGTGTGGAGTCATTGTTAGAAATTACTGCTTCATCGCGAGGAACAAACTTGGTCTCTTCGTAGAAAAAGACAAACAGAAGAAGATTGATCCCGAGCAGGATTGATGTCCACCAATACATCCATCGCCACCCTTGCGCTACAGCAATGCCGCCAGATGCAACGGGAGCCAGAAAGGACTAGATACCATCAGAAAGTGGGTTGCAGGAATCGTGGTGGAAGGAAACTTACCCCGATTGCAACCATGAGCAAATATACTCCATTCATGGTGCCTCGGTCATGAACGAAGAACATGTCGATAACCTTGAGAGATTAGTTCTGGTCTGAATCTGGGGCAACAAAATGAGACTTACCGTCATCTGAACTAAAGTCTCGCTCACAGCTCCAGAAAGTCCTGAGATTACTTGGGTAGCTGCCATTTCCCCAAAACTTTGAAGCGTCGCTTGCCATATTGACATGCCAAATGTGATTAGCGTGCTGATAATGTAGACGGGCCTCTTTCCGTATTTTTGAGCAAATGGAATGAAAATAATACACCCAAAGGCAAGGCCAGCTGTGTTGCAAGCATAGGTTATGTTGAGTTCTGCCCAGGTCATGCCAAACTCATTGACATAATTTTGCCATGCTACTGTGCCTATGTCCAGTCTATTGACAATGTTAGCAAGGTAGCATTAGGGTTGGAGAAACCATTTTATCCTACATGGTAAAGGTCATCAAGGCATAAAAGCATATGATAGCATAGTTGATTGCCTTGCGCTTTTTTGACCAGTTCTACAAGAAGAGAGAAATCAGCTTTGCACAAACGGCATGACACGGATGAAGGAGCGTCTTCTTACCAGGGGCTCATTTGGGTCGTCTGAAGGTCGAGGCTGAAGTATTATTTGGCTCTGTCCAGGAGGTTCTCCTTCTATGATGCCCGCTGGTCACATGTTAGCTTTGATGCCAGCCTGCGGGTGCCCAGCAGGTGCAATGCCGGTGAGAGAATGCTACACGTACCACGGTGTAAATGAATGTTTCCAGGCGCCTCTGGGTCTTCGCTCACTCGCTGTTCCATCTCTCTGGTCACCTTTGCCTTTGCTGCATCTGTTCGTTGGGTGCTGAGGTGCGGAGTTCTGGTTGTGGTTGTGGTTGTACTGTACGATAATTTGATACAGGCGGTGACGTATCGGGGGGCGCACAGGCGAGTGTCGGTATCAGTGTCTGTGTCGACCGAGTTGAGGAAGTAGTGGCGACCTGTGGAACGCGGGGAAATGGAAGCTAGAACCGCAAGAGCAGCCGGGGAAAAATGTACGGTGTCGACCACTTTCTGGTCGTGTAGGCGATTCACTCAGGAACACTCAACAACCGGCAGTCGGAAGCTGGGCTTGGTGTTTTACTTGTAGTGCACTGCTGTACGTGGGCGTGGTCGTCTTCAAATTTGGAACCTTGCACACTTGAAAGGGGGAACGCCGAGGCGGATCGGACTCACACCAAACGGTGTATTCGTACACTCCTACACTATACTACTCTACTTAATCGAGCTAACCTGGAAAGGGCATGAAGAAGTGGTCCTTGCTGGTGCAAAGCTGTGTGGTTGGCCACTAAACACATGGCAAATTTGAGGTAGCTTGCTGATTTGCATCTATTGTATTGTCAGTACGAGTATGAGACGCCTCTTCTGCCCTGGCCTTTTCTCGAGAGTATTGGATGATTTGTGGACATTCATGACGAAGAGAGGGATTTTCCCTTCTCCGGAATCTTGAGCATGCTGGATTGGGTGTTCTGCTCATGGAGCAGGATCCACGAGAATCAACATTTTGAATTTCAATTAAGCTTTACGTCGGCTGTTCGCCATCTTTGAAGCTAAACCGCAAACGCTTTACCACTTACAACGTACCCTACGGATACCATGTTTAGTCGGTGGTATTACTGTATTTGGAATATTAGCATGGTTGGGCTAGACGGGTTATACTATAATTAGGCCAAGAAAATGCTTCTCGTCACTGCCAAACGATCGAGGTAGGTACGTGCCCATACTGCACAAGCAGTGGCTCTACTAGTACTTACTTCCTGAAGGTATAAAATGACTACTGTACAGATATCTAGTTTCGACAATTGCTTGAGAAAATCGAAGTTCTGGTCACTTTCATATTATTTATCCAAAACTGTCTGAATGTTCTGTTATGATAACTTTTGGGTTTGGTCTGAATGTTCAATTAAGTTGAGTTTGATGATGGAAATACGGCAATCTTAGGTACTGTAGTACCTGATTTTACAAACCCAAAACTGTTCTTGTACTAGTACAGCCCTAGGGTTTAGTTTCCAGAAAGGTTATATCTTCAGATAAGTAGCGGGAGTATTTTACCAACACCCTCGGCCCTCCTAGACCCGCGATTTACTAAACCCTCCAATCACAAGACTTCACTGTAATTGAGTTAACCTTTTATATTTCTAAGCTAGGTTTCTAAAGAACCTCTTCCGGAAACTACTGTAAGCCCGGGGGGCTATACATCCAGGGGTACAGTAAGGAGAAGGTGTCAATTACGTCGTACTAGTACTGGTGTGGTAAAGGCATGATTTGACATTCAACTACCGAACCTTGAATAGATGACATTCTTTTGAGGAACATAGCGCTCAAAGCATTATCCTTGCTCGTTTCTACTTATAACTTCGCTATATCCTCCACCAACCTGCACCAGCCTCTAATCAATCTGTCCTGCCAAGATTTAAGCGAGCACTTCTCCAGACGCGGATATCGATATTTGGCAGACTGAGCAGACTCGATTATAATATACCCTCGGTGGTCCTTATCTCACTAAGATGAATTTTCCTGTTTGGAGAGCCCATGGAGCAGATGCAGTAGTACCTCTCCTTTCCATCAATTGAGCAAAACATATAGAAACTTGAGGCACTCTTACGAAGTATCAAGTATTAGTTACATAAGATCCAAACTCAGATTTCAACCGTGAGTCCTTTCCATCTATAAGAAGTTAAACTGTTGACAATCAAACCAGCGCACTCAAGCTTCCTCCGATATATCTAGGATGTTATTCACACTCAACAACCAAGACAATAAGCCAATCCACTCTTACGTCACCAACCATCCAGAACTAACAGTGAACAATCTATCTTCTCTATTCACCCCTACACCTAATATCACCCCAATTTCTTTCCTCCTCTAAATGAAACATTCACTACCCATTTTATTGGAATCAAAGTCTTTATCATTCACACCAACGCACAGCCATGTGTTGCAACAAACCAGAATGAATTCACTCCCTTAGCGGTCTTTCCACGGAAGTTTTACAGAAGTGCAATAACTTCCCAAAACTAATGGAAGGAAACGGATTATATGGAAAGGCTCCAGAATCTTTAGTAAAGGGCTGAGATTTGAGAGGATTGAACCAATATGATGGATTAGTCATGCAATGGCGGTATAGTTTGTTTGAACATAATAGGATCTGGTTGATTGCTTGTTAAGTATTGCGTGAATTCGCAGTGAAATTTACATGTGGAAAGGTTTTCTGATCTGGTTTCAAGGGGGGGAAAGAGGGGGTTTTCCTCATTCTCATATCTCGTCTAAATTCTTTGGCTCTCACTTGGAATCTTATCTCCCAGAAACAACCTCATCACATTTTATATCACGCACATCCATATTCCTCAACATTGAAACTCAAATTACCACCAGAGTAAATACATTTACCATCTCCTTTACTCCTTCCTTGCTCTCTTTGCTTTTTCTTTCAGACCCTCACCCATAGCAGCAGCCACATCCTCAACATCCAACCCCCTCTTCCTCTTGTCCGTTTTCTCCTCTCCCAAAACGGTGTCTTCGGCAACTGTACGATAAAGCTCAGCAATCTCGTGGAAAATACCATGGGAGGTATCTCGAGACTCAGTAGAAGAAGAGAAGTTTCCTTCCTCGGAATGAGTTTGAGAGATTTCTTCCACTAAAGTCAAGCTAGGCGTTAGCTTCGTGGAGACAAGAAGCACGTCCAGAAATCGCAGACGAAAAAAATAACAAAGCAGAAATACATACTCTCCCTAACCCACCGATAAGCCTTAGGCGCCATACTCACAACACCCCCCCTCGCACTCCTCAACATCCCCGGCGCCCTCTCCTCCATCTCCCTAACCAACAAAGGCAGCACGCCCAGATTCCCCGCCGTCGTAAAAGCCTGTATACATAAAGCCGTGAAGCCCTTAGTCGTAGTAGCAAAACAACACTTCAATCCCGACGCCGTCCCAACATCCTCCGAAATATGATTCAATCCCAATACCTCCCTGAGTCCGGTCCAAGAAGCCGGAAGCAAATTGGGTAAGGGCCCGGAAATCGGGATGCTGGGTTTGGACCATCCTCCTGAGCCGGGGGATTGGGTGAGGATTGTGTTGGTGGAGGGGATGGAGGAGGTTTTGGGACGAGGGGCACCGCCGATTAGGCCGCCGTCTAGGAAGGTGATGGGTGGGATGGTGGTGAAGAGGGTGGCGATAGAACGAGCGCTACGAGGTGAGATGGCGTTGAGGTCGAGGTAGTAGAGGGGTGTTGTTTTGGGAGGTGAGATGGCATTGAATGCGGTCGTGATGCGTTGGGCTGTGGTGAGAGCGTCGCGGGGTGGAACTATCGAGAGGATGTAATCGCATTCTGAGACGAGTGAGGTATCGCTGCCCAGATCTTGAATTGAAGCAGTTGCTGCGCGGGATTTGGTATCCTCGCTAAGAAGGGGTTAGATGAATTGTTTGAAGTGTTAAACAGTGGTTTCTCGCGCCGGTGCATGAGACAATCCAACAAGCAAGACCTAGTGTAATGGCTTATAATCCATCGACTATAGATTATGTTTTCCAGGAGCAGGTACTCCCATTTTCCTGGCGAAAACTGAATAAAATTGAAGTTATATTCAAAGAAAGTTGCTTATCCCACCTTCGACCCTCATGGTTCGTCACCACTCGATAGTTGTGAGCAATAAGCAGTTTTGCGATGCCCAGTCCCATCTCACCAATAGATAGGATTCCTACAGTCACCGAAAGTTCCGACATATTGGAGATGGGTGTTGTTTTTGTAATAACCTTTCCTTGACCAGCTTCAAAACACTGCGAGTTTTATTGCCCGTATCGGGATCGGAAGTTGTTCTACATGTGACACAAACACAATAACCACGGATATGTACTTCTCTCATTTCAACGCGCCACACACAAAATATCCTCCAATTCAACTCATGATTAACATCTTAGAGAATATCCTTTTTAGGTACAGTCAATCTCTGTGATTTGACTACCTATAGGAATATGATCTTCACGTGATATGCCTCAAGCTCCCGATCTGCTGAAGAAAGGTAATGGAACCGTGGCTAAAGGGAGATCCTTGAGAGACGAGAGCCCTATTGAATCGACAAATTATCCAGAAATGACAAGACTAAGTGTCTGAAAGGTGCTCTACTAGGCATTGTGGATTCCTTCATTTCCAAGTTTATACATGAGTTCAAGGTCGATGTAGTTCAATCCCCACCTCAATGCAGACCCTCAAACGAGAGACAAGACTTGAGTTCGCTCTTTCAGTCTCACTCTCTCGTCGTGACTTTGCGACCCAACCTCGTCACAACTCTTCTCCTGTCCCAAGTATAAGCTACATAATGTTTTCATCGACATCGAATAACCGAGTTCACCATCCCGCTCAAGGATATATGCGAGAAAAAGTTATCATCGTGTTCCAGCATGGTCTAAAGATGGTTTGGCGAGTTATCTTTGAAAATTGGAAGTGACAACCCTGCCTTCTGCTACTGTAGTTTATTCACGTACACCGAGTGACTACAATCCATCCCATCAATCTTTACACCTCTATCACTCTAGCAAGATTTAATAACCAGTTAGATACCCCAATTACACATCACACATGTATCAAACTTCTCAATACGGAAGACTCTACAGTCTACAGTCTGATATCCCATAGTATCTCCTCCCACTCTCCAATCGAAAACCCCCATCGGCAGTGCTCAACATATCCGCTTAGCAGGCCGGGAACTACATCACACGGAGACTTTTTGAGTGTCTTGTCTTGATATAAGATTTACCAGCAAAGACAGGCAACGTGGAGCCTGAGAGTCGATGTATGCACCCTGGTGTGCACAAGGGGAGAGGTAGGTAACGTCCCTCATGAGGGACGTCGGACGTGATCTCAATACGCTATGTTTACAGAATACAGTGTCTACGCTACTGCGTATAGTAAAACACGTTTGAGCAAGTCAGTACATGTTCAACAGTTGAGCCGAAAGCCTAGATACTCGTGTAACTTTCGTTAGTGATGGAATTCTCGAATTTCAGTCGTGCTATCAAGGCTCTTTGGAAATCAAAGCTTATACCTTTGAGATCTCGTAGAAGGTATACTCATTCGGAGGGCGAGCGATAGCGCAGAGGAAAGACACACTGAGTACAGGAAAAACTCGCTACAAGGATCCCCGCTATAAGGATATCCTCGTTTATATCCTTAGGATTTTGATCCCGAATTTTTATAGGTGGGATTTTAGTATATTTAATGATATACCCTCTATAAGGATATCCTTAGGTTTTTCGGGTCCCGAGATTTTTATAGCACTAAAATTATCCTCGCTTTTATCCTTAGAACCTCCTCATCCCGAGGGATTTATCGGATATAAGTAATCCTAAGTGAGTTCTTAATAAAATCTTAGTGTTTTTAGTTAAAAAGGAGGTCTTCTAGACAAGGATATACTATTATACGTGTAGTACTACTCCTATATAAGCGACCAGCTTATATATTCCTAATACTTAAATATGTGACCTTGCTGTCGCCTATGCCAAGGAACTCGCCATAAGGATATCCTCGTTTACCTTAGCATATCCGGGCCTGACTATATCCTTGTAGCGAGTTTTTTCTGTATTTCGTTGATAACTCTCCATACTCAAAGCGAAGGGCGGAGATTTGATTAAAGAAGAGATGGATGATGTGTACAGGGCTTTACTTGTGCATCGCTGCTTTGGGTATGCGTGACATGAAGCTCATACTGACTCATGCGACTTCCCGTATTTCACCTGATCAAACTTCACATAGCGAAATGGTAAGCAGGCGAATACTTGTAATGCCTTATCCCTTAATACTTGTGCAGAATCCAAAAGGTCAATAGGAAGTTTGGATTCAATATCTTAGATTTTAGTAGAGTAAAGGGCATGATATGAAATCCTTGGATAAAAAGAAAAAACCAATTCATTTATTATTAGACCCAGTAACTCAATCCAGTTTCCAGGTTAATAAAAAATGTTTGCAAGCCAAAGCCTGCCTTCCTCCATTGAAATGGGAGGAATTCCAAGCAAAGTCCCATCACTGAGTGATTACAAGAGTTCCATTTCAGCACATCTTCGGCACAATCAACAGTCATGGAAAAGACCGAATCAATTGCAATTTGACATCCGTGCTAACACCGGTTCGGGTTTTCAACTTGATATTTTTCGTACCAGCTCAACCAAACAATTCCCGGGGTGTATATATTCAACAGGTTTTGGGTAGCCCTTGTCCTCCGTACCTACCGTTTGTCCATGTCTGTCAAAGAGCCAAGAGCTACTTGATTCAAGGTTGGTTGGTAGTAGGCAGCGTGAGGTGATATCTCGACCACACCCAGAGCTTGACCAAGTAAAAGATGAGATGGGCTATGCCATCGCACTCATCGAGGCCTATTGGTTCTATGTCCGTATGATTCACGTTCCACTGTTCGTGTGCCACGACTGTGGAAACTTCTTGTCAGACCAGCCACTGTGGCTCCCGTATGCGCCAAAAATATGGTAGATCATCTGGTTCTTCGGCGAGAAGAAATCGATAGGGATGATGCCTCAGCTCCTTCAATCAAGACTGCTGTCGAGGCACGGCGTATCATGAATGCAAAATAACCCCGTCGGCACAATCAGCCATCCGGTGGTCCCTCTGGTCGATGGGATGCATGTCTGTCGAGGCAGCAGTTGGAAGAAACACGCGTGTTCGATTGCTAGGTTGCATTGGGTATGGCAGAGAGTTCGAAACGATGCGAGCGTTGCTTGATGTTGTTGCGAAGATGGAGTGGGTGGCAGAGCGAATTGAAGAAAACGAAAAAGGAAGAAAAATGAGGTCCAAGCTCTTAAAGTATGAGGGTCCGGAAAAATCGAGGGCCCGGGCCGAGGGCTCTGCAGCGAAACGGCAGGACCTTGGGAGCGCCAATCACACCTGCACCAACCGGGAGGAGGCCTCCTGCAAGCTCCTCAGAAAGCGGGGGGAACGAGGAGGCGGTCGGGCTCATGAAGAAACATATCGTTACATAATTCATATGTACAGCACGAATACGCGTACGAAGGCTGTACCGTATCGATATCAATGAACATCTCATCGAATGCGCCACCACATCGAGCAATTACTTCGAAGTACAATTACAGTACATGGGCACACACTACTGTAATGTGCGGCTCGAGCCGCCTTCCAAACTTTCAGACTTCCACCCACACACACGTCCAGTCGGCTTATGGTTGTGCCTAGGCCCGACTCATGGCAGTCAGTAGATGGAAACGGCCTGCGCGTGCGTGCGTGTGCGTGTGCGTGAAACTAATGACGAGACGTCAAATGTACTCGACGAGTTCCCTCGATGATCCCTCGATCTACTCGATACTCCAACTTTCGAGTGAAGGACGCACCTTGACCATTTCCCTTTGATTATTCCCACTATCTCATATCTACTCTGTAACTACACTGTCTACCATCCATCACGTACCTGAGTACGCTTGAGTTACCATCATCTGGCTGCTGCTGTTGCTGCTGCCTCTTCCAGCGGGCTTACCTAGAACCCGACTCGCCGGCTGGCCTGATCCACTTATTGACCACTAAAAGCATACATCTATAAGACTCACGAGTTGGTGTTGGGGTCAACAAGTCCATCGACATTGAAACTTCCCCAGGCTTGTCATGTCCGACTTCGCTATTCCCTTCAAGTTGCTGTCAACTTTATCACTCGTTGAGTCGTACGCCCTTGTCAATTACCAGCCGAATCTCCTTCTGTTCTCTCGCCCAAGTTACCTCGGCACATTTATACAACTTTGCATTCTCCAGTTCTTCTTTTGGGCTGCATGGATTGTCATAATATGGCCTCAATTTCTGTCACCCGTCAGACATTTGCCACACCCATCTGGTGGATCTTGGTGGAATGGACACTTCCAGGCAATAATAGCTTCCACAACCGGTGGACCCATGACAAAATGGTACTACCCAATAGCATCAGCATCTTGTAAACCCGTATTAACTTGATGCCAGGGTCAACGAGATTCCAAATGACGGGCTGATATACTATCGAGGACTCTTAAATGTAGAAAGGATAATTCTCACTTCCCCAAAAGCCCTCGCCGAAGTCCTTACCACCAACTCATACGACTTCATTCGGCCGGAACAACTTACCACAGCCCTAGGCCGTATACTAGGAGTGGGTGTTCTCTTAGCTGAAGGAGAAGAACACAAGTTCCAAAGAAAACACCTTCTTCCAGCTTTCGCTTTTAGGCATATCAAGAACCTTTATCCAATCTTCTGGACAAAATCCAGAGAAAATGTTCACAAGATGATTGAGAATCTTGGAGAGGGTGGAGCGAATAAGGAATTGATCACGGATTCCGAAATGGGACGAGATGTTGATACTGAAGATACCACTCCTGTGATTGAAGCCGGGTCGTGGGCATCGAGAGTGACTCTCGATATTATTGGCGTAGCGGGAATGGGAAAGGACTTCAATACTATCCAAGATCCAAATGCCCTACTTGCCAGGACCTACCAAAGTATCTTCGTGCCCACGAAGGGTGCCATGTTCCTCGGCATATTAAGCATGTTGCTTCCTGGATGGTTTGTCAATAACCTGCCCTTTGCTAGAAATAACGATATGAATCAAGCTTCCGTCACTATCCGAAACCTCTGCCGCCGAGAGATCAAGGAAAAGAAAGAGAAGCTTGAAAAGGGCGCAGCTCCCGACGTCGACATTCTCAGTATCGCCTTGGGAAGTGGCGGTTTCACCGACGAGAACCTCGTGGATCAAATGATGACTTTCCTCGCCGCTGGCCATGAAACCACGGCGTCGTCAATGACGTGGGCAATATACATGCTTTGCCTCCACCCAGAAATCCAGACCCGATTACGCGCCGAAGTCCGTGAGTATATTCCTAGCCTGAGCAACGACATCGGGAGTCAGGAAATCGACCGCATGCCATATCTCAACGCCGTATGCAGCGAGGTTCTCCGTTACTACCCACCAGTTCCCCTCACTCCCCGGATCGCCGCTCGTAATACCACAATCCTAGGACAAAAGATTCCCAAGGGAACCAGAGTAATGCTCATACCATGGGCAGTCAACAGATCCGAAGCCCTCTGGGGGAAAGACGCACAAGTTTTCAATCCTGATCGTTGGCTGCCTTCGGAGTCGAACCCTTATAGTGCTAATGGAGGAGCGAGGTCGAATTACTCGCTCCTCACGTTTCTTCATGGACCGAGGAGTTGTATTGGCCAAGGGATGGCGAAGGGAGAGTTTGCTTGCTTGTTGGCTACTTGGGTTGGAATGTTTGAATTCAGTCTTTATGATAGGAAGGAGTTGAATGAGGAGAATATGGTTATTAAGGGTGGTGTTACGGCCAGGCCTTCGAAGGGTTTGTGGGTTAGGACGAAGGTCGTTCCTGGTTGGTAATTTGTTCCCTTCTTTTGATCTCTAGCGAAATGTTTACTGTAATACCTGTTACTCACATTATCCCATGCGTTTTCTCTCTGGGTGAAAGGCTATGCTGGGGTTTGATAGTGGGCTTACTTTGTGCCTGGGAGAGTCGAGCTGGACGGTGGTGTATCGTGTACCCCTGGGTCTGAGCGATTGGATCCCTCAAAAGCTGGGCTCCTACAGCACGAAATAAATTCTCCTGTCTTTGAAGTTTATATTTGGAGATCTTCCAGATGGGGACCGCTTTTGGAAAGACCCTCCCTAGGAAGTACTTCCCATTTCCAACGAAGAAATTCTGTCACTTTTCGGCAAATAGCCATAATGCCAACAAAGAGAACGAAACTTCTTCGCAGCAGACGGCCAGAGGTTTTCAAACGCACTCTCTGCCTCGACCCCACCTACCAAAAGCTCACCTACTCTGGATGAGTGAGGCTATTCGAGCATCGGCACTTCCTACGGGCACTATGTCTTGCTTTCTGGAAACCCCCAATCTATGAGGAACTTGCAAATTTACACCTTCGACAACAAAGGCCAAAGGCGCACTTTATCCTGCTTCCGGGAGCCTCCAATCTATATGAGGACTCACACATTTGCCGTTCGGGCGCGGCGACGAGATCGGTGCTTGAATTGTCGATCGAGAATTTGTACGACTCCACGGCTGTGGATCGTGTGAAATTGATTTCTATGCGATGGCGTTGTTATCCATCAAATAGGAGACACTGTCTCTGACTCTCTCCGATTTTTTGGTCGAAATAGAAATACCAAGGCGCCGAGATTATCGCGTATCTTCGATGAGGCTTGTTTCTTCTGGGGTGGTCCGAAAGGCTGCTTTTGTTAGGAACGTACCGGATTCCAACCTTGATTGCCATTGAAAACGGCAAATGATGGAATTAAGCAGGAATTGCTCGCATTTGAAACGCTTACCAGCAAATTGGAATTATGACAGTTCGCTGCCGGTCTGTCTCACTCAATGCTTCTTCGGCGACGATGATTCTAGGGAGGATCTATATTTAGTAGCTGATGGGTGTTCTCCTTTCTTAGACGGTGTTCGGGATTCCCCGTGGGACCTTGCAGGTTCATGGTGGATTGAAGGGGCTGGAAGGAGGGTCTAAGCGTGGACGCTGGTTGAGGCTTGAAGTTGCACAGGATTGTGTTCTCGTGCAACGACGACGATTTCGAGAAAAACGCTCATGGCTTACATTTCTTTCGAGGTGCAATTGGGAACGTGGGAGGTTGATGCAATGGATGTGCAGGCGGGATGGGGATGCGGGTCAGAGACAGCAGGAAAAGGAGCCTTCTTGTTCTTTCGTCTCCCTCCGGTTATGGATAGGGGCTCCAGATCGTCCAGATGAAGGAGGCTCAAACTGCTCGTACTCCGTATCCTAACCCTCACACGCCTCTCGAGGCTGGGCCCGCGGTTCAATCCCCATCCCCATCTCCATCTTCACCCCCATCCCACGGGCAAGTTCAGACGACTTGCGCTTGAGTTGGGTCCACCGCTCATGTTTCGAGGCCCGTTGGGTATGTTCGCCAATGTTTGTGAAATGCCGACTGTTTCATGTTGGGCGACGAACGGTTCACGAACCTCAGGAAATCCAGATGAAAGCGCTTGATCGCGATATCATGCTCACATTCGTCTGTTCCTGGCGTACACGATTTGTTCGCTTGGCGAACTGCACGGCAATGCATTGCTCAACTTGCAATGTGTGTGTTGGTCCACACCACCGTACTGGAGTCGCGGGGAGGGGGGTGGATCCTCATCCGCGTCGATTAAGGCACTTCGTAAGGTTGTGGATATTCCCCTTGAGCCAAGGCCTTGGAGCACATCAATCAACGGCCAAGCCTTCAAGGGAGACTGGGCATTTTATTTGGGTTCATGTCTTTTGCCTCTGTCCACTCTTTTTTCCTCTCTTCTGACTTTCTCTCTCCAGGAGCTGAGCCTCATCGTTGTTATTTTTGCCTCACTCATTTGTTTGCATTGTTATTACTTTTTTCACAGCCTGCTGGCACAGGGCTTATTTGTTTAATCCTGTCGTTTACTTGTCGTAATCCCTTCTCCAGATCAGCGAAACTATCAGGGTTATTGTACCAAATGGCAAGCAGTTTCAACCGAACCATCTTATGGAAAAATGCTTTATAGAGAACCCAGTCAACAATTGACAGGCAGAGCATCACCACCATCGGCCATATCCGATCCATCAACCCAGCCTCTTCTTCGCCAACGCCGCCCCATCCGTAATACCAGATCAATTAGACAGAGATCTACCGACAGCTTTAGCAAATCAACTCGATCGGCATCAAGTAAATTAGCAGCTCGCGTCGCTCAAGAATCCCCGTCTACTCAAGAGGCCCCGTCTAACGTCACCGCACCTGAGCTTAACGATTCCATCCCTCGTAACTTAACCCAGGTACGTTCCATTGTTTAAGCCTTTACACCAACCATCAAATCTCACAATTCCTAGCCAACGACTTTACAAACTATCACTCGTACTGCGACTGAGAACTTGCCAGAGTTCACTCCAGAAACAGGGGTTGTCGAGCCAGAAGCTGTAAGTCATAGTCACTACAGCTCAAGCGATGAGTAAGAAACTTACCCTTCACAGGATCTCGCCATTGCCGCTGCTGCTGTCCCAGCCCAACGAACCACAGACCCCAGGACACTTGTGTCGGGATTGCGTTCCCTTGCCAGACCTGTAAGTTCCATTACAGTATCGTGCTTGAATGTTAGATGACTTACAGTTTGCTCCAGACTCCAACTCCAGCAGTGCCAGCCCTTCAACCAAACCCAAATATGCCAGGAGACCAGCGACCAGCGGACGAACGTAACACACCTCTGAATAAACCAGTAGGAGAACCCATGGGCGCTTTGCCAATTGGTGGGCTACCACCACCACCACCACCCGGCAACATGCCTACTCCACTACCACCACCACCCACAACTATCTTTCAGCTTCAGGTGAAGACCGTCATGGTACCAACAACAATTATACAAATGCTTCAACCGACACTACCACCAGGCATTCAACCACCACCTGTCGTACCACCGCCAGTTCAACCCAACCCAATAATTGCGGCCCCAGCTACCACACCTACACCTGGAGCGCTCCCTGGTGGACATTTCAACTCCTCCTTCGTAGTAGACGCCATCAAAAACCCCGACGCCTCCGCCGCTCCCGGAATAAGCTCTCTCGGAGAGACCGGAAAAGTGTCCCCTGGAATCGCAGCGTTCATCGTATTCGCAGTTCTTGGTATGTAACCTCTCATGATCCAACTCGCTTATCATCCTCGCTTGCAGACAGCGCAGGAAATTCGCTAGAGAACCGAGTCCGAATGGAAAACTAACATTGAATACAGGTGTTCTCGGCTTCATCGCCATGGTCATCTGGGCGATGACAAGCCGCCATAAAACCAAGAAGAAGGAGCTGGTCAGCGCCAAACTCGGACCTGGACTCGATGTCAAGGAGGTGAAGCATTAAGCTTAGGGTCGTCGACACGACACGCGCTCGACGAGATGTCTTCCAGGGAATAAGGAAACGTGGTGTGTAGATACTGAATCTTCGGAACTCATCATTATGTATACATGGTTTTGCGTCCTTTACGGGAGTTTGCTGGACTTCGAACAAATTTACGAGGCCGATTTTTTTGGGGTGTTTTGAATCTTTGGGGGGGCGGACTTGGCTTGGCTCGGAAGGGTGTCATGTTTTTTTGAGCTGGTTTATGTGTTTGATCTGGTTTGGAAATTCTTTGTTCTTCTCGCTGTCGATCGGCCTTGGAGGTGTGTGTTTTCATATATATATTTTACGTGTGAGGACAAAGGGAAAGGCGAATTTTCTTTTTTTTGGTGCTGGCCATCGGGCGATGTTGGGGCTTTTTCCTTGGATGGGAGGGATTAGCGCGCGGAGGGATAGAGAGAGGTAGGTAGGGCAGGCATGAATATGGAGTTTCTTACACACATCTGTTTCTTGTTAATTTTATTTTTATATCATATATTGCCTACCTAGTTCCGAATGAGGAGAATTGAGAATTGTTCACTTCCCCCCCTTGTGTGGTTCATTGGATGAATTCCTAGCTGAGGGTTGGTGTAGTGAGGATACGGAGGTATATAGTACCTCGATATCCCGTCAACGAACCAGATCCCAATATCTTTTCATATACGCAAGAAACTCTCTCTAGAGGTTTGATCTTCCACTTCCAATGAGTACTTCGATAATGCACCATGACCATATGTAGTAGCACAGGCCGTAATACTTCTTGTGAGTTTTTGATCAGAATTTAGACATACTATCCCATCCTCCTCACTCCAGCCCCTCGTGATCATGACACCTATAGCTAATCGCTACTAATTTAAGTTTAGACGAGCTAATAAGCGGATGAGCAAAGCTTGTCGTTGCTTATAAACACGACGTGTAGTGGTGTAGGATAACATCAGGACAGCAGATTGATGGCGTAAAGTATTTGAGAGAAGCCGTATCTTCTTCAGGGTGGTTCTAGGAATACTTGGATGTAAGGAATGAGTATTCTTTGTACCGCTTTCTTGACGATGTAGTAAGCTTTTGAATTCATTTATATACATATCGTCAACCGAAAAACTACTTTCCGTATCCGACTTGTTTTTAACTGCGATGTCTTTTAATTCCTAAAGATAAGTCAGTTAGTCAGTCGTATTTGCCTCTCTTACTAAGCTGAATAGCATCCATTCGAACTACTTGAAGCACATCAACAATACCAAATCTTCTTAGCAAAGAACGCTACACTTAATCTCACCGCTCCGCTACATTCTGATATTCGCTTGCCGGACTATTCTTGCGGTTGGGTAAGGTTGCCGCGTCACCGACGTCCAGATTACGACGAAATCTACGTGGGAAGGAAGAACTTATTTTGTCTGTCTCCTTCGTAACGAAATTTCTTCGGAGCATCTGGGTTAGATCAGAATGGCAGAAGGAAATTGGTTATCAGATCGGCTAAGTTTGGAAACTGGGAACGGAAGGTGTGACTGGCTGGGTTTTCATCTTGATATATAAGGGGTTGAAATCTGCTTCTTAATTTAGGGGATTTCCAGCAACATTCTGATATAATAGCTTTGTGATCGGTTCTTTGTTTGTTGATAATGAGGCACCTGTGCAAGTGCTATTTTCATAACCCCTTTTCGCTTGAGATGTGTCTCGGTACCCCTTTTGCTTCAGAACCGTCCCATGGTTGTAAGCGAAGACATGTACCCATGGTGAATAACGCGATGACAAAGTACGGCGGAGAATCAGACTCATGAATTCCACAGACGTAGTAGTGTTAAAAATATTTCGATGTTTGAAGTTGTAATAAGCTGAACTAGATAGAGTGGAAAACGTTAACACATACTAATTGTGACTAGCTAGCACTAGGGTTTTACTCTTCTTCCAAAATCTTCAGTGTCACATGTCAAGAGCGAAAAGACGATATGCAGGCACTCGAATCCAATGCCTGGAATCGGCTTATTCGTAAAAATTAATTCGATATCTTATCCCTGCTCTGTGTGCCGAAAGGGGTATCTGACTGCATATCGACTCACAGTGGATAGAGAGATGGCCAAGATAGTTTGCCATTTAAACAATCTCAATAATTCAAATGCCACGCGAATTTCATGACAATGCAGACAATCACTCTAATAGTTATCTCTTGATACCTCAGGTTATTCCAGAATGGTAGGACACCCGCGTTCTACTCGATGTTGAGATCTCGCACATGACCAGCTAGACTGCAGTCACATCCATGTACGTTGCAGAGAGGTTTCTCCATTGAGAGGATCGATATTACCCGGTTGGCCAAGCGGGCATTTCCCTTTCCTCCAAGTATCTGTCCCTCAAGTTGGGTCTTGGTAAGCAGAACGAATGGAGTAGTACTGTGAGACGATGATTACTAGTAATCGCAGCACGGATCGCCCGGTTTGGTCGACTTGCAGCCTCGAAGGGCTGGGCTGGGCTGGAAATGCACGAGACAGTTGGGACACTAACTTATACTTTCTCTCGAAAGGTTGACGTTCTTCTCGTATGCACTTACACCTCCCAACCTCTTGTGTTGAGAATCTCGCACCACCGGCTGGCTACATAGATCACCTTGACTCTCGCCTCCAGTTCTCAATGCCTCTGCCTCTATCATTGCAGCAAAGACCAGACTGACGCCGTATTGACTGAACACCAGGAGCGGGGGTGCCAAGCCGAGATTTGTCCCCCGTAGTGCCCCCCTCGACACGTGATATTCCTCTTCCCTGCCATTCCATTCCCGGGGCTGTTCTCCACTTGACTGCCGCCGTCATGCCTTTTTTCTCGACCCTGATTGACGAGGAGAATCCTCCCAAGGAACACCTCACCGAACCTTCCGAATCATATCCGCGCCTACTACCTGTCACACCTCCCATCGAACCCTCCCCACGAACTTCTTCGGATCCAGTTCACGAAGGCAGGAAAATGAGCGATGCAAATCAATCCCCTGTGTCGCCCCAACTCACGCCGGATGAAGCAAATCGAATCATTCATTCGCACCGTAAAGTGCGGTACGGTAAGCTTGGCGGTTTCCACAATGTTTCCCATAGCCTGCCTGCCACGTCTTTGACATCTGAAAGCTGCGGTCGTGGCTCCGCGTCCGAGGTACCTCTGGGGAAGCTGTTGTGCTAGAAGTTCTGGAACGTATACGGAGCAGCCTGAGTGTCCCAGGAGACCAGGATGACCACGAGTGACGAGCGTCAATTATCCTGGACTGCCCGGACAATTGATTTGATCGTCCAAGGCCTTCCAGGACAACATTGATAGACTCTTGCCCTTATTTTCTTTCGTTCTTAAGCCCTATCTGCAAACCTCAAGTTCAGTTGTAAGCTGAGACGGAGCAACTAGGGACTGCGTGCTGGCCATGTCGACAGAGAAAGGTGAAATGCGACAACAAACATCCGTGTGAAAATTGTGTGAAACGAGATCACGCAGGCCTCTGTTCCTACAATCCAAAGCAAAATGCTGCAACAAAACTCGCCCCAGAATCTGTGGCGGGCACGAAAAGAGGAAGGTCTCCAGGAAGCGAGACCTTTATGAGAAAAGAAGAAGATCGATGGCCAAGGACGAACGGTGAGTTCAAATTCCTATTCGGCGAATTTTCGGGGTTGTGGAAACCTACCTACTTTAGATATGTGGAGTCACTTGATATGTACAGTGACACGACAGTGTTGGTGGACAAGCTCTCTTGTTTTCATCCCTTTCTGGATGAATTAAAGTGATCAATCATGGTACTTGGTTTAATTGCTTTAGTTGTTTTGGAAGTTTAGTACACTGTTTTGGCTGTCTGAGTATCTGAGAACAATTATGAATCGTTAGGTTGGGAGAACCAGAGGCACCAATACTTGTTGTTGTCCACTTTGTGGATATTGCATAGAAACCGGATGGAAAGAGGTGTCAGGCTTATTATGACATTGTAGAAGCTAATGTGCTTTCAGATGATGACGATCCAAATGAATCAAGGTATCTCGGCCAGAACAGTATCGCTGCCTTTCTAAGCGAGGAAGCGAGAGCTCCCGGAGAAGGTGAGAAAGATGTCATCAGGCAGGATATTATGCCTATTCTGGGGTTACAAATCTCTACCGCCCCGTATCCTTTTATGTCTAAAGACCATATGGACAAAATCCGGCTAGATATTGCTGCCGCCTTACCTTCTGACCGAGATGTACTGAAGTAAGTTCGCAAAATTTAACAGATTCAGATTATTTTTGAACCTCTCTATGCGTCAATCGTCTACTAACATAAGCCAAGAACCTTTCAGATATACAAACAAATTGTACAGCCCTTTTGGGGCCTCCTCATAGATGTGGATGATTTCGAATCAAAATTATGTATATATCTTGAAGACCGAGGTGCAAATTCCAAGCACCCTGCCAACGGCAGCAAAGGTGTTTCCTCTGCCTGGCTTGGGATTCTATTTGCTGTCCTCGCAGTAGCCACGAATTACACAGACCTTTCCTACCATAAGCGAGCAGCATTGGCACAAAGTTTTGGTAGGCCTTCTCAGTCGGGCTCTATGTAATATGCTGACAAATGACGATAGTTCAAACTTCATTTCACTGCTTGAGGCTGTCAAACTTTTTGATTCGGCCTTCAATGGAATCATTGCAAGCACTTTTGATTCTTGGATTTGTCTTGGCCAATGATATGAAAGCAGAGGCATCATGGGCTTTGATAGGTTTGACTTGTAGACTTGCTCAAGCTCTTGGATTACATCGCGGGCCAAACGAGACCACACGCTTAACACAATCGGCAATTGAAGATCTGCCAAGAAGAAAACTTTGGTAGAAAATATCGTCTCAAGCTGTCAAATGTGGCTAACATATTTAAAGGTGGACTATCGTTTGGCAAGATAGTCTTCTATCACTATCTTTCGACCGATCTCCCATCGCAACAATGACCCGATGTCAGATACCATTGGGACCTGCCTCGGGGGGCGGATGGTCGTACACAGAGGCAATGTATAAATTGTGCTCGAAGGTTCTTGAGGGGGTAAATAATGATAGTGCCATACCCCCTAATTTCGATCAGATTATGGCCCACTCCCTCGACGTTGAAAACATCCGCAAGCAGGTACAACCTGAGTTGGGTCAAAAAGAATGTTGCAAAACCGTACAAGATTGGTTACAATATTACGCAGTGCGACTACATACCTCTTTTGTTGTTTCAGTGTTATGTCGGCCAGCTCTTCGTCGTGGTGAGATCATCGGCATGGACCTGTCCCAAAAGGCACTGCTTGCTGAGAAATGCAAGCACAATCTTACTGAGACAGTCCGTATGTATCTCAAGATGCACTCTCTAAGTGTCATTCCGACTCGTTCTTGGGCGTTCACCTACCATGGCCTATCGTCTGCGGTTCTTCTTGGGATCCTGGGAGAAACAAAAACAGATCCTGAAGTACGACAATTACAAGGTGATTTGATAGCAGCTCTATCAGCAACAGCTGCGAAAGACCAGGCTTCTGAGAAAGATATCGAGTTAAGCGGACCCTTATCTCGTGCTTTGGCTGCACTCAAGAACATCTACGAATCGCGGCTGGGACGGGAATCAAGTGGGCAGCAAACTCCATCACAATCTATGGACCAGACGCAATTTGAACAACAACAAAATGCCGCAATTGCTATGGCGTCGATGCAAAACAATGGGCTTCCGTAGGTTCTTCGGGGTACGAATGCTGATGGACAACCGCACTAATCTTTTTTATAGGATCGATTACAATCAACAATTAATGACTCCCATGGGCGGTGAACCTTCCCCACAGATCATTGATCAGACATTGAATATGTCGCCCATGGATTTATTCGATTCCATATTCTGGGGTAGGTTTCCTTCATGCTGTACTTTTGTAAATCGACTGACGTATTACAGATCCCTATCCTTATGGTGGTATGGACCAACTCGGGTTTGACTACAACCAACAGATGTATCCCCAGTTTTGAGCTGCGATATAGTACGATATAGTGTATAGCAGGTTTAGATATAGTATTATATTTATCATGTATAATTCAATGATTGGATTCTTGTTCTATCTTGGAGCTTTAAATCCGCACGGTATGGCCTGGACTTAACCTACGACCACTTGGATCCTGAGAATACTACAACTAAAAACACCAAAATAAAATGAAGCCATCACGAACCCTCTATTATTCCGCGGAGCGTCATTGCTTTCAGCTAGTTCTTCGAATGCCACTACCGCACTACCGTCAGACCTGAAATCTCTAAACAAGAGGTTCCGTAGAAAGAAGCCAGAAATACCACCTTCTAGCGTGACATACGGCCTAGCCTAACCTACAACACCCCTTCGCAAAACGAACCACGACAGAAAATGAAGCTATACCCAACTCTTACGCACGGCCCAACCCATAAAACTCCTTTTACTTTTCATCTCTGCAATAACTGGGGAATACTTCCACACTCCTAGCTAGTTATAGGCGATAACCATGACCTGTCGACGCCATGACTTCCCAAGGACTTAGGGTTAGATATTCAGCATTTTCTCCTCCTGGTCTCTATGCCGCGAGTTCTGCCCAATAGAGATCATTTTCTGGGGTAACTTCTGGCTCATGTTCAAACTCGTTCTCCTTAATAACCTCTGGGAAATCATCTAATCCATCTGATCCTAGTTCTTCGTGCGTATGATTGTGGATATAGTATACGAGAGTAGCAGAGTAATCTATAAATTCTGTATCTCTTATATGAAGTAAATCATTAAGAGCTCGGAAAGGATGGTACATTATTAGTTTTACACAAGCATAATCCTCTGCCTTCTTTTAAGCGTCGTAATGAGGCAAGTAGTTGATCTTTCTTGGTTTAGCAGTTCAAAACTCGGTGGTACTTATTAATATTGTAATTGCGAAGGTTTCGAGAAAAACTAAGGGCAAAAAATAAGAAACTACGACCAGAACAAGATAACCATACAACACGATAATGAAGCTATCGCCAACTGTCTCCCGAGTCGCAAAAAGATAAGCTATTCGACCAGAGTAGGACTCGAACCTACGCCTCCGAAGAGAACAGCTTTCTAGGCTGTCGCGTTAACCACTCCGCCATCTGGCCTTTGGACTCTTTTTTTGAGATGTCGATTGCGGGGTTACTTGGAGACTGGTTGGACTTGAAGAGATTTAGATTTGTGGGTACGGTAATGTTCACGGGAATAGTGGGGTAGGTTTGAGTATAAGCGAAGTGAGCCCGGGAATATTAGAGGGAAAGGAATGTTATATTACCTAGTTATATTAAGTATTGTTTAAGAGAAATATGTATGGAATAATATATATATCTCTTATACTTCAAATATAACTTATCGCGAGCTAAATAGCCTATACCTAGCCTTATCTCTTACTTTATCTTTATAAAATAAGAATATAGAATAGTTCTTAGAATTCTAATGAAACTTCTATTGTCGTTACTGTCTTTATCCTATCTACTCGTCGAGGCTCCCATGGTCGTTGCAACCATTATAGTTACATTTGAATCTATATAATCTTCCTTTGCCAAATCTTTGCAGAAAATATCTTTCCGGACAACTAGTGGAGGAAGTAACATTCTTCAAACTACCATGAGGCCAGACACGATCGACTCTTCACAGCATGTTATACTTGAATCTTTCATCAAAGCCTAAGAGGACCAATTTAGGTCAGCCAGGCATCCTGGCCAGTCAATCTATCATGCTGACTTGGCATTGTCAAATGAATCTCAAAAACTGTGATTTCTGAAATTGAGTCTATTTACCTAGGACTTGAAAAGCATGCCTGACACATGACTGCACACTAAGGTGCACTGAGTAAGTCAGTATTACACCGCTGCTTTGGGACTAGCGTAACCCTAACTAGGGCATAAGTTTACTACCGCTAGTTAGATAATTCAAGTCTTCTGCCCCAAACCAAACCACCCTTATCCTAGCTGTAAACTGCGGAGTAAGTTTAGCTCCGATCCGAAGATCCGAAGGCACGCCGAGAGAACCCCGCGCAGGCGATCCCAATTCACAAGATAAGCTTAATTCAAGTGCTTGTGCCTGGCCAAATTATTCACAGCCTCCTTCAACGCCTTACGCAAGCCTTACACAACCCAAACAACCACCACGACAAAGTTACGTACAGCACTAGACCATCTGACAGCGTGTCAGTATGTCTTTACCACCAGCCACAGTCCGTATCAAGAGGAAGAGGGGAGACGAACCTGTTGACTTCCTCCGTAAGATATCAACTCCTCCTCCGCATTCCAGAGTTGACATGGTTTCTAGAGGTCCACGAATCGAATGGCAAGCATGGAAAGCGTCAACGAAGAACATCCAAGGAATACCTCTTCTCTCTACAGCCTCAGCCTACCTCTGGCTTCCCAAATAATAATACCAACCTCCAGCGTAAAGACATAGCTCCCCGACCGATCAAGCCAGTACGATCTGGAGCTACACAGCTATCAACCAGCAATGGCCAGGGCGGAAATCCACCAGAAGTGGCTATGGACATCAGCACATCATCTGCGACAGGATTGGGACCGATTGAGGAAGGCAACCCAGCTATGAATAATACTCATGTTCGACGATTTCATATGTCTAGGAGCCCACTGGCAAATTCTACTGGACAAGGAAAGAGTCGAAAGCGATCAGCTTCAACGAGCCTTACCTTTAAAGAACGTAAAACCAAGAGGCCTGATCCTCCTGGAACAACTCAAAAGATTGATCAGCTAGACGCACAATTCTTGCCAGCTACCATGTCTGAGCAGGGCAGACCCCAGAAAAAGCCTGGTCGCGCTGCCAGAAGTCTTCCTGTAGCCCCACAGAATGAGTCTCTAAAAATCACATCAAGTCCAGTCAAAGTAAAGCCCCTTCCAGCAACCATCAAAAAGTCTTGGGATGTGAATTCTACTCAGCTTGCAGCAGAAATGGAGGCATTCACACTCGAAGAGATAGGCAAGAATATTGCAGAAGCAAACAAATTCCAATCTGAACTAGAGGCACCAGCGATGCTTACTCCACGGAAAGGTACACCATCAAAGTTCACGCCAAAGAAACCCGCTTTGCGGTACCATGAACGCCATCCAGATGTCAAAAGTGGTGCAGATATCATGGATGTGGACTACGAGTCTAGTGCAGAAGATACGGATGATGAGTCTGAATATATCATTGACACATATGTCCGGGTACCCGCCCATACCTTGGAGCCGTCGGATACTCCGAAAAACATTGGTTTACTCGTCCTTGACTCTCAGCCTGATATCGACGAGTTCTATACGGAAGGAGGCGAGAGTGATGACGAGGAAGAAGACGCGGAGGAGGATGAAAATGGTGAGTTGCAAGGACCATTCAGGTAACAGTAGTTGATTTGTTTTAGCTGAGGACCACTACACCGCCGATTATCCAGAGGATGAGGTCGATACAGACGACGAATTCGATCGAAATGCCTATTACTACAGAACATACAATGCATCTGATCTCGAGGAATTTGATGAAGATGATGCAACATTCAGCGACGACGAGAATGACAGCAAGCCTCCGTGGATGAAAGCCTGAAGATGCCAGAATGATAATTCAGCAACTATGACTTGACTTTTCAGGGAGGGGAAACTGTGTCTGCGGTGGGGTATTTCACCATTCTTGGAAGTCTAACATCTATCGAGGTTTCTAAGTTCAACAAAATGGTGGGCCGGATACGCAGACGTCTCGATAGGTCATCACGATACCAGACTGACAATTTAAATGAGTAAGAGTAAAAAAGTAACCAACTCCACGTGTCCGCAATATTTCAGTATATATAAATGATAAGCCACGCACTTCGATGTTGATCATTTAACCCAATACGCCTATCCCAGAGTAAGATTGCAACTACAAACGTTCCAATAAACTAAAACACGATGACTCCAACTCCAACCCTGACGCCAAACCCAACCAGAAAGCCAAACCCTGGAGCCTACGCCATTGACAAGCCCTCAATTTGGTACTCCACTTTTTGTTCTACAATAAATTCGCTGCTTCAAGGTTTCGAATAAGTTTTCGCCAACGCCATTTTTCTGGAGTACGTTAACACATGGCTCATCTACGGAAATATGTTTTATGACTTACTGCTCTTTTGGTCCGATTCAGCGATGACACCTCGATCCAACAGCGCGTCCATTCGGAGGATATCTCTCGCAGCCTCTTTGTGACCGCGTCCAACCCATGAGTAGGTGAGGGCTCGCTCTGGATGTTTTTCGACAAGCTTGTAAGGAATATCGAGTGCTCGACCCTCTGGTGTTTGTCTTTGTCGAACCTTAGCAGGCATCAGCCTTGGTCTGCCATCGCTGCCCAAAATTGGCTCCCAGTCATTATGCTCTGGAACTTGATTGTCTCGGTAGTATCGAGATGAGAAACATTGATCGGAATCCCGCGTTTCTGTTGAGAACTCTTCCTGAAATTTGACAGGAAGAGATTTCCAAGCGTTTCCAAGATCGTCATGGAAGAACCGCATCCAGTCTACCTGCTCTTGCGTGTAGGCTTTGTTGGAGTGAGGAGGCCTCTGAGAACCAGCATGATGATGATCTTGGGCGTGATTTTGTGACGATGAAGCAGGCGGCGATGTTGAATGGTAGCTTCTTTGTCGAGGGGATCGTAATTGAGTGTACCGATGGACTGGTGACCGTTTATTTCGATGGCCATAATCGAAACTCGAGCTTCGACGACTAGAGTATTGGCTTCTTGGGCTGATGGCGCGCAATGGAATTCGATGCTGTCTCCAATATGTATCACGTTCATTGAGAGTTGATTGCTGGGCTCTCGGTGCGGGCAATATCGACAGACCATTTAACAAATCTGAGACTGCCCTTGAACTGCCTTCACGAGATGACTCTCCATCCTTCGAGGGGTTCAGCATTCTTGAAATGGCCATAGGGTTTCTATCCTCGGACGCTTGTTGAACCCGGAGCTCGATATGCATCGTTTTCGGGTTACTCATAATGTACATGACTTTTGAGATCCATCCAAAATGGTAGCAGTAATGGAAGTGATAATATAGGGCGGTCGGTTAGGAAAATCTGGGCGATGGAGATATGCCAAAGACTTTATAGAATGAGACGATGCACCAACACTTCAATCGTTGCTCCCAACGATCAAGCAGTACAGTTCGTTGGGATGGGGCTATAAAAACTGTGTGTTACCGTTGTCGGTCGAGGCGGCAGCTCTTGGGACTAAGAGGCATTGATGGAGGGGGCTTTGTACTACGCTCTATGCCAAGAGGTTCTCCAGCAGAGTGGAAGCGAGATTCAAGCCACGCTTAATTTCTTGAGTCTGAATGTCCAATGAACTCGAAGCTGTATGATGGTGGTGTTGGTTGATTGCAGCAGATTGGACATGTCTTGAGAATATATGGCATCTTCAGCAATCGACCACTTACCACTCACTATCGTGTAAGCCCAACCGCTGAGCCGTGGCTGTGGATGTTGGTACCGGGGTGTTTTGGGAAGAAATCGCTGGTCGGTCCGCATTCTTGTTGACGGCCCGAGAGAAGTATTCCGGAGTGATGAGCTTCATACGAAATGGCCGCTGCCTACTTCGAACAAAGCTCGATAATGGGTCAGGGAGAGCTGCAAGTCCACTGCAGCTTTCTACCACATGACCAACAATCCAACAATCCCCAACCCCAATCCCAAACACACTCATTCATTCCTGGCCATGCGGTCAATTTGACTCGGGATGTTGTTTCCAATTTACGTGCCATGCCATGGTCAAGAGCAGTGCCGGCCATATCAGACTCGCTCGAGGCTGTGTGGAAACCGGGTTGTGGTTTGTCTCGGAAAGGGGGGAGGCAAAAGCGGAACGGTCAAGCGAAGCGAGGTGAGCCCCTGGCATCTCATAAAAAGGATAAAAGGCTATCACATTGGGCAGCCTTGTTTTCTTGATTTCTCTATTCTTTTTCGACAATCCCATCTCAGTTTGTCGACTGTGCCGTAGACTTAGACGTCTTCGCTCTTGCAAGGTTCTCAGTACCCTTAATGCACTCCGTATTAGTGGGTCATTGGTGTGACTGACCCAGTCTGTCGGGTCGGCCCTGCGGTAATCGCGCACTCAGCGCTCCCTGAACGCCCCTGAAGGCTCCCCACCCCACACCGCATCACATCCACACCTTCTTCTCATCTAATCGCCCTCAGGTTACTCGAAGGAACAAGACCCGCCAGCCCTCGTTCCGCTTGAGATAATAAATGGACTCCTTGAATCTTCCAAATGCGGTCAGAATTCTGACTAGGGTGGCACTGCTCTCTACACTCAAGGCAACTTTCGCCGGCCTTGCATAATCCTTCAACGCAATCCCACCAATGATGGCTATTCAATTCAGACGCCAAAATATGCTACGCGGACGGGGCTGCGTGGTCACACCAGATTCGTTGAAGAATGCGGACTTCTATCGTCAACGCCTTCATACCCTAAGGACTGCATGGCAGTAGCATGGGAGAATGACAACAGATATGTCAAAAGATGAGGGGGTGTGACCAGAGATCGTAAAGAATCACCTCGGTCATGCATTGATTCGTTTCTTCAGCAGATATGAGTATGACTATATTTCAATAGTTGAGTTGCGACAAGATCATATGGCACATTTTGATATGATTTCCTTTATTCCCGCAATACGCCCCATATTCTTCCCGAAACTTTCTTAGTAATGGAGATGTTTCCGGTGTTTCTCAAACCCAAAACGCAAAACCAACAAGATAGTTCTCGTCGTTTTTGACCTCTATTTGCCATTGGCTAGGGTAGTTCTTGTCGAGCAACTCCTCCCTTGCTAAATCCCAAGTTTTCTGCAGGAATCTGCACGTCAGGAAGAGGGGCGGGCGCCTGCGTTGCTTTGGGTGTGACAAAGTTCATGGGCGTAGCACGCCAAAGCTGACCGACAATTGTTACACGAGACGCCATATCGTTTTTGAAACGCTCGAACCAACACTCGTATATTCTGGATGATGACCCAACAACCATTTGTTAGAACATATCATGATACATACTTAAAATACCATTTTGCCAAGCGTTGGAAGGGAATCAAATGGAGGGAAGTTAGTTAAAAGAGTGTGGATATGTCATATGCGCGCGCCCACTCCTCCCCTTGACTTTGCTGTCGGTCTGGTCCCGAGGAGTTGGTTCGGGCACATATTAACGTTCGAAGGGGAAGGGTCACTAGAGTCACTTGATTGCGGTACTGGGAAAGTTGGATCACAATCGCCTGGGGTCATTTATTGCTCACCCCTGTTCATTGAACCTGGGAGAGAAACAAGCAACATGATAAGCACTAAAAAGGAAGTTCAATAATGGGGAAAAAGTTAACCTTGAAAGATTCTACCACAATTTGCAACCAAGCAACCGAGTTGAAGCCTGCCTGTTCACGATAGTTGCCCGTTCACGACAATATGTAGATGGTGGTATCTACAAGGTAACCGTCGACGATTCCTGATTGTGGGTGTAATGTTTGCCATGCAGAACGAAAAGCAACTGTAGTTTGCATATCTTAAGAGAATATGATAAAAAAAGTGTTTCCTGCAGCTGTCACTTATCTTTTCGCAGCAGAATTTTGTCGCTTTTTCGTTCTTTCCTGATCGCTAGAGAATTGATAGGTTTCAATTACCCCACCCCGCCCCTGATTTCTCTCTCTAGCGGAAACGAGGCAATGTTGCTTTGAAGAGAGAAGAGTGGGAGGAGAAGCATTCCTCCCTGGCGTAGGAAATCAGAAGATGCCAGAAAGATATCTAGGCGCGCGTGTATGTGCTCAGATCTGGGTGATGATCGCGTATTCAAAGATATCTTCCTTATGATCATGTTCTACTCATGTTGTGAGGCCTTTGTGGACAGGACATATTTGTAAGTCCATGGCCCAAAACACGCTTTTTTTTTGGCTTGCATGTGTGGCCGTGACCTCTGGGTTCCCTTTATTCGGACCCCCTGTCAGGATTTTAATATACTAAATGATCTATAGCTAAAATTGCCAGGGATAGCCAAGTACCATCGGGCTATCGGTAACTCGGTATGCCGTATTCGGGACGAATGCAATCTTTTTCGAGGAGAGAGCTCCTCGGAAATACTTGGAAAGAATGGTACGTTAGCTGACGGCAGTACCGTCTTGTACCGGGTTCCAAATGTACCTTCAACAAGTAAGGGAAATATATTGTGGGACTCGAACGAACGGCTTGGTTTGAGATGGGGCAAAAACGTTGCTTCAGGGTTGATGAATGTGTTGGATCATTTACCGCCCACGCATGATTTCCAGGGTTCATCGTAGATGGCGAGGTGAATCGGCTATCAGATCTGGCGGTTGGGGGTTTAATCGCCACGTGGTAAAGGATGGAAGGTAGCCTTCTGAGCCCCCTTTCTTAGCCACGATGTTTAGAGATTAGAATGTTGGTGTTGGTGTTTTCAGATACTCATCAGAGGGACATGCGGTTCCCATAGAGTACACTCGCTCGAGGCCCATATTTGGCTCTCACGTTACTCTTTTAGGTATTGATCATTGGATCATTCCCGAGAAACGTGAGGATTTTCGAAAAGCCACGAATCAAGTTCTTCTTTGATCCGTAAATAAAAGATCAGAAGTCCCGCTGGGTTTTCACTCGTCAGACTTGGGAAAATCTCAAAATGGGAGGGCGGCTGGAACATTCCCTCGGGTCTTTGTGACGCTTCAGAGGGCTGGTTGTTGTTGGAAGAAGACATATTTATTCATGGAAGTCTGTCGCTTATGTTGGGGCCCAGCAATGAGGCGACTTCAAATTGGATAGATGCTCGTCTTCACCTTAACAGTTAGCGCCGCGTTTGTGCTGAACAAAATTATGCTTCTTTGATTTGTTTTTGTTGGCACCGGGGTATGTTGGTGTACTCGGTTCTTCGAGAAGAACTCTAAGTCGTATTTCACATAGCTTGATTCTGGATATGAAGATCTTCACGAGCCTGTAGATAAGAAAGAAATTACAAGTACGATTTGATACTGTTAATACCATTCCCTGAGCTCTATCACAGTCGTTCTCCTATCAGAGATTTTGGGTGTTCATCTTTCATGACTAGATCCAGTCACCTCCTAGCTTACCAGGAAAAGGGGAGCAATCACAAATACATGTTGGTGGCTCCTTGAAGCCATGGCATAGGTATTGATAGAAAGGTGCTGGGAAGTAGTGGTTTTGTGTGTGTAACACATGGCTCATATGTTGACTATTACTACATGTCATGTTGCGGCATGTGAGATTTAACTTGGGAATAACAGGGTATGTCTAAGCGTGGTAGGTAACACGATCTTCCGTCTACGTTGTTTGAGCCTCGAAATCATTGGGGCATGCCCATCACGAGCGTGACACACATCGCTTAAGTTTTGTGCCAGACAGATGAAATGAAGAGAATTCAATCATGCAGAAGCCTCCACGCCTTCACCGAGTGGGAAACTGCGGCTGGTTCTGGTGCCATGTGGTTTTTTGTGGACCCGTGGCCATCACAACAGGTGTGTGATCATGGCTGAGATTGGAGAAAGCGTCTGGTCCCGAAATACCTCGGGGGAACTCGGTGATTCAGGAATGTTGGTGCGTGGCTGTAAGCCCAACACCTTCATCGTTGCTTGAGAAATGTGAAAGGGTTATAGCTATGGGGAGCATTCTATTGGGTACGATCAGCGATCGCTTGAGCGCTTCATGTCTGTCTCTGGTTAGCAGGAACTTCCCTGAGATTGGAGAAATACTGCCATCCTAGACCAAACCTTGCTCGAGGGCCAACTCATTGATTACTCGGTGTATTCCCTTTCCAACAGGCCATCAAACAAAGGGAATGGAACTTTTAGCCACCTATGAGAATTGATTCCAAGGTGGATGAGCCACCAGTCAAGTTCTAAACGCCCAATTTTTGGACGTTTAATGCAGTGGGCCAGAGAAGATTGTGAATTAGCACTCCGAAGGGCGGTGAACAATCCCTTTCAACTGTTGGGATTGTATGGGTGGTTCTCGAATAGGAAATCTCGCTGATGTTCACTGCATTAGTCTTGTTGGAAATTTCTACCGTTGTATTGGAAGGTCTTTGCAGTTAACGGTCACATTGTAAGCGAAATGGGACTTCTAGGTTTCACTTAATCTTCTGATTTTCATAATGTTCTTTTGGTTGCCAAACGATAACCTAATTCACGAAAAGTAGTAGCAACCAGCTGAGCATTCGGAGAATTGGCACATTTACACTATGGTTTGTATTCTATGTTGGTATGTGTAGTGTAGTAGAATCAACTGATAATTCTACTATTGATTATACGCAAATTTGGGTTCTAGATCATTAATGTTCAAAACCACACGCGAGGATAGGGACGAAAATGTCGTCTCATGGTTCGGGCCGGGTTATGGAAAGTGACCTCTACTCTCATATCAATCGCAAGAACAGAATTGTACTTCCTGGGCAGTTTTATGAATACAAAGATAATCCAATATTCGAAGACCTATTTTCCTGGTGCGTTCGGAGTAAGCCCCGTTCTTAACCCCTTTATCTCGAAGCGAGAACTTCTAAAGCGCTCCTACACAAGAGTATCGCGATCTTCTCAATTAATTATATCTCGATTATCATAAGCATGTGAAAGATTTACCTTAAATATGTCAATTAATAAAGTTGGTTTCCTGCACTTTCATTCTTTTTATTTCATAGTAGATTTTTACAGGTGTGTCGAGGACCTTCTCTCCTCAATCCATTCAAACAGGTACAACAATAAGCGTGTTCCAGATTTACCACGAATCCTCATGATACTAAAAAGGACCCGATTAGGATTGCTTTATTCATTCTCACAAACAAAAGGCATGATGGATTTCTTCAAGACAAATTTTGATAAACATACGGAGTAGTCCTCGTTGCCTCTCCTCCCTACACTCAAGTGGTCTGAAAACTCTGCCGCACAAAATCGCTGACGCTATTTAATTCTATCATTGTGTAAGAATGTAATAGGCCCCTACTCTTCTCAACTATTTATCTTATCCTGATTGATTTTCTCATCGAGGTACAACTTAGAGCTTTTCAGGAAACATGCCAGCCTGAGTGGACGGATTCAACATTTTGCTCTACAATACAAGATAAATTGCATGAGTTGATTATGGTTGTATTCTTAGTATCTACTTGGGTGGTTATTTTGTATCTATCTATGATATCTCGTTACCTACTCGGTACAGTCTTCTGTGCAGTCTTACCAGGGGTCTACACCTCCGATTTCACGATTTCACGCCGATATAGGGCCGAGTGGGCGCAGGGCGATGATTTAAGCTTCAAGCCTTGTGCTTTCAGGAGTCTCTGAATTCACCAACTTTTTGCGCCATAACCCAACGACTGACAGGAAAGGGTCCAAACACTGCGCTATTTGCAGGATGGAACGGATACATATCTGCGCACCATAAGAACCTCAACAGACCTCTCCCTCGCCATTAAATCCGCGCCCTAGACTCGGTTCTACTCGTCCAAGTCGCGGTCTGTTCTACAACATACAAACGGCCCCTTCAGATCTTTGTTCCACCGAGCCTCTCGAAAGATTGGAGATTGGAAAAAACCAAGCATCTTCTGCGAACCAAAATCGAAGGATCAATTCCTACCTTATTCCTACCCTCCCTCATCGAACCATATCCCAGCCTCGACATCCCTCACCATGGCTGGCCCTCTGCAATCGATCGAAGCCCCAGGAACACCGTTTGCAGGAGAGGAGCTCTATCAGCAGCGGGTGGAGGTTGCGACACTGTTAGACCGGAAGAATCTGAGTTTTCCAGGAGCACAGCCTGTGAGCTTTTCCCGGCGGCATCTAGAAGAGCTCATGCGCGAAGAGTATGCTGAACCACTTTCTTTTATGCAATGATGCCATGAGAGCTAACTGTCTTTGAAAGCTACTACGTCTGCGAGAAATCTGATGGCATGCGATATCTCCTGTACCTGACCGAAGACCCCAACGGACAAGAAGCACAATTCCTGATCGACCGAAGAAACGACTTCTGGTTGATCCCAACAAGCGGGCTGCATTTTCCTATACCAAAGAATGTGCAAGAGTTTCATAGGAAAACCCTCATTGATGGCGAATTGGTGTTTGATAAGCTTCCGAATGGCCAGATGCAACCAAAATACTTGGTATTTGACTGTCTGATCCTGGATGGAAACAGTTTGATGAGTCGAACTCTGGATAAAAGACTGGCCTATTTCAAAGAAAGAATTATGACTCCTTATGAAGCTCTTCTCAAAGAATATCCCGAGGTTGGTGGCTGAATTTCCGACACATTTGGCGTGAAATTGACGTTTTCTTAGGAGAAACAGTTCCAGCATTTCATAATGGAGATGAAAGCAATGCAACTCAGCTATGCCATTGAGTTCATGTTTACCAAAGTTCTCCCAGAATTGCCGCATGGAAATGATGGGTTAATATTCACGTGTCGAACCAGCGAATACAAGCATGGGACCGATCAACACATCTTAAAATGGAAACCAGAATTAGAGAATAGTATAGATTTCCGATTACGTCTCGAATTTAACTTGGTCCAGCCGGATGAACAAGATATCGCAGATGGGATTACAAAACCATATTTCGACTATGAGAATGAACCAATATTCAATCTTCACATGTATGCGGGGGATGGAAGAGAAGACCCTTGGTATGCCACATTATTTCTCGAACCAGGGGAGTGGGAGAAATTGAAAGCGCTACAAGAACCTCTGGATGATAGGATCGTTGAATGTTTCATGGACACCCAGAAACGTTGGCGATATATGCGATTCCGGGATGACAAGGAGAATGCGAATCATACGAGCACAGTAGAAAGTGTGATTGAGAGCATTACGGATCGCGTCACTAAACAAGACCTGATTAACGCTTCGCAGGCAATCCGAACGGAGTGGAAATCTCGAGAAAGAAAAGAAGTCGAGCGGAGGCGCGTTGCTACTGAGGGAGTTACCAACGGTTCGAATAGCTTGGGGATAAAACGAAAGGCTGACGAACAAGCACTCGGAAGACCAAGTCCTGGGCCGCCCGCGGAAAGAAAACTTTAGCGGATGGAGGTTACGCTGTCTTGTCAGGTGGCGGCCAAAACATGTATAATTGGGCTATTTCTCTGCAGAATGGCATATGAGAATGGCTAGGGAGCACGATCAAAAAGGAATATCGCATGGGTTTGGCTTACTTTGCGAGGCGTCTGGTTTTTTTCTTCTTCTCAATCTTTCTTCATTAAGGGAGGCTTTCTAATATCATGGTGGCACACAAACATGGTCCGGGTGACTACGATATGTTACGGTGGCGCATGGTTGGCAAAAGATGATTACTTTTCATAGGCTTGCCCTCGAGGCATCATACTTAATCTTCTTTCCTATGGAGTGGCTTACTTTAGTTGGGGTCTCAGACCTCTTTTTTAGAAGGATGGATTGGTGTCTTTGCTTGGAATTTGGGTCTTGGACTGGATGGCTGGATAGGCGCAGCATGGAGTTTTTTGCATTTGGTGATAAGTTCAAGTAAGAGCCATTATTTACTGTATTAGGTATAAGTATTAGGGCGAACTTTCTGAGGAGAAGAGAAAAAAGTGAAATCATCCTACTTGAAGTTCACGTTTGGTTTGGGCCTCAATAGGAATTATGTACTCATCATTTCATTTCTTGCTATTCATGGCAGGAACTAAGGCTTGTCTATGTATTGACATCTGACTCTACAAACCATGTCTGCCGCTGCAATCCAGAGGGTGACGACCTTGCATAAGAAAGCAAAAAAAGAAGGGAAATGACAATGAGAGCCGTTATTTTTATCGTTGCTTCGTGAATCGTAATGTGACTGACTTTCCTTTCGCTTTCCATTGCCTTGGTCCCTGTGTTTTACTCCTGAAAAAGAATTCGCCAGCTACAAAAAAAGGGTAGGTACAGGAAGATTTACCACCTGTGAAGTTTTTTCATAAGACGAAAATTTGACAACAAGGGTGTGATGCTGAGAAGCCTGAAAATAAGCCCTGTGGAGATTTCGAAAGTAAGTGTTCAATTGGGAAGATTATAGAAAGTAAGTCGTTTGATGTTTGGGGATCCAGTCTCGAGGATTTGATTGGCAGATTGTTTCCATTATGTTCGTGTCTTTGGCTGAGGGACTTGATCTTTACTGCTTAACTAGTAAGGGCCTAGAAAAGAAGGGAGAGGAGGACGACCAAGAGCGCCAGGTGAACACTTGGCATGGTTTTTCCTAGGGAGTTGACAGGAACGGTGGATGGGGTTGGTGGCCCTGTTGGTGAAGGAACAGTTCCGTTGTATGGGTTTGTTGTACCGACTCCGCTATTAGCTCCAGTAGAAAGAGGTGGTTGAGGAATGGTGTAGGATGGTGCTTGGGGAGCGGAAGATGGTGGTGGTGAGGGGTAGGATGAAGCCTGCGGAATGGAGGGAGTTGATGCAGAGGGCGAAGAGCATGGAGGCTTGCTACCATCTCCACAAACTGGAGTCCCAATGAAGTCGCTTGACGGTGGGATGCTAGTGTATGCTGGTGGAGTTGACTCTACCGGTGGAGGAGTTGCCAAAGGTGGTGAAACTGCTGAGGTTAATGGCGCAGGCACAGTAACAGTGATCGTTACTGGTGTGCAATCGCAAACCCCAGTGGCAGATGGAGATACAACTGGGGAACTAGCAGTCTCGCCAGAGTTAACTGCTGTCGATGAAGAACCATAGCCAGCAGGAACGCTCGCGGTTTCACCGGAATTGGCAGCAGTAGTGGTGGTACTAACTTCAGTAGAGCTATGACCGTAACTTGGGTTAAGAGCAACTGTTTGAGTCTTGGTGGTAGTATCATATTCGGTGCATGTGGTCGTCTCTGATGTTGTGCTTGAATCCGGAACTCCTGTGTATACTTCCGAGGGAGATGTTTCACCTGAGTTTTCTCCGCTTGAGGTTGGAGTGCTGCCTCCAGAACCTGGCTGACTTGTCGTAGGAACTGGAGTCACTGTAATCGTACCGGTTGTTGTACTAGTTAGAGTGTTGGTAGTGTACTCACTTGGTGGTTGCTCATAGTCTGCAGAAGGGGTAGTTCGTATCGAGGTGGCGGTTGTGGAAGTGTAGCTGTCAGCAGGGGTAGATGGGCTTGGAACCTCTGGGATACTGCTGCTTGAGGAGGGAAGGATTGTCACACTTCCTGGCAGACTAGGTGTGCTTGAGGCAACGTAACTGCTTGGTGTTGGGATGGCAGAGGAACTGGTCACGGGGACGGTTTGTTCATTTATTGAAAGACCAGGTGTGCTCGAAAGGTAGCTGCTTGGCGAAGGAATTTCACTCGTAGGAATGGCGGTATCACTGGTTGGCAATCCCGGTGTATTTGAGACAATGATGCTGCTATTGCAAAGTATTAGTAGGAGCAAGTAATAGAGCGATAAAACGGTTTAGCGATTATTCCTTTGGCTAACGTACCTTGATTTGGAAGGACTCGATTCGTAAGGTTGCGAACTTGTAGGTGGAATTGGCACAACAGTAGCACTATAGATAGGTTAGCAGCAATAAGATATGATGATGTAATGAAAGAGCTTACGTGGAAACCACTACACTTGAATCAGTCGACGACGAGTCTGTGTATGTGGAGGAAGAAATCTCAGTGGGGCTTGATGGGACAGCAGTACTCGACGAGGGCAAGACTGTTGAGCTATGCGAGTAAAGTATACTGGATGAGGTTGGAGCCGGAGTTGAGCTAACCGAGCTTGAGATTAGTACAGAGGAGCTTGGAACCACAACAGAAGAGCTGGAATAAGGAGTGGGAATCTGTGAGCTTGAGAGCGAGACCGAGGAACTTGGAACCACAACAGAGGAGCTTGAAAGAGAACTAGGACTCTCTGACGCTGGGGTCGGAAGAGAGGAGCTTGAAGATGGGGTGACCGATGCGCTCGAGTGAGGTGTCTTTGTCTTGGTCTTGGAGCTTGGAATTGGGGTAATCGAATTTGTAATCGAGTACCATGTGCTTGGAGATTGGATAATGGAACTCGTCTCAGAAACCAAGGTGCTTGGGTAGGTGTGACTCTCTGTACTAGGGACAGATACTGATGAGCTTGAGCTTCTAGGTTCAGGTCAGCGGCAAAGGCAAAGGGCCGGACATCAGATGAAAATTTCGGATGGAAACTTACGATGGGTGACCACCTGGAGAGGAAGCAGTAACTGGAGTAGTCGTGTATGTCGTAGCACTTTGGGTAGAATAACTTGGGCCATAAGTGCTGGAGCTAGGGACAGAAGGAGTCTCAGAGCTCAGAGCACTTGTAGTCGTACCGTAGCTGGTGACAGGAACAGATACAGATGTAGGCATCAGGACACTAGAAGTAGTCTCATGTGGTGGTGGGGACGGGTAGGAATGACCGCCATATCCTGGAATACTGGCTGTGACACCACGAGCAATAGGCTTGCCTGCATCTTGAGCGATCGGGTTGCCCGTTGCGCTCAAGATCATTGCCATTGTGACAACGGTAGTCTTGATCTTCATCTTGAATGAATGTGTTACGTCTGCTGTTGAAGAGTTGATGGGTGATACTGTGGTGTCAGAAAGTGGTGTCCATAAACATGGTCAAAACATGGTTAAAAAAGACGCGACATACCTGAAAAGGGGGTTGCTTGAATAGATCGCACGAGAGTCTATCAACTTTGGCCAACAAGAGAATTTCGAAATCCTCTTAAGACGTAAAGAACGTTGGAGAAGGAAAGGAGAATTGTGTGGAGGTCAGTGTTGAAGAAAAGTTGAGGTGCGAGGTGAAGAAATTTAAAAGTGGTTGAGGTGTTTGTCTTGCGTCTAGTGGGTGAGGGGGAGATTGAAGCAACAACAAACAGTGAATGGCGACAAGCTAATTTCACAATTCCGCCCCCTGCAGCTTTTAGCCACTAGCGTCGGTTCCACTTACTCTTATGTACGCTCATGTGGGTCCTTGATATCATAGCCATCAACTTGTTATGAGGACTACTAAATTACAATGATGTAAATGGCAATGGAATCTGTCAAGACAAGATAAGGAAACAAGTAGACCTCTTCCGTTCTTGACAAGGGGTGAAAGAGGATGGATGATGAAACCCATGGAAGGGAACGCATCTTATATCTCCACCTCTTTCGCCTTCGCTTGTACCTTTTATATGATTTCTTCAACTTTCCAGATGATAACCATCCTACTTTGTGGAATATTCAGAAAAATGCTGTAGTTGTACATATGAAGTATGTAGCTAGTTGTAACATACATCACTTCCAGATGAAATTAATTTTGATAAGGCAGGTAGATAAGGAGTAGGTACTTTATGTACAGGTACATGCAGTGAAGGTAGCAACATACATGTACTTTCAAAATTTCCGATAATTACAAACGAAGACATGATTGTAAATCCGTAAATTAGCTCGTTTGTTCTTTCTGTGTCAACCCCTGAGTCTATGTTAGTACTAGTAGGTACTGTAAAGAAATGGCAGTAGAATGGTGCGAGTCTGTGGTTTTGACTTTTGGGAAAGAGAGAGAATTCTGATGTTTTGGCCAGAATTGAGGCAAGGCAAGGAAGTGCTCGTGCTGAGTGAGATTATACACAATGTACATACAATGCAAACATACAAATGTATTCTGCAATATACTCTAGGTAGCAACTCTAATTCGCATTTAATTGGTCATGAAATCTTCTGCAGCCCTGCGGGTATCCATGGCCAGCGAGGTGTGTAGAGAGTGGCGTAGCTAGAGTGGCTCGCTATAGGTAATACGGCAGCTCAAACTCGGAGCATGGAGAAGATTTCGATATCGATGATAGGAAACATGAACATCATCAAGATACATATAAGTATATATATTACTTGGATGTATCTCAAATCGTCTTGTCATCTTCCCAAAATCGAGGTCTGGAGTCTGAGGTCGGTGGTCCCGACTGTGATGCAGAGCTCAGGGATGGCGGAAAACAAGCTTCCTGATTCGTCGACGCGTTACACCTCTCCGGCCTCCACCATTTTACATGGCATGGTTCTGTACACACACGATAGGTTGATACAGCAGCATAGGTCCACGATTCCAGCCAGCTTCAGCACCAGCTAAACATCAGCCAAAATCTTTCCACAACATCGCCGCGAGCCCACTCCTCCTACTCTTCTCTCAGTAAATCAATCGCGCGTCAACCCACTACGAATCTCCAGGTCATTGCGGCATCAACCCTCTCGTAAAGTGGCCGCATCCACCATCCAAAGATGGCGCCGCGCCGCGGTGCTGAGGTCGAGGTGGAAGTAGAGGAAGCCGCAGAGGGGCAGTCGTTGCAATTCAATGAACCATTATCATGGCGCGCCGGAAAACCCATTGCCACGGCAGAGCTGTTGAGAAGATTGGAGGCGCTTGCGGATGAGTTGCGCGATATGGACCAGGAGGAAGTGGACAAGGAGTCCTTCAAAACTGTCGCAAAGGAGCTCTCGGGTCAGAACCTCTTGTCCCATAAAGATAAAGGGGTTCGCGCATATGTAGCATGTTGCCTTGTGGATTTATTGAAGCTTTGCGCTCCCGACGCGCCATTCAGCGCATCAAAACTAAAGGTACGCACGCTCACTTGACACAGGTATAAGCGCCCAACTAACATAGCTTCAGGATATCTTCACTCTCTTCATAACCCAAATATTGCCCGCTCTATCAGACCCATTGAACGCGTATAACACTCAACATCGATATGTGCTACTCTCGTTGACTGAGGTCAAGAGCATTGTTCTCTTGACGGACATCCCAAATTCCGATGCCCTCACCCTCCACCTTTTCCACACCTTTTTCGATATCCTTTCCGGCACCTCCAAGTCCTCTACAGGGGAAGCAATAGCCAAAGATGTCGAATACAATATGGGTCAGATGCTTGTCATAGTGGTGGACGAAGCCGCAAGCTTGCCCCCGGATGTAATAGATGCTATAGCCGCTCAGTTCTTGCGGGCAGCATCTTCAGGTGGTGGCAAGAAGCATGGTGAACGTGCGGATGACAAGCAATCTACTCTGCTGTTGAAAGAGCTTCCCGAGTCGTACAATATGGCCAAGACGATTTGCAACTCGTGCCCAGAGAAAATGGCTCGCTACATCAGTCAATTTTTCAACGACGTCATTCTCGAATCTTCACCAGGTGTGTCGAAAACAAATGGCCATCGAAGAACAAGTGATGCGGTTGATTCAGAGGAAGATGAGGCACCCACTGGCCCTTCAGATGCCGATATGCGAGAGCTTCATAAGGCGCATAGACTCTTACGCGAATTGTGGCGAGCATCGCCCGCAGTTCTGCAGAATGTAATACCTCAATTGGAAGCAGAACTTTCCGCTGATAATGTACAACTTCGACTTCTGGCAACAGAAACACTCGGTGATATAATCTCTGGTATTGGAGCTGCCGGGCCTCCACCAACGCCAACCATGGATCCAGCTGTTTACCCACCTGTTCGATTAGATGACATTCCACTAAGCCCAGTATCGGACAGCATTTTGACTACACCAATCTCCCCACAATCTTTCTCCCACACGCATCCCACCGTCTACCATAGTTTTATGGGCAGAAGGTTTGATAAATCTGCAGTCATCCGTTCAGGATGGACAACTGCCATTGGTAGAATTCTTGTGACATCTGCTGGAGGAATTGGACTGAGCCGAGAAGACGAAACGGCGTTAGTGAAGGCACTCGGAGAGAAGGTAAACGATCCTGACGAAAAGGTTCGTCTGACAGCTATAAGAGCAATCGGGGGATTCAGTTTTCGAGACATCATGACCAAGTTGGCTCCAAACGGCGGTGTCAGCAAGCCTGGTTCGGTCCTGTCCAATCTAACAGATCGTGCTCGCGATCGCAAACATACTGTTCAGGTCGAAGGCATGACAACAATTGCCAGGATTTGGGGAGTGGCTGCTGGTGAGATTGCAGTCGGAAATGAGGCGGTGATCAGTACTCTCGGTGCCATCCCAACCAAGATCTTCGACGCTTATTATACAAACGATCGCGAGATAAACGTGATTATGGACCATGTCATGTTTGAACAGCTGGTGCCTTTGAAATATCCACCCGGAAAGCCCAAGGGATCAAAGTCAGCGAACGGCGAAACCCAAGGCGAAACTCAGACTAATGGAGACGGACCATATAATCCGGACAGAATTAGAACTGACAGAATTCTTCTCGTTGTCAAGGGCCTGAACCCGAAGTCCAAAAAGGCTTTTTTTGCAATGCAAGCCCGCCAGCCAGCATACTCTCAGGTTCTGGCCAGCTTTTTAAATTCCTGCGAGGATTACAATGGGGGGGTCATGGAGGACGATGCTGAGAAGATTGAGGCGAAACTTGATAATGTGATCGAGTGGTACGCTGGCCAGGCTCCGGATCGTCTGAGGACTGCCCATGATCTTAAAAAATATGCTAAGTTGCATGACCGGAGGAGTTATCAGCTTTTGCGATTTGCGATGGCCCCGGAGAGCGAATTCAAGACTGTTTATAATTCGATCAAGGAGTTCTCGAAGCGTATTGAATCAGCCTCCAACGCCCCTGCTGGTCTCCTCGACACTCTGATGCCAATTATATATCGCTCTTCGTCGCTCGTATATAACCGCAGTCATCTTCCCTTCATCATGCAGCATACCAAAGGAGACGAAGATGAGCTCGGCGCAATAGCACATGAAATTATGCATGAGATATCTGAGAAGCATCCCAGTATCTTCAAAGACAATGTTCAAGAGCTGTGCAAAGCGTTGACTGAGCAAGCCCCTACCGCTACCAAGCCTAATGATATGGGAAGTGTGGAGTCTTTGAAGGCTCTTGCACTATTTGCAAAGAACCCAAATAGTTCCAAACAAATCCCAAAAGACCGTAAATTCATCTCGACATTGATGGCGTTTGCGCAATATGGCGAACCCCCTAAGGCTGCAAAGTACGCGGTGGCTATATTGATGGCCACCTCAGAAAAGAAGGAGATGCACGGGAAAGATTTGTTGGATAAGTCAACTCAAAATTGGGAGTATGGAAGCAGCCACTTTCTCACAAAGCTTGCTACTATCAGTCAATTGATACTAAGTGACTCCTCGATTGCCGACGAAGCAAATGATGAGATTCTAGATATCGCTACTACGAAACTCCTTTTACAGGTTCGGACTTCAGCTATGGACGACGATCCAGAGTGGAAGTCTGAGGCAGATATTGATGAAGAGTGCATTGCCAAGTGCTGGGCTTTGAAAATTCTTGTGAACAACCTGCGTGTGGTCCATGATAAGGAGACCCTCAAAACCTTCGCGGTTCCAGTTTACAAACTCCTCAACAAGTTGGTCAAGGAAGGAGGAGAAATTTCGAAGAACAAAGATTCGCCAAAGTATCACAAATCTCGATTACGACTCCTTGCTGCGCAATCGATTCTTAAACTATCCGCATACAAATTTTTGGATAGCCTTCTTACACCCGTCGACTTCAACCAACTCGCACTAATGACAATAGACCCCATAACGGAAGTGCGGAGAGGATTTGTCGAAAAGATTCAGAAGTATCTGGTGAAGAACAAACTTTCGAACCGGTTCTATACCATCATTTTTCTGACGGCTTTTGATCCAGATCTTGCCTGGCGAAATTCTGTCGTTCTATGGATTCGTTCACGTGCCAAGATTTTCGCTGCTCAGAAATCCCGCTCGCTGGAGTCAATCTTCCCACGTCTCTTGTCCTTGCTGGCCTCTCACCCGGACTTCAGTCTTGACCCGGTTGAACTTGTGGACCACGCAAAATACATACTGTTTTACATCAACGCGGTAATTTCAGAGGAAAATCTGCCGTTGGTGTACAAGTATTCGGAAAGAGTCAAGCAGGCACGCGATGCGGTCAATACGACAAATCCCAAAAACCTATATGTCCTAGCCGATCTCTCAATGGCTTTAATTAAGAAATACCAAGAGAAGAAAGGATGGATTATGCAGACATGGAGCGAGAAGGTCGGCTTACCTGTTGGACTATTCGCAGGCCTTCCCAGTCATGAGGTTGCCCAGGAAATTGGGGAGAAGAATTACTTGCCTGAGCCAGAGGAAATAGACTCTTTACTTGACAAGATCTTGAAAGAGGCAGATAGAAAACCGGTTTGTCTCATAAATCACCTCGATATTCCCATCACAGTACTAATGCATGCGAGCAGAAACGCAAACCCGACGACAGAGACAGCATTTCTCAACCCAGCAAGAAGCACAAGTCGGACTCCAAAGCACGTGCTTCCAAAACTCCGAAAGCCAAATCAGAGAAAGCTCCCAAGGTGAAAAAGACCCCGGCCAAGGTCAGGAAACCAAAGGGTGACGGCGACTTCTCCGCTACAGGTGTAAGTCATTCGGAACGCAGAAAGAGTGGCCGAGGAGCAAGTGCTCAGAAGAGCTACGCAGATCGTGACTCGAGTGACGACGACGAAGAGATGCTTGATGGTGTGGCAAAGTGGGACTACTTCTCTGAGGATCCTGATTCTCCTGGTGAAGCTAAACGAAAGCGAAAAATGACCTCCGAGGCCCCATCTGAAAGCGATGTTATGTCACCACCCCCAGAAGAAGAGAATGCTGAAGGTGCAGACGTGGAAATGTCTGATGTCGAGCGTGACCAAGAACTGAAGACCGTCTCTGACAAGCCACAAGAGGAAAATGGGTCTGAGCTTTCTGATCTAGAAGAGCCTGAACATGAACCCCAACCTGAAGATGAAGAACAGGAGGTGGAGGAGGAGGAGGAGGTTGAAGAAGTTGCGCCCACGCCACCACAGACCAACAAGAAAACCCCTTCGAGATCTAGTGCGAAGAAACCTACACCAAGTTCGTCTGCAAAATCAATGTCCAAAACGAAAGCCAAACCTGCTACCGCCAAACCAAAATCTTCAAAGACTCCTGTCAAACCCGCTACGAAAGGAACAAGATCTTCGGCACGCAATACAAGAGCAAGTGGGAATGAGTAAATCTCCTACCACCGCCACAAATACCGATGCAAACATGCTACCCGTTGATATGCACGCATATAACTTGCTCTGTTCTGAAGCGTCTATGTCAGATATTGAATACGATTGATCAGATTGATTGTTTGATATAGAGGTTTTCTACGAGTGCTATCGATGTTTGCGGTTCTCCTTGCACTTCGTCTTGCTTTCACGGCCGAGGTTGCGATTGACGCTTGTTCCTTTTCATTTTCTTCTTGAACACAATACCCGTTTCTTTTTTTTTCTTCTTTTTTTTCGATGTATGGATATAGTTTGGGACGAGTGGCATCAGATTGGGAGAAAGCGGGGGCTTGGGAATGATTCCTGGCTAAGTTTTCTGTGTGCTGAAGTGTTTGTGATACTATCAAAACGAGGGACGGTGTGAAATGAGCGTGGAATATAAGTAAGGAAAATAGCGGAGCATGAATGTATTTTATTTGCCAACATATAGGTACTTTGCCTACCACCTGCGTTCCTCTTGTTTATCTTGACCGTAGTTATAGGACTGAACGCAGATGAACGATCCTCTCACTGTCTGTACCTACCTATACCTAGGTCTTAGCAGATTCTGCGAGGTTTCCTGTTGGAAGTCAGGCAGGGCAGGTACGATCGAGTCTCTGGAAGCTCTTCCACCTACACCTGCATGCTTTGAGGTTAGTAACTCGTCGGTCATACCTTCCCACTTAGATCAGGTCTCCCAGGTTTCGTTGTGCCTCATGGAAGCTGCCAAGGTGTCCAAGTCATTTCTCATTTCCACGAGAGGAGGAGTCCCTTTCCTCTCTTTTCCTTTCCTTTTCCCTTCCTCAACTTCAACTCTATGAACATCTACATCTCTTCAAAAACAGCCTTTGACATTGCATTCATTCCATTGCCAGAATAACCGGCACAGCGCCGGATCGACGAGCAACATGGCACAACCAGCAGAGTTGACGATTCTAGCAGAATTTGGAGCGGAAGAAGCAAGAAAACTCCTTCCTTGTATTCTCAGGCTCGTAAGTCGTAATGATCATGAAGATTTGGCCGCCGATGAAGCGTCAATCAAATGGTTTGCTAACCCTCAACTCTAGCATGGACTTGATAGGCGCAGCATAGAACGACTGGGAAACCCACACAGCCTCGCCCGCAATCTGATGATGGTCAACACTACCCTTACATTTCTCTTTCATCCCAACGTTTTCACCGACCCCAAAGCAGAAGCTGCCCGAATCTTCGATCTCTTGTACGCGGAGGCTAGTGCTCAGGAGAAGGAGCTTGCCTTTCGTGAGACCTTTCCCAGATATGTAACAACCTCTCGACATCTCGGAACGATCCACCCGCCACTGCCCGAAATCCCAAACGTCTTTAAACAGTTCTGGGATGGTGCAATGGAACGATATCGGGATGTATACAAAATCAAACTGGACCCTAATCAGAAGAAGACACCAGGGAAGGATGGTGAGCCACATAAGCTGAAGCCACTCATTCATAAGATGATTGAGATGGAAAGAAGACGCAAGCGGGAGGAGGAAAAGGTAGAAGCGGGAGACTTGCCGGATCAAAGTACGGGCAATTCTTCCACTCCGAGTGCACTGTCTGCAATGTCGAAAAGCACAAAGGAAGCTGTGAAGGGACCACCTGATTCAAAGCGGTCGGCAACATGGGGGGCTGTCAACAAACTTTTTCATCTCAAGAAAGGTGGAAGAAAACAAAAATCGTTAGACGTGGATGGCAGTATTGATGAAGAGAGCTTTGCAGAGGAAAGCGTTGATAGTGAGAATACTTCCGGGGGAAAGGATTTGAAGGATCGGTCTACAAGCATCATGGGGGCCGAAACCGGACCTTCTTCAATTAGTATGACAGAGGAGCATGAGGCCAGAATTTCCCCCAACACTCCTGGAGTTGACGATGATCTTGCTCACGTTGAGCATATCGAATATGCGGAGAACAAATTCGAAACTTCCCAAGATCGTGGATTGTGTGAACCTGACGGTTTTGTCAAGGACAAACAGAATGAGGATGAAGGACCACACCAAGAGTTGCAACGATTGGAACTTGTCAAGGATGGTTCTATGGAGGTAGCCATTTCGACGGACTCGACCGAATAGGGAGGTATATGAAAACAATGAGGGGTCAAATTGTTTCGAGTGTGACGAGATATGGAGTGAAATTGCAGTCCGCCCGTTTTGGGCTTGCAGGGCAAGAGGCTTTTTGCGAATAATGAAGGAGGTATCAATGATCATTCGTTAAGATTCAGTCGAGTAGTATTAGTACAAATGAGTTGCTAGAAGGTGTTGAATGCCAATATTCCTTTGCTGGTCCAAATTGAGTGTTTTTTCTCTTGCCTCCTCTGACGTTCTAATAGTAGGTATCTATTCCATTGCAACCAGCCTTAAAGAAATTGTCTCTGTAGAAACACAGATCACAATGAATATCCAGAAGTGAAGAAGCTCCAATGGCACTGAGCTCTAAGTGAAAAATTACACGAGGGAAGAACAATGGATGGACGTACCGATCAACCCTCTGTCCATTCCATCTATGCCCCGAAAAATTTACCCACCCCCTCTTTTACTGGCCCCGTATTAAGTTCGCTAGCATGTAAGAGAATAAAACCCGCAGCGCGCCACCTGCAAACAGCGCGTTGGGTAACGTAGTCTCCTTGCAAGGCAAAACATTATTAGTCTTGGGACATTAGTCTTAAATTCAAGGGATGAGGAGGCAAGCTAGCTGGTCCTGGCTGCTACTGCTCGTTAAAGAGTAGGTGGTTGGGATCTTAATGCTGGCTCTCTTTTCTTTGGTTTGGGTTGGTTTGGTTTTATGTATTTTTGTGAGGTGTTTGAGGGGTCTTTTTGATGGGGACAGCGTATTAAAGGAATACTCAACTACGTAGGTAGTACTTGGATTGAGTGGGGTTGAGTAGAGCTGAGAACGTGCCACTACTCTACTCAAATCTACTCATTTGATACGCTGGATGGCGATAAGGGATGTTTTTGATCCATGTCTAGCGAAGTTATACTGTTGTGACATAAGTGGGCTCGCTATAGATCTGAGTTTCATGAGGCATCGAGATAGTAAATTCAAGTAACTAAACCTAGGCTAGTTATCCTTTGTGGTGTTAACATGCGCTGGCGGTGCTACGTAGTGTTTCGTATGTTTTTTGGGGATTTTTATTAGTGCTAAGCGAACCACTCAGTTATCCACCTTACCTGCAGAGCCACCTCATTACTCTGGCAAATTTCTTGTTGTCTTATTTTGGCATGCTACAGCATACTTACACATAAAACTACTTGGGGTTGTATCTTTCCCATCTTCTCCGAGTAATTCTTTGCACCGAATGTTGTGAGGTTTTGTTGCGTTAATCTGTGCTTGCTATCAAAAATCGCACCCACTGGAGACAGGCACTGGAGACAGGCTTGCGTAGGCCGCGAAGTCAGCAGGATCTCGACATGATTTGTATCAGGTCATAAGCGGAAGCCCAAAAATTGGCAAGACTCGACTCAACTTGAGGAGCCGGACGTCAGTTTGACGATGAAGCGTCAGGATTCGGGCCATTAACGAGGAATTATTTAAGAGGCTCAGTCACCTTAACACTTCTAGGACATTAGGAAGTTGATTGATGTTGTTATTCAAGCCTTTGGTAATACATGCACTGATGGTATGAGTATCCTAACTACATTAATTCATTGTCTTGCAGGTTCCTAAGCCCCCTTGGCATTACTAAAATTTCTGCCGCTGAGGTGAGTGGCACACTTAAAGTGAAAGGCTAGTGCTGCTATATCGCAATCTCTGGAACAAGCTGACAAGCAAACCAGCACTACGTTGTCTCAACACCATGAGATTCAGAGCTTCATCACAATTTTGAAACTGGTTGAATTATCGGTAGGCAACCTATTCCACTGTACTGTCAAGGTTCTGACAAATGGCAGAAGTCTCGACGATGGCATCTTCAACAGAACAAGCAACAAACCTGAACCTGAACCTATCTGCATATCCTGCAGGTGTCAGCGATCAATCCTCCTCAAAGGATTCAAGTGCTTTCGCCATATCCCAAGCTCACCCCACTGAGACAACCATCGAATCACCCCCATCCACTCCAACATTCCCCTGTTTCCCCAACCTTCCACCAGAACTTCGATGCATTGTATGGGAATTTGCCTGCTATTACCCCCGTACGATAAGAATATCAAGAGCGATAATTGATACTACCGCCTCATGGAATCTCGTATCATCAGATCGCGACCCAGGAACACTCCTCGCTTGTCGAGGAAGCAGGTCGATAGCGATGCAATTCTACAAACCATTGCTTTCTGCTTCGCAGTTCCAATTTACCACCATCAGCTTCAACCCCACTGTTGACATAGTTTCTATTGATGTATCACGCGCACTCGCGGAACATGGAGATGCGATACCTGTGGAACAACCCATCTCAGGAAGACTTGCCACAGGAGCTGCCGCAGCAATAGAACGATTGGACCTACGATTTTCGAGCTGGTTCAAAATATGGAATCAGTATACATATCAGCTCATCCTCACTTTTGCGAACATGCATCTGATCAAGCATACAACTCCTCCTGTAGGTGTTTTCAACAATGACTTGATCAAATTTTGTGGCTTGAAGCATCTATCAGTACTTGGCTTCAACTGGAGCGACAAAGTGGAAAACGCCCCTATTAGCACGGCTGAGAGGTCAGAAAAGATTAAAGATAGTCTAGTTGGAGTTTTCAAGGATATGAAGGCAGAGAATCCTAAGGTGTTTCGACCACATACTGTCGTTAAACAAGAGGATGATGATTATGAGGCCCTCGATTTGGGAGACACGAATGTGAAGGAGACAAAGGGTGTTGAGGAGACTGAATCCTCAGAGACTGAAGGACAATAGTGAACTGAGTGATTAGAGAATGACTGCTTACTTCCTTCGAACACACAGGATATTTGGCGGGTATGCGCCACAAGAAATACAATTTGAGAATAGCAATGAAATACCACTTTGCAACATATCGAAGCTTGTACCATCATTAAAATTCACCAAGTATAAAGTTGACCCACCAAAATTACAATGTCTCATTTGCTCTCAAAGGAGTTTGGAAAGCTTTTGGAAGATAAAGAAAGGCTCGTAAGAAGCTTGAGAACTCATACTATTCCTCAGATCAACCTCATTCCCCTAATTAACAAGGTTTACAGAGGTACTAGCAGCAGTTGTCGGAGGATTTGGCATTTGAAATAGTTAGAGAGAGAAGAAAGTACATACTATGTCATACATAGTCTTCCAGAAAATGGGTTGGCAGTTTGGGGATTATTCGCTTAAACTTTCTACGAATTTCTAGTAGTTACTAGAGGTAGGCGTGTGGTCTATCGAGAGCACATGAATCACAGTGTATACGTGATTTCCACCTGTGCACTAGTCGTCATGAAAAATAAGTCTGATTAAAATTGATATATAGGATGTACCATTACAATTAGCTCAGTGGCAGAGCGGTATTGTTCAAGTGTCCAACTACCTTGTCCAAAGTCACGGTGAGCCAAGAGAGTTTTTCAAGAGACTTTGGATAATTATCTTCTACTGTTTCGGGGAACAAGTTTGATATCCAATATCGATAGTTGCACACATTTTCCGTCGCGGAAACCAGCTCGGGATGATTTGACGGCAACCTTTTTTGCCCGGGGTTCTGTTTCTTGCGGCGTGATTTTCGACAGTTGATTAAACATGGATTAGGTATGAACGTCTGCCATTTGTTGGAGAAGGACAGCTGGCCCGCTCCTTCATGCCACATGCAGTGGAGTTTGTATCAAGTACGCGAGGAGAAGAAAGCCAACTCAGATTTGGCCCAAAAGTCAACATTGCTCCTTCCCGCCCACCAACGCCATACTCAGACCCAAGCCGTACCGGGAGCAGGCGCGACCAAGACGCTCTCAAGCCGTGGTGCTATGTGTACCGGCCTCGTTCATCCCAAGACCTGATAGCAAGTGTCCAGTGCGTTCTTCCGCCACTTTCGTTGCTCCTCCCTTGCTTAACCTGAGAAGTGGTTCGGGTGAGACTCAGGGGTCCCATCAGCGAGAATCATGACAAGCAGAACAACGCCTAACCACAGTAGAATTTGGGGTTTTGTCCCCAGGCTTGCATTTATCACTGTCACTGTCCGGATCCCACTTCACGACATCTCTCCCAACATACACCTTCCTATCGCTGCTCCCGTCCCTCATCCCATACACAATGGTAACCTCTCTTTCTCCCGTGCTGCAGTTTTCTTCATCGAGGGTATCAATTCTCAAAATCCTAACTCGGCTTTCCTCTGGGATAAATCCATACTCATCAGCACCCTTCTCTTCCTTCTCGATCAACCACTCTAAGATGTTGACCGAAAGCATGCTGTCGAAAATGCCAGTTCTTCTAGGCTCCAACTGCATCAGCTCAATTGTGTCTCTCCGAATTTCTCCATTACGACAAAACTTCGCGACCATAGACAACACCGGAAGCATTCCGAGATCCCCGGCAAATGGCTTAAATCCTGTTTGTTTGGTAATTGACATCTTCGAAGCTCTACCATGTTGGACCACTTCCCTCATGAGGCGGATTATAGTTCGAAAGTTCTCTTCGTGTACATCAAACTTGCACTTCGGTGGTGAAAACGGTCGAATCAAGGCTGATTCTAGACTGTAATAATCCTAAATGGAGAAGCTGGGCCGCAGGCGTATTTGCGGGTTCTTCGGTCTCAAAGAGATACTTTGAAGCTTCCCACATGCGGTTCCAGTCCTCGATATTACGTATATATAACTTTTCAAGGTCTGGAGGGGTTGGTGTGCAAGCGTATGGAATGCATAATGTAGAGATACACGCAACATAATCCGAAGACGGGTTTTCCAGAAAGATTTCCGCCATGCTCTCATCGTTTTCGTCAGAACTGGTATTAGTAATGATTACCTCGGTTGCCAAGCATCGATACTGGGCGACTCTACGTAGGAGATAGACAATATGGCGAATTGCCTGTGCGAAATATTCCATACGGTCAGGCATGGAGGAAAAGACTTGATTCCAAGTGTATCCGCTAGTCTTGAATCTGTCATCCGAGTAGGTAAAACCGAAAGGGCCTGGAGATGTATGCGTATGAAAGCAAGGACAATTCCCTCTTCGATCACAAGGGTCCCTCCTCGGCAGACAGCTCCATTTTGCAATCTCGCGTCGGGGTTGTTTTCCACCCAACCTTGAAGCATTTTGTACGCACCCATGACGTGAAATAGGGCAAGTCTTTGATTTCCATGTAGTCTTTCGAAATCGTAAATCAAAAGGCATCCTATCATGGCTTTCCGAATGTCTGCTTCGCCTTTCACGAGGCTGGATCTCATTTTGGTGATGGCTTGGTCACTTGGAGATGCGTCAGGACACTCTGGGTTTACATATCCAACGCAAAAATGGATGGGTTGTGTGAAGTACTTACTATCTTCTTATTGCTGTCGCATAATGAGATTCTTTTTCTGTCGTAGCGGAAAGCTCAGCAACTGTGGAAACCCCCTTCATTGCCACACAGAGTGCTGAGGTCGCAATGATTGCATCGTATGTTCAATTACCACCTACGTCCGCTTGGGATGTTTTCCTTGTCCCAAAGTCGGAGGCATCCATGAGATTTGTGCCATCTGTACCTACAAGACCTTCGAGTCAGTATATCTGTCTGCAGGCATACAAAAAGTAGAAGTAGTGGGCGTTGCAAGCACAGTATAAACTACAAGGACGTCCAGTTTCCGAGACATTTACACGGAGAGATGGGTTCCGTACCTGGTGCAAACTCTTCTTGGTAATACTGAAAGTATCGTTGGTCTATACTACTTCCGAAGGGAGAAGCTGGCAAGAGCTGTCGGTGAAAAAGCCGACTGTTGCGATTTGTTTGTTCTGTCCTGCATTTGGCCACACGTACTGGATTTTTGATATATCCTCCGCATTTGGTTCCAAATTTCAGGCAGGATTTACACTCTGGAACTCCCTCGTCACATTTAACTCGACGTGCTCTTCGAGAAGGTTAGTGGCAGGCATACTTGGGATTCTAAAGAGTAAATACTTACTTGCAAGTCACGCAACCAGTCCGTACTTTTGCATGAGCTGTTCTTTGTTTTCGGTCTCCTCGATTTGTATCCTTCTGTGGCATTTATCGTCTACCATTCTGATGTTCCCTTTTCGTCTCTGGGTCTTTCAAGGTCATCTCTGAGAAGTTGCTCATTGAACAAACGTTTGTGTTTGGGGTTGCCAAGTGAAACCAACTATTCACAAGATGGCTCGCAAAGACACACACAGACACGGAGGTTCCTTAGTTTTTGTACGTGAGCACAGTATCATTCTAATTTCCCCACCCTAAACTATCGAAAGGCGCAACCAACCAAAGTTTCGACATGATCTACGCCGCTGGGACGTTTTGGTGGAATTCAGCCCGAGCCTCTATCCAAGGAGTTAGTTCGGCGAGTCAGCTAATAAAGCTCGATCCATTTTCCAAATCCTCCAAGATGCGCGAGGTCTCTCTCCATATCTCCGTACATCCGTACTACTTCCTCGACTATTTTTCTTGGGCATCCAACATGAGAGGAGGGTGGAATGGGTTGCAAGAACCCGCCTCGTTCTTGGATACGACTACCGGCATGTCATAGCTTTCCATTTCGGAGGTTTCAAAGTAGGTACACTACCTCGCCACGGTGCTGTGTAGTAAGGCGTGGTGGGTCTTTGGATCGAAATAGTCTTGTGGTCACGAAGCGATGACCAGCCACAGTCACTACGCCCTCTCGTGGCCTCCTACTCGCGTACCGTACAGCAACGTAAGTCCCGGATTTGAGGGAGTTTATCCTTTCGTTACCTACCATGAGTAGAGAAGAGAAGTTTGGTTCGAGATTGGCTGCGGCAGTGCGGCAGCTACTGTAGCGGAGGCGGCGCAGCAGATGCAATTCCCATGCTTCGCGCTACTGTAAGGGATCGCTACCTTAGTAAGCTTATTTATCCCTCACATCTCGTAAACCTCCACCTATCCAAGTGCCGTATCAACATTCGAATGGCCATGCTGCGCGTCTATCCGACCATTCGGCCATTTTTTTATGAAGAACCCCATGTCGTTACAATATCGTTACTGTACCAGGTTGCCGGATGCGGAAGAAATGGGATCCCCATAACGTCAACCTGGAGACGAAAAGCTTCAACGCGTCCCCACAAGACCTACTTCCTCTACAGATTACAGTCCCGGTTTGAGAAGTACCACTTCTGCAATTGCCTTGTTTCTGGGAAACGCTGCTTCCAAGCTACTCGGTGTCTGATACTTTGGTAATTCTGAGTAATTCATGACTCAAGATTGCTCAGCACTTTGTCTGGAAGTCTAGATCTCTTGGGAACGTACTAATATGGGTACTTGCTGGTCTGTAATTGTCCGGATATATGATGCCGACGGGTCCATAGCCGCCTTGAGCTCCACTTTTCAGTACTCATAGCCAGCAAAGCGATGAGCCACATTGTACTGTACAGCGTTATTCATAACCTGTGTTAGAAACGCGGGCAGCCGAGAACATAAAAAATGCAAAATTAGGAACTCAGGAGACTGGTCCTCCTTATATTATAGAACAACCATGCTTCTTAGGCTTTACCCATACTTTAAAATTGTAGTTTGGCATATCCTAAGTTGTTGTAGCGAATTTTTATATAACCTAGAGGCGTTTCTGTTGAAGTGGATACCGGGCCGTGGCGTAAATTCATATCACATTAATCACCAAGAGTTAGCCAAGAGCAGATTTTCAAACTGTATATAAGCTAGGACTTTCTGCACCTCTCCCTAAGCCTCCCCTCTGTAGGTAATCCAGAATACATCATCCAACAGTTTCCACACTACGATCCAAGAAGAGGCCAAAAACCAATTTTAACGGCCGCGAGGCAGGATAGCAGGGTCGGGTCTTATTGTAGTACCGGGCATGTTGTTCCAGATTTATAACCACAAACACTGCTGCAGAAGTGCAAGTATGTGTGATTTTCGTGTGGATGTTTTGCACATTCGATGTACGTCCCATCCGAACACCACGCAATACAATTATTACAACACTGTTAAGCAACGAATTAATAACGTTATCTTCTAAGTCAAGTACTTTGAAAGATCAAATCAAAGCTTGCTTTTTTAGGTAGGTGTGAGGGACTGGGAGGAGAAGGGGCTCTTACCAGAATATTTTGTGCGGTCGTAGTAAAAGCAGCAAGGCCGACAATGATGAAGGTGGAGTGTAAGAGTTTCATGGTAAGCCACTGTAGCTATCGGTGTTTGGCTTGGTGGAATGTAGAGGGCAATTTTTGATTGCTATACGGTTGTATGTTGGATCAGAGAATGCAGATCTCATTCTGAACATACAGGGAGAGACAGACGCTTTATATGCTCTCAAAACGGCATAAAATTAGATGGTCTTGGGTCATTGGAAGTTGTCGTTTTCATGGTGAATTGTGTTATATTGTAACTCTAATAAATCAATTTTGAACTCTAGAACCGTACTTTGGGTTTTGGTCGGCTCTTGTGACTTACGCGAATGATACGAGCAGAGTCGGTCCGAGGCTGTATATATCGCAGTCCTTCCTCCCTTGTTCGCGGAAGACAAAAAAGGAGCTTAGGGGATAACAACTAGCCAAAATTTTCTAGTTTCCTAGAGAATTTACTGGAGTATAGAGGCTCAACAGTTTGACTTGATCAATCATCGAAATAGCTTTCCGAACGCTCCGGGACAAGTAAATACAGACAAGACTCGCTATAAGGATATCCTTGTTTTTATCCTTGGTACTTTATATCCTGGCCCGACCATATCCTTGGAGCGAGCTTTTTCTGAAAATAAATCCAAACGATTAGACTTAATCACTTTTATCTACTATCCCCTTCCCCTAAAAGAAAAATTATTTCGTGCAAAGTGGAGCCACTTTGTAGTCCCTAGCAAAGTCTACTCTAACCAATAAAAATTAAGCTAACTATATTAACAATATTAGTAAGTAGCTAGTCTAATAGAGTGATTTGGCAACCACTTTTTAGTGGCAATTATAAGGTTAAGTTCATCCTAAAGTGTTGCCACTACCAAAAGTCAAATAAGGGACTAACTTTTGTTAGTACTAACAGAAGTTATTTTATGAGTTATCTCACTTTTTAGTCCTTAATTGAGCCTGGTCCAAGTGATATCTAAGCGTTCGTGTTCTAATAAGACTCCTCGTATTTGCATTTATATTAGAAAGCGTCCCTGCGTACTCTTTATTAGATACTGTCGCTTTATAATAGTGAATGATTATTAGCTAGCTCCGAGCGTAGTTGCTCCTTCGGGACTAGCGTGCTTTACTAGCGTACTTTGGTACCTATAAGTACGTAGGCACTTAGCTAGCTACACTTGCTTCGGCATGCAACCTCGAGACTTAGTTATTACCTTAGTAATATAGGTCTTTTGCATCACCCACTTGACTGAATAAGTCAAACCAACAGATACTAACTCGTTACTAAATTCGGCCTGCCAAACATCTTATAAAATTATAAACCTTATTATCTTTACGCTAAAAAAAACTTTACTACTAACATTAGAAATCGGTTGCCAAATCACTCGATTGAATAAACTCGAATACGAATGTTTTAATAGTGAAAATTAGAATTTACACTGCCTCCCCACAAATCATAACGTGTACCCACTTTGCACGGAATAACCTTTTGTTTAGGGGGGGAGGGGAGGGGGGGATAGTACTTTCAAGCTTGTTCCCGGAAAAGGTATATGGGTGTATTTCAGATAAGGAGCGGGGGTGTTTGATCAAGACATCCAGCCTTGTGAGACCCGCTATTTAGCGGAAATAATATTTTATCTATCTAAGCTAGATATTAGAAGATCGTTCCATTTAGACCCTTTATAGAAACCACACAAGGGGGACTATACATCTTTAGAAACCCCCAAAGTATATGTAAACTCCTAAAGTATTAATTGACCTTTATGGTATCATGGGACTTTGAACTTGCTAGCTTATCATGAGAAAAGTATGTAATCTAGAAATAAAGATTGTAGTTTAATATTATCTCCTGAATTCTGGAATTTCTGGATTAATTTCTTTTTCTTTGGAAAATCCGTGAACAGCTTGTTCGCGAGGATAATGATAACTTGGATATGCACAAGATGAATGTGGCACTTCAATTCATATCATAAACTATCTGTATTTTTCTATTTCAAGAGAAGTCGATTGAAAGAATCACTTGAAGAAAGAGGTCTTTCAGAAGTGGTATTACGGCGGTCACTAATTCAAGAGAGCTTATTTCCATTCCAAATTTATACGTTAAGCCAACAAATGTATTGCTGATAACAATAAACGTCGAGCTGTCCTCGTTGTATTTCTTCTTTAGGAAAAAGGTCATGTTAGGAAAATAGGAAAACAAAAGAAAAGAGCTACCCGTACGATCTCGATTGTCTTGAATATTCTCAGACAGGAATATTAGAATGGCAGTGAACTCTCTCAGAGCTTCAAGATATCAGAATCCAACTGTTGAAATTACGTAATCCGTCCTACTGCATTATGTCTACTTTGTCAAAGACTCTTTGTTAGCTAGCTATATATAAACTAGCTGTATCTATAGTAGAATAATCAAGTACTTAACCAGCTTCTTCTTTACCATATTTTATCACCAACAACCACCAAGACCTTGAAATCTTGCCTGCGTTTTCAACCACATCTTCGCAGAATCATAAGCAGACAAGCGTGAAGGAAATCGTTGCAGCGGATTTACAATCCATGCAACTTTACTTCTTGGCCACCGATATATAACAAATAATATTTCAATAACAAATCTAGATCGATACACCAAACATATTCTCTATCAACATGACACCACTCAATGACCTGAAATCCTAATTCCCACCGGAATCGGAGTTCAAAAGTCACATTTCACTATCTACGAGCTACCTCCCCTCAGAAGTGGGGTTCGTGCCCAACCCCACTGCCATTGCCGCTATACTATATCACTTTATCATACCTCATTACTCGAGTACATTCTTTCTTTCTCAAATCCTCTTCTCTTTACATACGACTATTTCTTGTTTTGGGAGAGACAATAAGGAGTCATGAAGCTCTCATCGCCAATCTGCGGTGCTTTGATAGGTGGGGTGATTGGCGGTGTGACAGCCCACTCTTATGAAGGGGATAAGGAAGTTCCACTGCATGAACGGGAATATAATCAGGATTCACGTGAGGAGTTGGAGAGGAAATGGAGTTTTGAGGTGAGTTCCTTTCTTGTTTTTATTTTTGGGTTTTTTATTTGAGGGAAAGTTGGGCGGGGCTTCTGCAGGGATTCTGCTTATTGCAATTAAAGTCCTATTCTGCCTCTTGTAGTCACACTTACTATCTTTTCCTTTTGGAAGAATGAAGTGAGTGTAAAATCAGACATCCTACTTCTTACTTGCTGATTCTGGGGTGCAACTTGCCGTTTACAGTCTCAAGAAGTAGAAGATGATTCAATTTACTAATAATTGTCATAGTGGGGATTTTCAGGAGTGAACTCCTTTGCTCACCTCGAGCACGTAAAATGTCTCACAAAACCAGATGCATTATTTGATATAGGCATTATCGGCGTTCCATTCGACACGGCGGTATCATATCGACCAGGTTCGAAACTCTCTCTTTTTTCTGTTCATTCATTCACAGCCTCACGCCTCACACTGCTCCACTACCCAGACAACAAGTTCTAAAAACAAATGTATTAGGAGCACGTTTTGGACCACGAGCAATCCGAGCCGCCTCATCTCGTCAAACCTCCTTCAGAGGCTTCAACTTCCGAGGAGGAATAAACCCCTACCTCTCCTGGGCCAAAGTCCTGGACTGCGGCGACATCCCGGTAACACCATTCGATAATGCTGTGGCTCTAACACAAATGACCTCCGCCTACCTAGAACTAGGCCATAGAACACCTCTATCCTCGACCATCTCTCATCCAAAAATCATCTCCCTAGGTGGAGACCACTCATTAGCTCTAGCAGCTTTACGAGGCTTGAAGAACGTCTATGGACAACCGATTGCGGTCTTACATTTTGATGCGCACCTGGATACCTGGCATCCAGATAAATATCCAAGTCCATGGCCGAGTGCACAGGCACAGTATAACCATGGCTCCATGTTTTGGCTTGCCTCAAATGAAGGATTGATTATGAATGGGTCGTCTGTTCATGCTGGGCTTCGTACCCGTCTTTCAGGAGACGATTGGGCGGATTACGATGATGATACTGCACAGGGTTTCCTTCGCATTGAAGCAGATGACATTGATGCGCTTGGTCCTAAAGGTGTCATTGAAGCGATTATGAAAAGAATGGGGACCGAGACTCCGGTTTATTTGTCTGTTGATATCGATGTGCTCGATCCTGGATTGGCTCCCGGAACTGGAACTCCGGAAGCGGGTGGATGGAGTAGTAGAGAGTTGATCCGTATTTTGAGAGGGGTTGAAGGGTTGAATGTTGTAGGGGCTGATATTGTGGAGGTTGCACCGGCTTATGATGGAGTTGGGGAACAGACTGCACTTGCTGGTGCGCAGGTTGCGTATGAGATTCTGACTAGTATGGTCAAGAGGGGATTGAAAGATATGGGGAAGGATGATGAGATTCCCGGAAGACATGGCAAGGTAGAGGGGAAAGGAGGAAAAGATGAGCTTTGAGGGTTAGAGGGACTGGCAATGTATTTTTGAGAACGAATAAAACTAGTATGGCAATTTCTAAGGATGGGGAATTGAACAAGAAAATATTCTCAATCTAAAGGTCTGCTTCTGTTCTCGAGGGCAGAGAGCGAAAGGTGATTGGACAGATAAAACACACATACCATGAGTCAATGAAAGTTTTCAATGCCTGAGAATTTTAGATAAGCTGATCAAGGGCATCGAATAACTCCATGTTCAATTTAGCTGATTCATGAGAGAGGTGAGGTGAAAGAAGGCGGTTGCCATTGGAAGATATGTGACACAAATGCTGAGAGGAGATACTTTAAGTCCAGACAAGTGCCAAAATCATAACTTCATAGAAAACTAGTTGATATAATATGCTACCAACATACGCGCCAAATACATATTAGACACGATGACCAAATTACATGAACTCCAGTCGCCTTTCAGTTTTGCAACTTCAGAAGTTTTAAAATGCAAGCATTCCCAAATTAATTATCTACCATCAAACGCCTCCAGCCCATACACACCCAATCTCGTTAGAATAATTAGACCATAAAAACGGCAGCCAAAATACCAGCACCAACTGCTAACATGCTCGCAACAAGACCACCCGCTCCTGATGAAGTATTGGTAGGGCTACTAGCAGACGAAGTTCCAGCAGGGGTACCACCAGAAACGGAGGCGACTACACTGGCAGTTGGTACTGCCGTTGTGTAGGAAGTGGTGTAAACGGTTGGGAAGGTAGTGGCGTATGCCTGTCCATTTGAGGTGTATGAAGAGGTGATGACTGTGCTGATGACGGCAGATGTAGCATATGTGGAAGTGAACGAGGAAGTGGAGAGAGAAGTCGATCCTCCAGTAGTACTTGTTGCCGTACTGTTGCTACCGCTGACTTTGAGAATACCACCAACTGCACTACCTGAGAAGTTGACTGTAGTGGCGTTCTTTGCTAATTGTGCAAAAGCTGCGAGAGTATTGCCAGTAGAAGGTGCGTTAATAGCAGCAACCATGCCACTCTGGCAATGGCTTCCAACGGTTTGACCACAATAAATCCATACAGGCTTTGTGTCCCTGACAGTGATCGTGAAGGTCGTGTTAGATGGACCTGAAACCGCGGTTGGAACGAAGCCAGAAAAGAAACCACCAGCAAGGGGTCTGCAGGGTTGGCCGAATGAAGACTGCGAAACAGTATGGTTCTGGAGGACGAGTTAGTAATTGTGAAGCGGATTTATTAAGAAGACCCACGAACCTTTGGAAAATATGTGAACTCGACCTCATCACCTGGGGCGGCCTTAATGTCGGATGGGCTATAAGTCAGACCATTCTGTCCAACAGCGACTTTGATTGTAGCTGCCGAAGCAGTGGCGGCAAGAGCGAAAACATTGACGATGGAATATTGCATTTTGATGGAGATATTACAAATTGTTAATTGTGGTAGGACAGCAAGTCTGAAATTAGAATTGAAAAAATCAGCGAAAGTGTATTGAGAAATGTTTGAGATGATGATGGGTTTTTGTCAAAGAAAGGTGGACTTCTCTTTATACCCATATGACGCTATTCAGCCCAGTACTAGTTGGAAGATTAAGGTACAGTAATAGGGTACCGCGGTCATCCTTTGTCGGCCACGATGCGCAGTCGGAATGCAATATTTCCGTCCCAAAGTAGCCAACAACAGAGCCACTAAGCCATGGCGGCCAACAAACACGACAAGCGAGGGAGCTGACGGGTTTGTGGAGGCCAGCTTGACGTACAGGGCTGCAGAGGACTTGAGCACACTTGTGTAACCAATCGAAACAACGAAAACCACGAATTTATGAAGGATTCGAAGAGGACAAGAAGGACTCCAGCCGATAGGCCTGAGGACTCGAGTGACGAGGCACGAAGAACAGCAAATTCTCATGAATCGGCTGCAGCCCAGGAATATGAAACTTTCAAGTTGGGAGGCTGAGGTGACATGCGCTGCCCCCATGTCAATTTGTGCATGTGGCTTTGTTGTTGCCGTTGTGTCGATATGCTAGGCTGTGAGTTAAAAATAATCTATCTATCCGCGCTCCAAAGGCGCTGGCGCTTAGAGGAACGGATCAGTGGCGAGCCGATTGCAGCGTTTTTCTCGTCCAATGAATGACAGGGACTAAGAACTCAAGAATTTTGTATCACGTGAGTGTTTATTTACACTCAAGTGATTCTGTGTTGATGTTGTAAGACTCCTCCTAGTCGGTGTTGGTCGAGATGAAAACTTCGTCAAATTCAAAGTTGGTAACGCTAAATCGTATCCGATGGCACAGAAGGCACAGCAGCCTTAACAACCAACATTCTTGGCCCTAGTTGGAATCCATGATTCAGAAGCTTACCAATGCTGTCAACAAGTCTAGTGTTACCCCATAAAACGGCTGTGAGCCTTTCAGGGGACTTTCAGGAGAAGAACGCCACCTCAGTACTCTAGATACCATATGGTTTTCAACCAACCCGATTGAGCAATTCTCCAACATGCCTGTAAGATCTGAGAGTTAGTCTTCCTGAAATTCGTTACTTGTGAGAATGAAGCTAGCAATAAAAAATCATGTCATAGAATACGTAACTTAATGTAAGAGATGGGGTTATGATTGCGTCGCCTAGACCTACAAAGAACATATTCTCCCAGAAAGCTATGTATAGTCAGACTGGTTGGGCGGAAGCGTTTGTAAATATGAGTTTTGTAAATTGTAATCTTACCTCTCTTTTAAACCCAATAACAAAGCCAATCATTCCAGGAATTTTAGCACAGGATCCACGCAGAGAAATGACGGGCCCAGCGTTAAAATAATATTAAAAAAAGCCATCTGGCGCCAACCGGCGGCTACCAGATTACTTCAATGGGCACGATCTCTCAAAAAAAAAATCCCCCCCCTTCTGCAACCGTTCAAAATTCCAAGGGATCAAGCCCCCGGTACGAGCAGCCCTACGAAAAGAACCTCTCACGCATTCCAAATTTCAGCCATCCGTCAAAACCAAGGCGTCGGGAATCTGACCACATACCCGAATGGGATTATGCGCTGACATCTTTCAATAGTGTCAGCTATGAGTCGAGCAGTTCTAATTCTAAAATTCTGGATCTTGGAATGACATGCCGTGCCCCTAATGATCTTTACTCGTATTTTCCCGTGTAGTGTGGGAAATAATCGTCAGGTAATCAACTGTAATCCGAAGCATAAAATGTTACCGAGAAGAACGCTAAATTATTCTGTTGACTCGGTGAAAGGCTTTGTTTTTTGTCACTGTGATCCAGTTGATGTCAAGAATTGCGTCTGTCTTTCACCGCTTCTCATATGTCAATACGCCCGTTATTGGGGTGAGCTAACCGGCCGGGTCAATTTCCACATGGAAATCAGATTCGCAGGTTGACCGCTCGTTTTGATATTGTAACGAGGAGGCTTCTAGTCAAGTGTTATACATAGTCTTTCAATACCAAATGTACTCCTTTACAAGTACTTGCCTCTAATAGTCATACCCCAGCATCAGTTCTCATAAATCCCTTTCTCAAATTTAAATCCTCCCTCCTCCATCCGGTCCAAGAATTTTTGCCCGAGAGTTGCTGGTGTGTGAATGCCTCCTTCAAGTTTGTGCTCGTCGCGAAGAAGTGTCAGCGTAGCTGAAGCAGCAATTACAGCAGTGACTATGCTGATTAGTGACGAATTTCTTAACGGTATATCAGTACTCACGTTGATATCCCGAGCCGGCGTATGTCGCCTTGACCCAAGCTCTGGCTGGGTTTTCACTTTTCACGTCTGGGTTCCCAATCGCTTTATATTCAACCACATGATTCCTCGACTCCTCCTTACTTGGTCCATCTCCTGGCTGGACAACAGTCTTCTTCAAGATTGTTCGAGCAAAAGGGATTGCAACTAGAATGGAGCCAAACAGAAGGGTAAAGTGCGAAGCAATTGCTGTGAGATAATTTTGACTTTTGGCATATTCCGAGAAATGAAAGTTGGGCCCATAGCCTGATGGTCCACCAAGCAATCCCCAGCTGCGATGGACTTGCGGTATGTCGGCACGCGCAAAGAAATACGTCGTTAGCATACCGAGATCGCGAACGGATCGAAAGCCAAATAGTTTGGTTTTCAGAGGTACTGGGTCCCGTACGGCTGGACCTGGAATTGGGGAAAGGGCATAAGGAGCACCAGCATCCTGAAGTTCCTTGAAGCTATACACATCAAAGATTGAAAAAACGGAACTCAAAGTTCCCCCCGAAGGTACCGCACTTCATATTTGTTAGCATAGCCTGAGATGTGGAGCTACTCGACATATGCATACGGGAATTTAGCTGAGAGGATGACCTCTCCTGTTGGCGCAGAGAACTTCTCCCGGATTAACTCAACAATTGACCAGACAACCATATCTGCTGGAGCACTGTCGAGACCAATCTGAGGAATCATGATGCTGCCGTTGGCCTTGGCTGTTCTCTCGTATTTCTTGATCATCTCATTATGCCAAACCACCTCACCCGTGATGTCCAAATAATGAGTCCCGTTGTCAGCACAAGCCTTGAAAGCGTGTTCTCCATGAACGCTGTACGGGCCAATGGTTGTGAGAAGAATGGTTGTCTTTTTGGCCAATGCATTCAGTTCGGAGGAATCTAGAGAGCATGTCTCGATTGCTATAAAACACATATCAATTCAGTACTCGTTCGAAAGCTTTGATAGAGCTATAGTACTACAGAACACGTGCTGTGGCATGGTAGAACAAGAAAAGTGGTAGTGAAGACCCCGTACTCCATATCGTCCACATTTTTCTAGCTTTCCAGAATGATTTGCGGGTTTCACTTTCATATTGTCAATTGACCACAAAACTCGTTCAGTTCTAGGACAATTGAAGTCATCTGATTTCTCGAGTGATTTGAAAAGGTTCAAAGAATGAGGAGGTTAAGAAGCACCGAGTATTTACTACCACTTCTCTGGTCTGGTTTGGTCGATTTTGATGTGATAGGATAGGTAAGTGTTTGCTTACCTGGCTGACTCCTATCAGCATCGATAGACTTGCATTCTGCTGCAACATCCTCCAGCTTATTGGCGGAACGGCCTGCAAGCGCCCAACGAATATCTGTAGGGAAATTTTTGGCGATGTATTCCGCCGTGAGTTTTCCAGTGTAGCCAGATGCGCCAAGAACAACGAGATCATAGACTCGTGACGTTGACATTGTGAGGAGAGAGACGGGATGGATACGGTTTTGCAGAATGTAATTACAAAAGGACTTTCTGGCTAGAATAACGAGACGGTACTGGAAAATGTGTGAGAGATCACAAAGGGAAAAGAAAACATAATAACCGACATCTAAAGTGTTAAATATGAACTCTTTGCAGATCCAAAATCCCGGACCTCGGCTGCTCCACAAAATGGATAGATTAGCTTATCGAGTCACGAGTGATAACGTTCTTCTTGCCTGACTTCCAGGGCCGCAATCTTAGTTTGGCGCACAATCAGCAAGCGAGAAGACAAGTCAAAATTATAGTTGAAATCAACTTCTCGTGTGTTGAATCCATCCATCCAAAAAGTTCATCCACAGCAACCACCGCAAAGATGACCAAACGAACCAAGAAGGTCGGTGTTACCGGAAAGTACGGTACAAGGTATGTAATCAATTCGAACTCACATTTTTCACGGCATCCGCATCCGCACCTGCGCCTGCGCCATCGACCCCTCGGTTTGTCGATCGACTACGACTTCAATTCCGCAGCATGCGCGCGGCAGACGGTGGAATGGAGGTTACAAGAGAAGCCATCTAGATTCAGCTAGCTGACCAGCTGTTTTCTTCGAATTTAGATACGGTGCCTCCCTCAGAAAGCAAGTCAAGAAGATGGAAATCACACAACACGCCAAATACGTCTGCACATTCTGCGGAAAGACCACCGTCAAGAGACACTCTGTTGGAATCTGGGACTGCAAGTCGTGCAAGAAGACCGTCGCTGGAGGAGCATACACCGTATCGTACGTATTCATGGGGCCTTTCTTGGTGCTTGGACCAAGAAGGGCGGAAAGGTTTTGCCCAGTATCTAACCTCATCAATAGAACACCCGCCGCCGCCGCTATGCGATCAACGCTCCGAAGATTGAGAGAAATTGCTGAGGTTTAGATGGTTGGGTTGGGATTGTTTTCGGGCTACATTGGCAGGTGTATGGGTCTGGGATCTCTCGCGGTTTACGAGCTCCGACGTCGCTTTTCGATGAGAAAAATTCAATAAAGCACTTCAAAACCAAACTCTTTCTCATGTCAGGCATTGCATGACTCGTTTTTACGATTGTCCGATAACGAGGTTTTTTTTGTGAACTACGAGAAAATGGGGTTATGATCTGGGACTGGGCTACTTTGGCAGACACAGGCAAAGTACAGTCTCATTTGTCGAATCCCGATATTTTCACCTACGATTTATGTGAACTCGAAAGACTTCTTCTATTTTGCATTACCGATTCTTGGAAGGGCAAGCCTTCATACGTACTCTGGTCGTTATCACGAGCTCTGGTGAATCATGTTCTCATTCTCCTAACAATACTTTTCTGCACCCTGGTTTCCCGTTGAAAGCAATCGATTTCTGTGTGTTCCCACGAATCCCAAGGCGACCAATCATACGTTTCGAACTTTTGAACAAGAATCCTGATGATAGGTAGGCTTCCAAAATAGGTATTGATAAATTGCAGGCATCTGAGAGAAGTGAGGCGGATGGTTGCCTTCTTTTGGGTGCCTTGTGCCCTGGAAGGTGTATAAGTAAGGAGAAGCTGCTGATGAGTACTCGATTCCCATATTTTTGTGACTCGCATCCTCGCCAGATTCTTCAAGCTGCCTTAGTTGGTTTTGAATCCCTGGACAGTGAACTGCAAACTGCCATGTGAGGGACCATGTGGAGATGAACCTGAAACCTGAATTGATTTCGAGTCACCTGACTGTGCTGATATAAAAAAACTGCATTCAACTGCCATCCATGGATGCCATGCATATTTCATCGCTCTGACATCCAAACCTTGGGATCTGGCACTACTACATAGGCCGTTTGAAGGCTGCGCTGCGCTGCGTTTCCTCGGTTTTTTGCTACGTAGGTGCGGATACCGCGGGCGATTCTAGCTACAGACGGTACTTCCAACGCCTTGATCACGAGGACTACAAGTACATTATTGCAAACCGTTGATCAGCTAGCTGGGGGAACGCGGCTCTCGTTCGGGTGAGGAGAGCGTCATTATTATTACTCTCAAAGACACACCTGCACCCATACGCACATACTCCGTACACACACCCCGTGGCCGCCTCCCTGGACCTGCCTGGCTTTCACCTCACCTCAACAACGAACTCTCCTCCCTATTCATCATTCACCCCAGTCCCTACACGCTGAGAGCACGGCTACGATTCAGGCTCCGCGGATGCTTCTCCACCTTCCCTGGCCTCCCCTTTCCACTTTCCCCCGTCTCATACAAAATCCAAAATAGCCCAATAATCCAACAACCCAATAACCCCGTGGCATTGCGAGAATCACCTGCGAAGTACTTCGTCAGTCTCGCAGCTCGCAGCTCGCAGGTTCTCCACCCAGAACACCAAACACCACCGAGCAGAGGTCATTGACAAGGGCAATTTTCCCATTGGCCTCACCGCCGCAAGGCCCTCAATTTCGACCAACCACAGCTGCCTCGGCTCCACCCACGCGAGCCCACGCTAGCGCAGCGAGTGTAGCGAGTGTAATCCGTCCAGCGTCCAGCGTCCAGGTCCCTCTTCCCTTCAGGTTCCCTCAATCGCTCCTTCCAAACTCGACCTCCATACAAAACCACCCAAGCCAAAAACCCGACTTCCCATTTCGTTGCACAACCACCACTTTCATCGCGCAACGAACATACAAATTTGCCCCCTCCACAACAAACCATTTTCATGACTTCCTCTCCATCTCAACATCAATTTTGCAAAAATGCATCCCGATTTGGCTGATCAGTCCAATGTCGGGCGAGACTCAAGCATGGACATGGTTCCTGACAACTCCATTCACGATCTTCAAGCTGCCGCACCTACAGCAGCTGGAACAACAAAATCACCCACCACCTACCCCGAAAGTCCACCAACGTCTTCAGACAGCATGGTGGACCAGTGCATCGTTTGCTTGGAGGATTTGTGTATTACTTTCGAGTCCATCGTCGAACAGCAAGAGCAGGATCCTGCTGCCACATCCGCCACTCAACCTGATAAACAACAACTTATTGCAGTGATTAAACCATGCGGCCATTCCCTGCACGACGAGTGCCTGCGAGAATGGACCCAAAAGGCCAACAGTTGCCCGTTCTGCCGACAATCCTTCAATTTGGTGGAAGTACTGGATAAGGTTGGCGGTAAGTTTCCATGTTTTTTCTATTCAGTGATTCGGCAACCGTATCTTCTTCCAGGTGATGCCCGGGGTTGTGGCAACGACGGAAGTGATGGTTAGACTTTGGGGGCACTTTTTCCTCCCAGAAAGTGCATGCGTGGATTTGCCCTTTTGCCCCTGGCGATACGTACCGATAACATATACCATGACCATAATGCTGACTTGACTAATAGGGAATGTCTTGTCCGAATACGCAGTCGAAAACAAGAAGCAGGTTGCCTCAACCGAATTCGACCCAGCTTGGATTGAAGAGCCGATTGAGGAAGAAGAAGGCCCGCCTTGTCCAATATGTAATTTGGCCGACAACGAGGATGTGCTATTACTGTGCAACGCCTGCGATGCTCCATACCATACATACTGCGTTGGGCTTTCTGGAGTACCTCGAGGAGATTGGTATTGCATGGAATGCCATGATGACGGAACAGAAGCAAGAGCTCTTGAGTTGGGAAATTTGCAATCGCATCGTCATGCACCCAGAACTCAGGGTGCTTCTAGACGTAATCGTCGACGCATCCGAGAAGACCATTGGTACGGTGCATGGAGTATCTTTAGCAGTCGAGTTCACGACGTTGCAGGGTTGGATCTGGACTTCTCAGACGGGGAAGACGATGGGGACATGGGGGACTATCGACAACTCCAGCGCCGAAGATCCGGCCAAGCAAGAGAATTCCAACAATGGCAACAAAGGTTGCATATTGCAACTCGACATGGTGCCCGTGAGACCTTTCAAGCGGCACCACGTCCTCGTCGCCCTACTCGTCCACGAACTCCCCCCACCCCAGAGGAGACCAAGGAAGAAGCGCGTGCTTGGGGAGATTTTGAAAGAGCAAAGGAAATGGATGGCGTCCCGAGAACACGAAAGAGAAAGTCACGATCCGCAGCAACATCTGCAACAGCCTCCCCTGTGGAGCGACCATCGGAGCCTGAGCGAAAACTGAAGCGACCACGAACTAGACGTGTTTTGGTTGAAGGCGAGGCTTCTTCGTCTTCTTCCGTCATGACACAACCTCCACGACCATTAATCTCGAATGCACATCCCACTTCTCCAACCCTCCCAGTGTCGGAGGGCCCAGGTCCATCATTTCTTACGTCTCTACTTAAAGAAGTGGAAATGAGCGCAAACTCCGATGACGATACGTCCCGATCCGCATTCAGTGGTACAACCATATCGGCTGGCACTAACCGTGTTACGAGCCCATCACTTGAGTACTCTTCGCCTGCTGCGTCGCCTGCGCCTTCCACTTCTCATACTCCACGGGCATTGTCAATAACACCACCTCCTCATCTTGCAAAGAGACAGGCTTCGCCTCGGCCTCTCACCTCGCATGTTGAGCCATCATACCCACGAGCCGACTACTCGCCAAATCGGTCACCAGGAGAACCCACCAGAGAAAGCGCAAACCCTTCCAGCCCTACAACGGAGTTGAGACAACCAAGACCCAGAAGGCAAAAGCCCAGGCCGCTAGCCCTCCAAACATCGCCTGAAACATCGCCAGTCAGAGAAACAATGTCGGCAGAGGCCAAAGATAGCATAAACAAAATCGTCAAAAATGCGCTTAAGCCTATCTGGCAGGCTGCGGAGATAACCAAGGAGCAATATGCTGGTGTAAACCGAGATGTATCAAGAAAATTGTATGAGATGGTTGCTGATCGAGATATTTCCGAAAATCGAGAAAAGTGGGAGAAAGTTGCCACTGCCGAAGTAGCGACGGCCGTCAAGGCCTTGAAAGGCTAATCAACTGATTTACTGATGATAATCAATGACTAACGGATGGGCGTCTTTTTTTGGGATTTCAGGCGCAATTGAGATACCCGGTAACTGCATAGGGCACACGGTATAATATTGGAACATTGAGCGACTGGAGAAGCTGGCTTAGATAACTGGATATTGAGATTCATGGCGTTTGGGAGGATCTTGATAGCTTGTCCTGATGGCGGCATTGCCTTTAACCTTGCTGAATTGGCAACTTGTATGTAATGTAGGAGGTTTATAGGAACATAATGCGAGATTTTGCAGTACTCCGGGCCTTTGTTTGAGGTTCTCTGAGATTATACTTTTGCTGTTGGAATTATATTTCTTGTACAGGCAATCCTGGTGAATTGTCTGGACGAAGATCTTCAGTAGATTCTGCATGAATCAAGTGATAAAAGCTTTGGAGTGTAAACTTGAAAAATCATATATAGGTGCCACTATGCGGCAGACTGCACAACTTATACATGTGAGGGGCACTGAAGGATACAGTGCGCAAAGAATCTTGGTGTAGCTCAGCAACAGACTTCTGTGCAGTTCAACCAGAAAACAGAGTAAAGAGCTTATCTATAATCCATGGAGGATTGAGAAAGACATCCTGATGGCGCCTTCATTCGTTGCACAGGAAAGGACGCCCTTTGCATCCTTCCAGACAATGGTATTCATCGCGCTCTTAGCATAGATCATCGCGATCCGATCGGATTGAATGAATCAAATCAATGCTTGTGCCCCATGGCATGGAATCTGTTAACAGTCGCTATCTAGCCGTTCCCGTTGTGACGTAGGTACAGCTAGCGAAAAAAGCCTGTGATTTCATTCTAGGCACCCGTAAATGACCAGCACGTCCTGGAGTGGAACAGGTGTTGGTGATAAGAATGGGTGTCGTGGATTGAGGAGAGAAGTTTTGGTGGGTCGCGAGAAATTTGTTTTGTACTGGCTGGTGGGTGCGGTCGCGCTAGTCGGTGCTGAGTCAGCAGCACAGATTTTATTTTGTGGCTTGAGCTCCAGGTTGGGGAGGGAATTGATAGAGGAACATCACGAATTGTGGAATTATGACGGCTAGTAGTAGAGGTGCCAGAGCCACGGCTTTGCTAATTAGTGAGTCTTATCTTTGGCCATTTACTATAATTTAAATAGGCATGCGTTGGGATGCTAATTAGATCTAGGAGGGGCATCGCGCAATCCACGAATGTGCTCGCAATGCATCAGCAATATCTCGAGGATCTCGGCCAGGAGGGCATACGCCGTAGAATCCAATGTTCTTGATCCAGTACCAAATCTTCCACCGATCGTAGATCAGAAAGCCGCGAGCATCGCTCCTGTTACTGCTTCCCAAGGCTCAACACCATACATAACCAAAACGGGCATCCTCCTCTCCCGACCTCCTCTCCTCACGCGAAACCTCACATCCTTTGAAAAGGCATTCTTCTTCTACCAGAAACGACTGAACGAACGACTTGCGCTCCCTTTCACCCGCTACTTTTATTTCAAAAAAGGCTCCCCCGCGGATGCAGACTGGAAGCTCAAGGCTAAGGATCGAGGCGGTGCTGCGGCGAGAGATTTGGGTGGTTATAATGCGTATGGGGAGTTTGGATGGAATGATGAGTTACTGGTCGGTGATAAACTGAGCGACCCACAAACGACAGTGGAGAGTCTTGTGAAGGATAGTGTGGTGAGAGCAGTTGAAGGAAAAGATGGTCAGGCTGTAGAAGTCAAGCTTGGAGAAGGCGAAGAGGCCGCAAAGATCGACATGCCGGAGCCTAGAGAAACTGCGGCGGATCAAGAGAATCTTTTGCAGGCCTTGGATCGCAAGTTGGATAGGACGTTGTACTTGTGTGTGCAGCGCAAGAACGGTGGATGGGGATTTCCTGCTGGTGAGATGATTGGCAGGGAGAGTTTGCATCAGGTTTGTACAATTGTGGAATTAAAATTTGCGATTATGGCTAATGGATTGGTGAAATAGGCAGCAGAACGCATCCTCGTTCAAACGGCCGGTCTCAACATGAATACTTGGATCGTAGGAAATGCCCCTATTGGTTACTACATTGTTAAACCATACAAGGAGAAGCCCGGAGAGAGAACCTTTTTCATGAAGGGAAGGATAATGGCGGGGCAGGCGAATCTGGCGGAGAACATCTATGAACTTGGGGACTTTAAATGGTTGACCAGAGAGGAGATTGAAAAACTTGTTAGTCCCAAGTATTTCAGCTATGTAAGAAACATGCTTGCTGACCGATGATTGGCCTGATGGTTGTATAAAACGGAATTGTAGCATAGCTGGCGACTTTGGTTGCAACACTACGAGAGAGAGAAAAAAGTACATCACTCCGAGGCCATAATTGTATTGGCGTATGGTGAGTGATTAAAATAGCGGATCTCTCGTTGAGGTATTTACCTTAGTATTTCGAAAGGAATGACTTGTCCGATATCGGATTTTGATTTCGTATATATTTACTGCTAACGTTCAGTGGTCGCATACAAGTTAAGAATTCTCCAATCATCCACTGTCTGTTGTCTTTGCATCCTACTCTTCAGACAGCAGCCAGTCCTACTTTCCTTTCCCTCCCTCAAAGTCACCTGCACTGAACTTCTCATTGCAAACAAAACAGATCATGCTGGTTCTCGGACTCACCACAACAAACACTCATCTGATAAATCTTCACCCGGGTCAATTCAACTCCAAAGGAAATCGTGATTTGAGAATTATTCCAAGAAATCAATTCCTCGCTCTCAGAATCATCCTCAAGAGCGATCAAAATCACAACCAAGTCACAACCATGACATCCCAATCTACAACATCAACCCCACCCTCTCAAATCCAAATCCAAAAACACATCCTCATCCTCGGAGCCGGCATCTCAGCCCTCCAAACAGCCCTCACACTCCTCACCTCCCCATCAACAAAACACCACAAAGTAACACTCGTAGCACAGCATATCCCCGGAGACCAATCGCCGGCATACACATCCCCGTGGGCGGGCGGCCATTGGCGCTCTCATGCCACGTCTGCTGAGGGGGACGAGAGACTGAGAAGTTGGGATGCTAGGACGTATGAGGCTTGGTGTGAACTTTTGGAATCTGGGGATGGGGAGGTTGAGGGGGAAAGTATGGGGGAGAGGGAGAGGAGGATGGGAATTGGTTTTCGACCAAGTGTTAATTTTTGGGGACGCGAGTGTGAGGAGACGGTGGAGGGGGGGAGGGGATTGTGGTGGAGGGAAGGTGTGGTGAGGGGGTTTGAGGTGCTTCCTCTCAGTCAGTTTCCTGTGAGAAAGGGACCTGGGCAGGAAGGGAGTGAGTTGGTTTTTGGGGTGGGGTATAAAACGATATGTTTTAATCCGTCAACGTACCTCCTCTACCTCTTCAATCGTATTCAATCCCTAGGAGCTACCGTCATCAAATCTCCTCTCGATAATAAGAACGGTCTAAAGGGTATCATCACAGCCGCCAAACTCCTCCTTAAAGAAAAAGAACTACAAGACCTCGATATCCTCATCAACTGCGCCGGTCTCTCAGCCCGTCATTTCCTCCCAGCAGAAGAAGCACATAATCTCTTTCCCATCCGCGGCCAAACCATCCTCGTCAAAGGGGACGCAGCCAAAGCACACACCATCACGAATCTGAGAGATGTGAGTACCGATGAAGTCCTCTATATTATTCCCAGACCCGGCACCGGAACCACGATTCTTGGGGGCTATAAACAGGCGGGGAATTTTGATGAGGGTGTTGATGAGGAACTGAGTAGGAGGATTTTGGAGAGGGCAAGGGATTGGGGTGTTGCGGAGGAGTTGAGGGGGGTGGAGGGGGGGTTTGAGGTGCTGAGTATGCAAGTTGGGTTTAGACCTGGGAGGAAGNAAGGGATTGGGGTGTTGCGGAGGAGTTGAGGGGGGTGGAGGGGGGGTTTGAGGTGCTGAGTATGCAAGTTGGGTTTAGACCTGGGAGGAAGGGTGGACCTAGGGTGGAGGTTGAGGAATGGGTGGAGGCTGTGAGGCTGGTGCATTGTTATGGGCATGCTGGGGCGGGATATCAGAATAGTGTTGGGTGTGCGGAGGAGGTTAGGGGGTTGATTGAGGGGTTGGAGTGAAGTGATGGGTTTGGGGGTACCTTTTGCGGGATTTGGTACATTTCCTGAAAACGTTATAGATATTACCTCTTTCATCCCTACGGTTGAATTGTAAACTCACCCAAGAGTCTCCTGAGAAATCAAGTCAATCAATTAGCTTAAAGAAGAAACCAGGGGATACAATCATGGTTCGCTCTACTATAGTCTTTCATCCCAAAGCATTTCAAACTTTCGTTTCCTCTGATATGTTGCTGCTAATCCTTCCATTCCACAAGTCTCATCTTGAGTTACCCAGAAAAGCAAATATTAATCCTTACTACTTTTCTCCCCTCGAAATACTCAGGCGAGCGAGGCAAGCGTTGGATATCACGCTAGTTGAAAGTTATTTCCCTACTCCGTACACCTGGGCTAGAATATACCAATCTATACAAGAAAGATCTATACATTACCTGAATCTGGGTCCTAGTTGTTGTAGTATAGGAAAACTACATCTTTATCTAATTAATATATTTCTTACAACAAGCCCGGAGGTTGCAAGAGGTACGATTGACGTCCACGGACTTCTAGCTATAGAAACAGAGCTATGCATTAGTGACATATGAGGATGTTCGTCGTTACAGTCACTAAATTAATTTGTTATTCTTATTTTTTGGAAGATTGAAGTCAAGCAATAACGTCATTGAAGTAATGGCAAGATGTTTTATATGCAACAAGACCTGTCATGTCACTGTTTGAGATCATTAGATGATTGATATGGTTGGATAAAGAAATGGATGATATCTGGTTTGAACTATTACGGGAATCTGTGCCATGTTGTAATGGCTGTTTTTTATTCATCAATTGAAAAGGTTTCTTGTAACTATCTGTTCTTGTTGCTCTCTCGCGAAGTTTGGCTGTGCTGATACGATCCTAGTAACCTGGATTTCGAAACGATGTTCTAAACTGATATTAGGGTTGGTAGATTTTTGGTGTAGAAGGTGATTTTAGTCCCTCGCCCGTGCAGATGCGGAGTTTCAAAGCTTTGAAATCTTATAAGGGGAGGGTATGAAAATGATATATAAGAAACTGTCTTTGAGTGTCGTTGACATGGTATTCGGAGTGAAGAGGTGTTTAAGAAAGCTGGGGAAGTACCAGCATTGAATCAAAACTGAAGGGCTCTGTTTCGAGTCGATTCACTGCCCGATCAACTGACTGAATGCTGGACGACAAGGCAGGAGAATACTTTTGTTAGAATGAGGTTGGAGAGTAAGCCGATACCCCGATGAGACTGAAAGACTCGCTATACTAAAGCATCGCACTTCACCGTTGAGAAATGAGCAATGCAAGTTCCTTGATGCCACATATACAATCATGCCCCGAACGTATTTCAGTTTCTTAATGTCGATTCCATCGCATCTTGTTCGACCTCGAAAATGATTGCAGTTCCGGTGTTCGCAGTTGATCATTGGGTAACTTTGTGGAGAGCATCCAAAAGAGTCGAAACATGTTTTTTCTTCCTCTTGACCTCTTCTTTAAGTGCCACGATCTCTTCGTTCTTCTTGGCGAGCTCCCTATGAAGACTCAAGATCTCATATTCTGGACCAGACGGGTAGTTTGGTGGGGCTTCCATTGATGGGTACCTCATTAGACGGGCTTCACGATCCATGGGGTTGACTAATTTGTCTAAAAATTCCGGTCAGTTGGGACACAGTAATGGTAGTAGATCATCACTTTACCGTGTCTGCGCTCTGGCTCGTAGTCGGTATAAGCTACTCAAAGGAATTCCTTGGCGCGCTTTGCAGTGGTCACATTCTTGGGTGTTATATTCTTCAGAGGAGGCACAAAAGGGCATTCAATGTCATTGCCGACTGAGGGGATTAGCACAGGTCAGCGTAGTCAAGAATCATATTACTTACACAGCCTACACGCCATAAACCAAACGGTGAAGTGAGTATACCACTCTTCACTTTCACCAGGAAAACCAACACATATTTGCCGTGCTAATTCCGGAAGGCTTGCGACGAGAGTTTCTACGAGTTCTCGAAATTGTTCTTTAGAGGCCCGTGTGTTTTGAATGACTTGTACCATTTCGGGTGCGAAGTCCTCTGGCGGCGCGTGGCGAAGGTATTTGATAAGCCATTGTAATTCTTCACTCTGCCAAGGAGACGGACGGGAGACCCTATGCTCCGAGTGCTTGTTGGAGCCGTATGGCGTTTGCGAGGGGATCGAGGATGACAAGACCATTGTATCTGGCGTACGACGGAGGGACAGGAGTTGGTTCAATGTGATGCAATATTAGGTTTTGGTAAAGACGCAAAGATGAGGTTTTGGATGAGACTGGATTGATACAGTAGTTTCCATACTGTCTGTCGTAAGCGAGGTTCCAACTTGGAAGGCGCGATACAGCAGGCAACGCAACACTCTCTACACTATCTACGTTGAAAATGGAAAGAAGATAGAATACATATCGGGTAGATGGGCTAGATGAGCTACTGATAATTTCAAGATATGGAGCTGATAAGCTATTTTACTTATATAGAGCTACAGGCGAAACTCGATACAAGGATATGCTCGGGCGGGAAAAACCGAAGGATATAAACGAGGATATGCGAGCTTCTTGGCACGGGCGACGACGAGTCCATTCATTTGGGTATAAGGGATGTATCATATAGTACTGAAATTTACTTCTCTCTTATTTCTTGTTGTTTTATACTTAGAATCTTACAGTACTACCATTCCTTATGCCCATTCCTATACGGCATTGAAAATTGTATAATCGGCATTGAAGTGACATGGTCCCCTAGCCATATTACAGTGCGTCCCTAGGTACCCTTAGTACTTCGTAAATTTATTATTGTAACTTCGTCGTCGCTATGTATATAATCTTTTAGTGTTTTATAATAGAACCGAGAAACTGTATTTTATTAATTAAACTAAACTGCTTATCGCTTATCTTTATCTATTTAAATAAAAAGTGATTACGAATTATCTTTACCCTTAGTATCTAGCTCTATTTGTTATCTTTACTAGAATTATCTTATATAAATCTAGCTACCTAGATAAAAGAGTTCTAGGTTCTAGCTACGGGAATAGCCTCCTCCTTTTCGCTCTTATGAAGAGGTTATTACAATATAATAGCGATAGTAAGGGTAATCTTGTATCGAATTCCGCCAGTAACTAACATTTGAAGGGTTTATAATGAGTCCGAACATTTCACTCTGATTGATCTTCGCGGATCGTTTTTAGCCAGACCATTGAACTTCCATTGGGCGTGACTTTCCGTGTAAATCTTACCAATTCGCGATTTCCGTGCATCAACGCCATGGGTCAAGGAAGGCTAGCTACAATACGAAACTTTATGAGCAGAAAGTTTCCGACGGGCGGTGGGCTCTGATGGCAAGAAAAGTTCTGCTTTGAAAACATCAGGCTATTATCAATTTCCATAGTGGTCTCACATTGTGTGCATCTGTGCAGCACTCTGTGCCAGGCCAAGAATTGAGGCTACTGTACTTGTATTTTGTGCATTCAGTCGCATCGGTCCGAATGGAGAATCGCAGCAAATGACGATGAAGTAAACTATAAGAACCAATTATTATCCTGCTGTTTCTTTGTGTTCGCACCTCCTTCCTGAACGTAGCACCCCGCTATCGGCATACGACGGCACATGATATGGTTATCGTAGCTAGTTTGTGGTGGTCATTATCCATCTCGAGCTCAGAAACCCGCCCATCTCACATCACCCCGCACTATTCGGAAGACGAAAACCGAATCTGGGGCCCCGCGTTCCACAATATCTGCCAACGTGTTTTTTGACCGTATCTTTCTCTATAAAAGCTTATCAAAACAACACTTGCAACAAATTGGCTGATTCCCTCAGCTTCGGACCAGTCTCTCATATACGTCATGGCCTCCAAGCTAGCGGACCAGCAGCCTGCTATCAGCGAAGACGAATTCGTGAAACCAAATGAAGAGCCCCATCTGAAAGGAATCCCAGAAGACAAACGAGAGCTGTATCTTTCTTACGCGGCGAAAGATGCAGAATGGAAGGCATTCCATACGAAAAAGCTGCTGAGAAAAGTCGACCTCAGACTCCTCCCCTTGCTCGTACTCATGTATTTACTGAACATTCTCGATCGAAGTAACCTTGCCCAAGCAAGACTTGGATCGCTGGAGAAAGATCTGAATATGACAGGAACGGACTTCAACCTTGCAACGAGTATTTTGTTCATTGTAAGTTGTTATGAGATGCGACAGAAATGTGCAAAAAGCTGACGATTGAAGGGTTACTTGTTAATGCAACTTCCATCAAACCTGTTACTTACAAGAATACCACCTGCACTTTATCTTGGTGGTGTGATGACTATATGGGGAGTGGTGTCAGCTGCTCAAGCTTCAGTTAAGAGCTTCGGGCCTTTGCTAGCTTGTCGGATATTGTTGGGAGTCGTAGAGGCCCCCTTCTTCCCAGGTTTTTCTCCCGAATTACCTCGTATTGACAATACTGATATTGAAAAGGAGCAATCATGCTTATGTCTTCCTGGTACAAGCGCCAAGAGCTAACTCACCGTATCGCTTGGTTCTACTCTGGAAGCTCTCTTGCCAATATGTTTGGTGGGCTTCTTGGGGCTGGAATACTTGGAAATCTTGACGGAGTTGACGGGATAGCAGGCTGGTATGTGCCCACGTAGCGGAATGTTAGTAGCTATTAATGTTCTTTAGGAGATGGCTCTTCATAATAGAAGGCGTTATAACTACCGGGACTGCTATCATATCCTCGTAAGTAACGTCCTTGACACAGAAAGAACCTCAGAGGCATGCTGATTGTTCTAGATTTGTTTTGCCTAACTTTCCGGCTTCATCAAAATGGTTAAGCGACGAAGAGAGGTCTTTTGCAGAGTGGCGTCTCGTAGACGATGCCAAAGAAGCAGACGATGCAGATTCCGTGACGTTGAAGGCAGGGCTCAAAATGGCTCTCAAGGACTATCGCGTCTACCTTTTTATCCTCTTGCAGCATATCTCTCTTCTATCGCAAGCGTTCCAGTACTTCTTTCCATCTATCGTCAACACTCTAGGCTATGGGCACATTGAAACGCTTCTAATTACAGTTCCCGTCTGGTTTGCGACATTCCTGGTGTCATTGTTCGTCACATATACTAGTGGCAAGACCGGAGATCGCTCAATTCATATCATCTGCTTGATGCTTGTGTCGGCAGTTGGAAATGCTATTGCTACCGGTAGTACAAATATGGGGGCAAGATTCTTCGCCATGTTCTTAATGCCGTGAGTGTCATTCTCCAAAAATCTTCGCGTGGTACTGAATTTTATAGTATGGGAGCTGTATCAGCGTATCAAATTATCGTTGCATGGGTTGCAAACTCCTTCCCTCGACCATTAGTCAAACGGTACGCAATTGGATCTTTTGACTCAGGATGGCTTACTGACGTGATGTTAGTTCGGCATCGATAGCAATTTGCAATATGATTGGTAACACGGCGAATATCTATGGCTCTTACGTATGTATTGATTCAACATGTTGAGATTCTAATTCTAACAATTCTAGATGTACCCCAAGTCTGCTGGTCCTCAATATATTCCAGGTGCGCCCAATCAATATAACTCTTCTTGTTTGATTGATCACATAACTAATCTTGTAAACAGGCGGTACTGCGAATGCTGTGATATGCCTCGTAGTCGCTATTACCGCCTATATGCTCCGCCTTGTTCACATCCACGAGAATAGAAAGTTGGAAAGAGTGGAGTCGGAGGCAGTCAGCGGTCTTGAGGAGGAAAGTTCAGAGGGTAGAAATGTCGGATTCAGATATATATACTGATCCTCGAAGATGATCAGCTAAGCGAGAGAGACATGCTCCTACCCGTTCGAAGCACTGTACCTTTTTCTTAATATGATCTTTTTTCCTCGTCTATAGATGGGATGGGGGACACAGGCTTGCAGTTCTAGGTTACGTGCCAAAACGAGGTTTAGTTTCGTACAACTAGGGAATAAGATAATTACACCAAGCTTAAGGGTATATACTGTAACAGATTTGATTCTGAATCAAATCTGTTACATATACTTGGATAAATTAAATTTATACACGTATATCGGACTTCCTCTAATGAAAGATAGACATTAGATTAAAAAAAGAGTTATTACAACTCTATATTACAAAAGTTTCAGCTGTACTCACCGTTCTATCATTCACCTCGCTTATGTACAAACCAAGACATCACTTAACATTTTCGCCACCCCACCTTCTCATACACGGGTAATCAGCTGAGTAAAAAGAAACCAACCACCTAAGATCTGTTTTAGCTCACGAATTCTCTACAGAATATGACAAAAAATCAAAAAAATATATAACAATCACTTTGTAAGGAATTGAACCTCAGATTCTCTCTGACGGGGAATCGAACCCCGGTCTCCCGCGCATTGTCAGTTGACAAGCGGAAATCATAACCACTAGACCATCAAAGATGATTTGTTTTTGTTGAAGTGGGGATACTTATTTTCAAATAGAATGGTTGTGCGTACTTGCAGGGTAGTGTCACTTGGCTCGCTTGGCACATGTAACTACCGAATGCACGGACCATATGTAAGACTTCCAGAACTTGCCTTAGAGAAAAGTCTCGATATATTAATAATAATAGTCAGTGCGTCTTCCTACGGCGCTGTCGCTTGTAGTCAGCGGAAGCAAGTGAAGTGTGGGGATACGTATGTAGGCACTTTCCTACGACACAAAACTACTTTTATACGTCAGAAGCACATATAAATAAGATAGATTTGTAGGTATAATTAAGTACTGTCCTATATAAAAAGTATACGTCTTTTAAAAGCGATTTGCGGACAATGCACACGAGTTTTTAGTGTTCATAGACCTTATAAAATTTTGGTTGGGTACGCACGTGATTAGCCGGTAGTATGCGCAAGTACGTCTTTTTGCGTGCGCAGACTTAATTCTTATGTCCTTTCTTTAATAATCTATAATATCTAAACACCCTGTAGTCGCATTTAGCTTATAGATTAGTATATTATACAGCTAGCAAAGGGCTCTCTTTTGAGCCTATATAGAAGTTTATAGCTCAAAAATCAACTATATTAGAACAAACCTAAGGCCCACACTTCACTTGCTTCCGCTGACTACAAGCGACAGCGCCGTAGGAAGACGCACTGACTATTAAACTTACTTTTTAATTGTGAATTTCCGTAAGAAAGTTGTTGTATATATAGTATATCCTATAGGCCTTCACTTACACTTCTAGCACGATGGAAAACTTCGAGTAATAGTATAAAGTATTCTCGTGTTCCTTTCTCACTCCCCGGCTTCTGAAACGTTCGTCATGTGCACCAGTGTGTGTGAACATCACCCGAGTTTTACCCATGTAAGCGAAAGAATTCAGCCTAGAAGACACAAGTCTAATTTAGAATCGATTGTATCTTGGGTCTTGGAACGGTATAAAGCGATTGCTGTAAGACGTAGAGCCTGCCTTTGGTGAGACTACTACAAAGCCGCTTCAGAGACATAAATAACCATGAATTAAATCTTACACGAATTAATAATGGCCGGTCCGTCCTTTCTCCCCGCTTCGAAAGGACGAATCGACTATTAGATATGAAGAATGCAATATTGTAAAAGGTCTAGAATAATAATTTCAGAGACAAGATTTCCTACTACCGCTACTTTTGTTGATTTTTTGAAGGCTATAATTAGGCGTCGTTACCCGATAAGATTAGAGAAAAGAATTCGTCGCATGACCATTTATCCAGATAGAATTACTCAAGTACAGACTCGTCGTGATTTTGGTCTCGAGATATGTCCTGGTACGTATTCGTCCTGGATCTTCTAAAAAAATAGAGGTTTCGGAGCATTAGATTTCGAGTCTTCTATGATAATCAAATTAACCGTTCGAACCTTTCTTGAAAATTTGGGAGTTCAGGAGTTGAAAGATCATTCTGCCCGCCAGTTACGAAGACGTTCACCCCTTGACTTATAATTTCCACTAGCTCATTATGTATTCATAAAATATAGCACACATGTGGAAGACGTCAAATCAATAGTAACTGAATTCCATTGGAGGATTCTTACCTGACTTGCTCTATGTGAAAAATGCAACGTAAGTACAGCCCATACCTTCCACTCATACCCCATCCGAATCTGATTCTAGGCATTCACTCCAGTGCAAAGCATCTATCTGTGCTATCCTCATTATTGCCCCACCAATAAGGAGCTTTGATGATCTTTCCTGCCCCGAAGAACAGAAAGATCAACAACATATTGAGATTAAACCCTGCATCAAAAGCAGCAGCAAGAATGTAGTTATATCTTGCCCACAAATCGTATCTATAACGAAAAGCCCAATACATGACAACAAATCCGCCGATGATCGATGATGAGTAACCAGTCGAGATGTTGCCATAGAAGTTAGAGAGACCGGAGAAGAAGATTGTGGTGTTGAAAAGATGGATTTTTGCTCGTGGAAAGGCCCGGTGTAGAGCGTAGAGTATTGCGGGGGCAATGGCTCCTACAAGAAAACCATAGGGGAGGGGTGCGTACATTGGATGCTGGAATAGGCGTTGGGGTCCCTGATATACGGTTAGGTTTTAGTCGAAAAATGTGGATGTTTTCGGCCACTTACCACCAGTACGTACTGTACGCTCGTAGTCAAAGTATTGGCAAGACCTTGTCCTGTCCACTTCTGAGAGTCAGTCATCTATTTTACGAAAGCTTAGGACAACGCCTGATTTACCTGGTGAGTAGGATCAGTCTCCGAGCCATTTAGATATTGTTTTTTGGCACCCAGGACCCAACGTATCACACCATAGTTGATTGGGACACCAATGAAACCTTAGGTCAAATTAGTTGGAGCCTTTGTGTGTGGCCTGAAGTGGTACTTACAGCCAAACATTTGCGAGAAGAAGACCGAACGAGGTGGTATGTGCATGTAATGGCCAATCTTTTGGTCTTGCAGCATAAGCTGAGCTCTATACCAGGCATCTCCCGCGATAGAGGAGTATATCGTGGCACCCACGGGGTTTTTATGTCCCGGGACTGCATTGACCATGACCCCGTAAATCAACTCGTTGAAAGTTCCAATTGGAAGTTGGAAGTTTGAAAGCGCATAAAGCCAACCAAGTGGTATGACGACCATCACCCCCGTCGCAAGAGCAATGAAATAGGTCCATATTGGAATGAAGAGATTGCCCGTGCCCAAGATAGTGATGATTACCACGAAGGTTACGAGGAAAAGGATAAGAGACCACCACCATGGGACTTCTTTGTAACTTCTTTGCAGGATGTTTAGTTGATCGGTGTATTGATGATTGATCGTCTCTCCTTTGACTGAGTTTTTTCTACGCTGGTTCAATTTCTGAATAGTGCCTTTGATTTGAGAAAAGCCAAAGAACAAAATCCAAGATAAAGCTGATGTGTATGCTGCGTAATCAAAGAACATGTTCCATAACTGCTGAGTACCTACATAGAGTGGCCCATATTCGGCAAATGCAGTTTCATTGAAGCCAGCTGACGGTGTAATGAGTTTCTTGATTGGGTAGGGATCGCCAGATTCTGGGGGATGATTAGTGCAAGCACTTTGAGAAGCGGGGAGGGAAAAACCTGTAAAGACACGATTGGACATCAAATGTAATTTCCAGCTTCCCAAACTTCCCCATTTTGCGGCTGGCAGAAGAATCCAGCAGTTCACCTGTATGATATTAGTCGAAGTAGCAACAGTAGCCCCATAAAAGATTACGCACCACGAATGCAGTAAAAATGATTACTTGTGTCCACCAAGGGGTCACAAACAAACTGTTACTGTTACTCAGATTGCTCAAACTTGACCAATCCAAGCTCAAGTTGAGCACCGCCATTCCCCCAAATCCGGAACCTACAAAATTGGCTACGGGATTTCGAGGCGCAACCCAGCAGAGAAATGCGAGGCTTCCTAGCATAGGAAAAATGAATTCAGGAAGAAATTGCCACAACGTGATCCCAAGGAGGACGCCGAAGAATACTCGCATCTGTTTTCGAGAAATCGAGGAAGGACTTTCGCGATTTTTCTTTTGGGTTTCGAAAAGGGTTGCTTGACAGAGTCTGATTTAATGTTAATCAGCATTGAAAATATGGGTGCTGAACATCTCTTACGCTTGAAACCAAGGATACTGTGGATCGTAAAGTAAGAACTGTCTTGCTAGTGCAGCAAATGAGTATCCAGTATAAACAACGGACCACATGAAGAAGATTGCAATAGCAGGATGGATGATATCGTCAAAGTACAATTCAGCCAATGAGATAGGGGCATAAGCGAGATTGTAAGTAGCACCTATCATAATTAGCAAAGTAAAAACAACGTCCGAGAAATGTACTTACCCGAAGCTGCAGAAATGGTGACCAAAACATGCTCCTTGGAGTTCCATGGGCCAGGATTGAGATTGAATCCATGGCGAGTGAAAGAAACACGGACGTGTCTGGCTGGGAGAACCTTTGCCAACCAAATTCCAACGTAGTTCGAGGCAATTTGAACGAAGAAAACCGAATATGGAGCATAAGTTGTTCGGAATGAGCCTGCAACAATGGTTCAGTAGATATTCTTGTTCTAGTGTACTTTTTGGGGGGTTCTTTACTCATTTGAGACAAGAAAGCGCCTGGGAGAATGAACAGAAATGACAAGATGAAGTAGCGAAAGGTAAGTGTTGGTTCAGTAGGATCGTCAACGAAACTAACACCCCTCCTTACGTGCCATGGAATATCTCGCAATGCCGGGTCATCGTCAGCGAAATCTGTTTCTGAGTTTGAGCCTGATTGAGGATCATCCTTAGTATCAATTGCAACAATTGGTGACGATTTTTCGGGATCAGATTGGGCGTTGGTGGTGGCTTCTATTTTGCTTCCTGGATTCTTCTCCGTATTGGCGGAGCCGTCCTCGGGTGCGACCTCCTTCTCGCCGCTGAAACCCCGTTTGTGGAGAGACATTTGGGCTTTGCAGCGGTTCGTTATTGGATTTGCAAAACAGTTCTTTGATAAGCTGTGCCAATGTCTTGGTGTTTCTGGACAGTTTGGAAAGAATCAGTCTTCTTGAGCCTCAAGGCTTGAGCTTCGATGTTAATGGCAGCCTGCATGCTTCTACAGTAGGTAGGCTAAGACGCCATTGTGACCATAGCTATCGTGATACGATGTGGTGGTACAAGTCGATGATGGCGTGACAGGGAACGGTTATCTAAAAGTTTATTCCGATACCGTAGTTGATATCTAGGTAGTGAATTGGACTCTGGTTACTAGAAGTCAACATGCGTAAATAAGGTTGTTCTGGGGTCAATAATTGATTTTTACACGATAGGAAGGAGCCTTATCTAGTTGAGAGACCAAAGGGTGCAATTGTGCTAAGATTAATCCAGGTGATCGCTGGATGGTCAACTGATTGGAGAGTTGAAGAAGTTGGTGTTGGTCTGCTCTGTGCGACCACCCCATCCTTCATGTCTCCTTATTGAAATAACATTTTGTCCGCCAATAACCTCGGCACCTCGCTTCAACGTGTCTGTGTGAAAGTATCGCTCGCGAAGATCATGCTCAGTTTGAGCTATTCCCAAGGAAATCATTTGCTTGCTAGTTGCCCTCCAGCTTCCCCCATAAAATTTGTCACGTGAACACTCCAACTTCCACATATTATGAATTATTTGCTTCTCTCAGTACTACGATAGTTTTCCCTAATCACCTGAATAAACATGAGTAGTAAAAACTAGTTCCTAGAGCTCATTCAAGAAAACTTGGCCACTACAAAGCCAATTGCACAGCATTCGAGACTCTATAGAGAAGATGAGGAAGCACTGTCTTCATCCGAGATATGATCTACTGTCTGTTGTCGAAGACTATTATACATCCGAAAGAAATTCACCATTAACAATGTTATCACCCCCCCGACCCCCCAGCCGGTCATTTCGACCACGAAAGAGAGAAGTCCCGCTTCCATTCATCATCCTCACCATTAGCCATCAAAACTCGTTAGGCTCGTCTCGATTAATATTGCGAGTGCCCCTTGATGTGCTGCGGGAGACACTCTCCTTACCCACAGATGCAAGATATGTTATAATGACTCTGAGTATACTCAGGTAAACTCCCAAGTGGTATAAAAAAGCTTTCATCAATCACATTATCTCCCCCAGACTTCTCGGATAGTATCTTCTTTAGGTAAAAGACTACGCAGATCGATGACCCGGCCAGCCACAACTCTCCCCGCTTCTCGCTTAGCAAAACCTTTCCGAGTGCGACCCCTAATTGGAGCTCTTTTGGGTATCTCCCTATTTACTCACGAGAGATCTTGCGCTATACAATGATTTCCAAACATGTCCCATCAAATCTCATCGTACAAGTTTCTCTGTAGCGCTTCAGATGTTTCAACGCTTCAGGAAACTTTAAGCTAGTGATTATTTCCAAATACCCCTTTAGTATCAACGTACAAAAAAGAATCATTTCCTGTCTTAGAATTACCAACAATCAACATCCATACAAAATGTCATTCTATCCAAGAGAAAGCACATACTATACGTATCCCTATCCTGACCTCTTTCGGCTCTCTCATAATGCAGGAATGGAATAGATCACCATATGTGTACTCTAGTGACACAAGTCAAATTTCTGCCATACAGTCAACACTACTCATATACACTGTTCACATCCTACTACTTGATCAAACTCTATACCTTCTGAATACCAAAATCCAGTCATCCAAGGACTCCAACTCACCACAATGAACCTGCAGCGTCGGTAATCCCCCCCAAAGACCGCTAATAACGTGTGTACAGCCGCTATTTCATAATCCCAACTCCGCTTAATCAACAAGACCTACCAAAACCCAACGACTGGTAGCTTACGTCTTGCATGTTACACCATCATACACAACCCAGCCCGCACAACAATTCCCCAGTCCCCGATCCCCAACATAACTCTCAAGACCCAGAAATAAGAACCAAAAAATAACCAGCTCAAGACCTCTTCCTCATCTAACTCCCCATTAAAACAGCACTCCTACCCTTGAATCTCACCCATCTTCAAAAATCCCTTCGCCTTTGCTCGGATTCACAAATACACCAACTTCCAGCAAAACCTCGCTCTCACCCCAACCACCCACCCATAAACCCCTCAAATTACTTAAAAACAGAAGATCTACCATCCAATCTCCATCTACCAAAATGACCCAAAGATAACTATATCAAAACACAGAAGAAAAAAGAAGAAGCATACTCACAACATTCAAGAAAGAATGTAAATCAGACCCACTCGTCCCCCACCATCTACCATCTCATCTCCCACCTACCCACCCAAACCCTCAAGAAAGCTCCATGAACACCACAATGCAATAAAGAAACCCAATCTAAACCCATCACTAAAAACCCACTCAACTCACTCCCTCCACTCTTCTCACGTCCATCACACTCCCGCCCAACCTCAACATCCCAACACACGTGACCAACCCTCCCCACCTCCTCTCCTCCCCTCAAACCACACTTACACAACCACCACCACCCACACCCACCATCAAAACCAAACAACAAAACCAAACAAACCCAAACCCAACGTAACCCAGGGAAACCACCGCGACATGCAACAAAAATCACTCTTTCCCCTCCCCTCCATCTAGGGCCACATCAAGACCCGTCAAGAAACCGTCAAGAGATACAGCCACCTATCAGTACAGCCCACGCACGCATCATGCACCACGTACGCTTCGCCAAAGCCCCCCCCCCTCAAAAAGGTGGATTACAGATTGCTTGTCTCGAGAGAATCCACATCAGGTAAGATACGGTACGTCGGTAGGAAAGTGAGGCAAGGCAGATGGACCGACCGATGGACGGACGGAGGGACGAACGCCAACGCATCGGAGGAAGAAATGACGATGGAACGTTTGATTTCTTGAGGGGATGGTAGGTGGGATGGATGAGAGGCCGAGTTGGATAGTAGGTGGTTAGATAGTTAGAGAAGTTATTGTTGGGTAAGGATATGAAGAAGTGGGATATATTTCATCTCATACTTTTTTGTATATATTTTTCTATCTATTTATCCTAAAAATCATGATGAGTAAAAGCGCCGTCTAAATTCTATGTCGTGTATGTAAATGCATAAGAAAAAAAAGGAATCAAAAATCAAGTGGTTCAAAAACGGTATCTATGAGTCGCTGTTTTGCCTCGCTACCCCCCAAAAATATAGAAATGATATGTAGTAACGTAAATATGCAAAGTATAACCATGTGTATCCCTTAAAACAACCCAGAAAGAAAAACAAATACAAAGACAATCATTTTTTTTCATCTTCTCATTCCAATCCATGAAGTCCATCATCCATCAATCATATCATCATTCAAGCCGCGATCTCAAGCATCTTAGGTCGATGAGCGCTCAAATCCCTCTCATGCTTCTCCTTGTGCTTATTGAAAAGGGTACGCAAGGCAGAAGGCTTCTTCTTCTTCTCCTCCTTCACGATGACGTCCTTATTCATCACCATGAGGTCCTTGCTCTTTTCAGAACGATGACTGCGAGTACTGCGACCACTTTCCGATGGAGCAACTCGGCTGCTGGCTGATCGAACTGGAATTGCCCTCGGCTCGAATGTAGACGTGCGGACATCACTATTCTTACTTTCTCGCACACTCTTGGATCTGTGTGTTTTGGAAGTTTTCGAGGTTTTCGAAGTTTTGACGCTAAACAAACTCGAAGGGGCTCTTGAATGTTTTCGCTCTTCCATGGCGCGTTCCTTGATTCGTTCTTTCTTCTGGTTGGCTGCCATGGGGGTGATGAATTCGCCATCGACACTGGTGGCAACACTTTGTTCCTCCACATCTGCGATTCCTCGTCTCCAGCTTTCAATACTACTCATTTCGCTTCCCATCTCGCTTCCTACCTCGAGACGTTCATAGGCCATAGGTTCTTCCATGCGGTTCGCTTCGACTTTGCTAGCTTGGATAGCTTCGCTGTTGGCTTGAATTTGCTTGACAATTTTATAGCCTCCGAACATGACAATTGTGACGCCGAGTGCAACACCTCCTGCGATCAGAAACTGCGGCGACGCAAGTAGTGCAAAGGCAGCAGGTGACGCAACTTTTAGACTGTTGAGAATGGTAGGACCCATGGATTTGATGATGTTGGAAAGTTCAGCAAGGGTAAGGGCAACGGCAGCCATGGCTTCTGGGTTACTTTGGAGATTGGCAATGATAGCAGTGGCAGAATGATGTAAACATTCTGCTTCCAACAACAATGTATCCAGTTTTGTCATGGTAGCTTCCAAATCTTGCTCTTGAACAGCAGGAGAGGCTGGCGATGATGGCTGATGCAGCTCTCCATATGCCAAATTCATATCAACCTTGTCCTTTTTATGCACATCGGGATCCGATGCGCTGCGGTATAGCGCGTTTGATGGAGCTTCAGTTCGAGCGACTTGACCGCCATGCGCAGCGAAATCGGTATTTCTGCGAGTGATATTGCCTGGTGCATCCTCAAAATATGGAGTGGTGTATTGAGATCCATCGATACTAGGAGCGCGACGGGATCGAGGTTGTGAACTACGACTTCTTCGACTCGAAGCTAAGCTTCCTTCATGTTGTTCTGGGATGTGGGAGAGAGGAGGCCGAGACTCAATAGCTCGGTCTTTGTGCTGCCGATGAGAACGACTTGACCGACGGGAATGTCGAGACGATGCGACAGATTGAACATCCTCGCGAGCTTGAATCAAATGCTGCGCCTGCTTGTATGCAAGACGCTTTCGTTGTTCCGCCCTCAGTAGTTCTTTCCTCTCTGCCTTCTTCTCATTATATGCGGCCTTGGCCTCCTGGAAAATGTTGACGAGTTGTTTACCCTGCACCGAGGTTAAAATTGCATATGGAGTGGGAAAGGGGGAGCTCTTACAGTGCTAATAACCTTTCCCGACTTGTTGATGACGGTTACTGTCTCCATTAATGGTGGCATCTTGACGGTTTTTGATTAAAGCAATTGAAAAAACCAAAGACCAGCTTCGGTGAGTTATATCCTCGTGGAATCGTAGGGGTGAGGTTGGCCTGGGAAATTGGCCGTCGTCAAAAGTGCGGTGAGTGAGGCGGAATTGAAGGGGTTGGCAGCAAAGAGAAAGCAATGACCGCCTCCTGGGCTATTGATGGCAGCTGCTGGCGGAGGCGAGACAGACACGGCCTTTGCCTCTTGGTAAAATCGTAAGATATTCTCAGAGATAAATCCCCGAGGAGGTGTGAGCTGTCTGTCTAGTGAGGTGGGAGGAGAAGTCGCGAATATAATAAGAAGCCCATGAGAGCAGTCAGCTGGGGTAGTGGGAGTTGGTCCCAGCGCGAAATCTCTACCAGGTATCGTGATTGGTGAAGTTGACCGCAACTCCTGAACCTCACAACCAAGCGATGGAGAAGGCAAACTGGCGAGGCGAGAGATGCGCGGGAAGTCAGAATTCAGTTCCTGAGAGGATAAGGGGATCAAGGGGATCAAGAGGATCAAGAGGATACTAGTGGAGCTGCGTCTTTGGTGATCTACTTGTTCTGCAAACGTGATGGGCCTATGGCGATGAGAATCACTGGGATGCGATGAGAATGCCGCTCCGATACAGGTGTAAATATCTGCACCAGTATCATAAGCATCCCTACCTCTGTTTACTGCCGTCTTCCCGCTTTGCATTCGTGTCACCACCCGAAGACTCGCGGCCGCAGTCGAACTACTTCGTATGATGAGAAACGTCTATGGAGCCCTCTGCCCTTCCAAACACCACCAAGAACCCAGTTTTCTGGGCACCCCTCGTCCAGCGTTAGCCGAGCTCGGTGTGCTGGCGCTTCATGATTTGACGACGGCTTCCCAGGGACAGACTCCCATCGGGATCATGACGGGCGAAACCTGGGTAGTACTTGGTGTTGTTTACCGCTTTTGGCGATTCAAATTATTTCAGTGTGGACTCAGCACTGTTGGCCAGTCAAAGCCATGTAAATTCGTTGTTCTTGAGCAAATCCACGTTTCAACTCGCTTCAACAGCCATCATCCATGACCGCCTGTAAGTTACGTAGTGGCGAAGCAACGCGGTCAGAACGCTGGATGGACTGAGGGGCGCTTGATCGCATCAAGTATTGTGGCTTAGTCAAGCCCAAGTTTGTATATCTCAAAATGTCAACATGTGGCGTTAGAAGGGTTGTACTCGTACTCGAGTACCTGAGGATGTGTTGTATACAGACATACACGTTGATTACCTAGACAACATGCGATTTTCAAACAACCACATGCAAATTGCTCTCAAGAACCTCGAATAGGAAAGTAAGTAAAACACCCCGCACTAAAGCACTGACTGCAGCATGAAATGCTCCAGCTCGCTGGCAGCTCCACGTGATGCAAGATGCAAGAAATGCCCAAGTGTACCCCTCTATGCGGTGCTACCTTACCTCACCGTACCGCCAACTTGCATTCAATTGGTTGAGCAGAATACTGGGGATGTTTGAGATATCAGCCCAATGCCGCCAGAAAATACCACCACGAGCACAAGAGCTTCAAACATGGAGAAGTGGGAAACAAACTTCATTTGCATAATTGCGTGAATGTTAGGTAACATCGAATCCATCAATGTATAAACATCCCCCACAACATATCCTTCCCTCAGAAATATCGACATCAACCATGTGTCATCCATCCGAGACCAGAGTTGCATACTCCCAAAGGAATTTGTAATCTGTCCCATCCCGTCTGGTTCTGACTTTTTTCATACCCACATCCCGAGTCAAAATCATACAAAAAACACCCCTCAACTCCCTATGCCCTGTTCTGCTTCCTTCATGTTGTATGCATTTATTGAGCGAAATCAATCGTTTCGTCATCCGGATGGACTGGAACGTTGTTGCCCCAGCCATTGTTCTCTGACTGATCCATCATATCGATATCCATCGTAACCTCTGAATCACGACGACCATTATCAGTCAATGCCCTAATACCCTCAAGAACCTTCATCGCATTCTCCAACTTCTTTTGGGTTTTTAGCAATTCGCTGCGCTCGTTTGCGAGAGTGGGATTTTCCGAAATGAGCATCTGGGCAATTTCATCACCTAAAGAACCCTCAGCTTGAGTTAGAATAATGAAAGATTTGAGAACTTACAATTTGGTGAAAAAAGATCGAGCTTTCTTTCGAGCAGGGTTTTGAAGCCCTTCTTCATTGCCTCGAATGTGGTAACATTTACACTGCAGCATACGGTATCGACAAATCGAATTCTGGCCAAATTGTAATAACCAATAACATAAGCAGCAATTTCTAGTTCTTTGTGGAACATAGAAAATCTGGCTAAATCTTCTTCCTTCACATTTTTCCGCAAGTGCTCCTTGTCCTTGTGGCGGCCCTTGACAGTGTTCAACCAGGCTTCGATGCGAGCTTCCTTGCGTGCTGTGTTCAATTTAGCCAGAGCTTGCTGCTTGTATTCTCTAAATCCATCGAGGTTCATTGTAAAAAGTGCTGCGTGTTCAATATTGTACAAGTCGAACAGCTTCTCTCGCTGAATCATTTCGTAGTGATTAATTAAATCACTAATGTACTCCTTAGATCTTCGGAATAGTAGAGTATCCTTGTAGTTTTTGAGAACCTCAGAAAGCACCTGGATAATCTCCTTTCCCAATATTGTAAAAGTAGTATTGTGAAAAGTCTCGAGTGGCAGCTTCCATGGTTGAATAGCTGTTAGTGCATACTCCTCCTTGATTGTGAAGCTCACGTTATCAGGCTCACCAAATCCGGTATAAAAATCAATACCTTTTCGTAAATCCGCGATTGTCATGAAATTGCGGCCGGAGTAGAGGTAGTCCTGACAAAAAGGGCCGTACTTAAGACCAAGCTGAGTCGGCATTAGCCTACGCATCCCACCAGGTGAAGCTAACTCCTGTTTGATTGGAGTTTGTAGTCGGATTGGATTTTTGTTGGGGGTCGTAGAACTGTGGTATCGAATGCTTGCCGTGATGTTTGAGCTCTATTGTTACCTTCGTTCGCGTAATCATCGTCACTTACCAAATTGATCTGCTCTTCAGTTCTAGGACGTGCCCCATCCGATGGGGCTTGACTGCAGTTCATTTCAAACTGCATGTGCTCTAGGGTGTCTCGGAATCGTGAAGACAACTTTTTCCACTGGTATTGAAAAGATTCTTCGCGTCGCTTTGTTCCGCCTTCATTATTGCGTCGCGCATTTCCACCAAGTAGCCCCTCTGCAGCATCGCTGAATTTGGCTAGAAGCTGACGGACGATAAACTGGGCTTGTTCGTGACAGACCTCTGGCCGGTTCTCCAGCTCTGCTTGAATCCCCCTAGCCTGGTTTTGAACATCACTCTGAATATCAGGAATACTATAATGTGTTAGTTTAAGCGTTGCTAACTAAGGGATTGATTGGATTGGGATACCTTCGCAGGATCATTTGAACAAACTCTTTTGACAAGAACTCCTGGATCATAGAAGTACCGCATCTCGACCTAAAATGTGACCAGATGCCATTGGACCCATAAAGACGGCTCTGATCGAAAAAATGTTTTTCTTCTAGGAGGGCCCGCCTATGGTAGTCGGAGGTCAGAGGGTTTTTGGGCAGCGGGGAGTCTACACCTGGCTGTTTTGTCACGAAGTAACCGTAAGGAAGAACATAGGCTTTCTTTTCGAAGAGATCGTTATAGTCTTGGTGGTATACACCTTGCATTCTATCGGGCATTGTAAGAACACCAACACATCGATCATTGGCTTTGCAACGGTTGATAACCTCCTTCGTAACAGAGACAGCGGGGTCGTTGTGCATAGACATTGCACAGATAATAAGGGCTCTCTCATGCCGAACATACTTTATTGTTAGATTCTCGCAAAACTTTGGCCCACCCTCCTCACGCTTGTTACGCGAAACTTTAAAAAGGCCAGGCAGATCGTAGAAAGATAGGTTCGAGAGTCCTGGTCCAGCAATGGCCACCGATATCACATTCGGGGAAAAGATAGTTTGGTCGTAGTAATCTCCGGATCCGTTGCGAAGTATGGCTTCTTGTGCTTGAGTAGCAGTTCCTGGGATATACAAGTTACTGTCCTTGTCGGGATTCAAGATAGCGATTTGTGCCCACTTCATCACCTCTTCTAATTCAGACTTGTCTCCAATTGTCTTGAAAGGCTTGTTAGAAAGGGCATCCTGGCGTTCGACCCAATTTGGAAATGGTCCAGCCTTCGATCTCGGGTCATACGAGTACATTTCCTGCAGCGATACTTCGCAGGTCCATTTCTCCGCTTCAGAGGTTCTGATATTGGTTGGGCATCGCGTACAAGTACCTGAGCCTCTTGGAAGACTGATGTGTGCGATAGCACCCATAAGGCAAGATTTGCCCGAGCTCTGGTCGCCAACCAAAACAAGTTCAGGAAGGCAGGTAACATGCTTTTTGAGTCCTATACTTCTCAGTTCTTCAATCGCGTCGATGAGCTTCTTCACATTTTGACCAACTATCTCAAGACCACCTTGATCGACACCGCTTGGCTGGTTAGAGTCTTCGGTTCGTTGTCGTTTACCTGAGTTATGTCAATAAATAAACTCCGCATCTATTATGTGAGGGGGTCCTTACTCGACCTCGTGGCGGCAGTGCCGTTTTGGTGACCACCTGTATCCATCTCATTGCTTCCTTGGGTCGTGTCTTTTGGAACGTCAGACCAACGGAGCTCACCTCTTCAATCTTCGGGGTTGTACCAATGCTCATCGTATCCTCAGGCGTCGGAATGCCATATGACTCACGCTTCTTTCGTTTAGACATATCGAGAGAGATCGATGGGCTCGTGGGGTGTGCTTTATCGGAAGATCGATTAGCATGTCATGGTATTGTAGGAGTACAGTACGTAGGGAGGTCATGATCAACGATTCAACGCAAGCTGACGGAAGGTGAAGATCGAGACCTCAGACGGATGCAATGAGGTACTGTCACATACCTTTCTATTGCGCCGCAGAGATTTGAAGAAGCGCCTGATGAAGTAGAGAGACAATGATTTGCGGAGTCGTGAGATGAATGGTGGTGGGAGGTGGGTGGAGAGTAGATCGAGCAGCGACGAGAGCGTTTGTCAGGGAGGTTGCGACTTTTATCCCCGGTGAGGCTACGGCAAAGGAGATGGATGGTAAGATGGTAAGTTCGAGGTGAGGGAAGAGAAAAGTGAGGTCTGTATTGTTCTGTACTAGTGCGTAGAAGGAGAGCGAGCGAAAAGAGCAGTTGTATGGAAGAAGATGGTACTCAAGTACAGTACAATAATGAGCAATGGGAATCAAGGAATTTCTATCAAGCCAGTGCTGGGCACTTTATACTCCTCTGCGCGTTCTCGCTTCTCTCTTCGCGCAAGGTGCTGGAAGGTGCTCACCCTAAGCTCTTTTTTTGCTTCGTGAAGTCCTCGCTGAACTTCCACTAGAGCAGCACAAGCGAAGATGAGCTTTGGCAGGGCACAACACCACCACCAGATCTTCGCCTGTGAATCTCCAACATAAGGCCAGAGAAGAAATCACTCCCAAGGATGAATCACCAAACCCCGCACAGATGCATGGCGTGTTTCTTTTTGGTCATGCACATGCATCTTTCCGCTCCAATCTGCCCTTCACGCCTTTCCACGCCTTTTGCAGCTTATTGTATAGAAGGTTGAGATGGCTTCGTGAACGAGTGTTTTCCACGCCAGCATCGCCTCTGTACCGTACGCTTCCATACATTAAAAAAAGAACCAATTTCCACACCGACAGAACCTCTCGGATTTCGTGTCAAGCTCGCGTTTTCTATCGCCTTTTTCTCATGGGCATCTTTCTAGAAGAGCAAGTTGACCTCAAGGACAGGGCTCGGCTGGGTTGACAAGAACACGCCTCCCAAGAATGTCACACGAAGCCCGAGTCGAGTAAGATGCTGAGTACTTTGGCAACTACAGGCGATCGATGAGTGTGCTATTCAACCCTGTGAGAGCAAGAGATCTACCTAGTTTGGTGAAGTGAGCTTTGGTTCTCCCAAATAGAGGCATACAGGATATAAGGCAGAGGCACACAGGCCAATGGAGAGCAGAGTCACGACTCCCCCGCATTGAACTGGGAAGCTTTCCACCTTCACAAAGTTCCAGATTAGGTTGCTTCCACTGTCACGGGCACGTGCACGGAACTCGTCCCATGCCACCTGCAGCCCAGAGTGCATTTGGGCGCATTTCGGGCATCTTCACCCCTAATGGAAGACTCGTACTCCACCACTTCAGCGCGCTAGGGCCAAGCGTCTACGTCCCCAAAAATATCACAGCTGCTAGCCTTCGTGTCATTTCCATTTCCTCAGAGCTACATCCCAGTGCATTGAGAAAATAATAAACACATCATGTCTCTGCAAATTCCTCATCGCGAAAAGACCAGTGGCTCTCATGCCTCCACCAAAGCCGTCATTCTGGTAAGTCCTGGCCTAATGCTAATGCTGGCGGGGGGATTGGGAAAGCTATTACCACAACCTGAGGGAAACCACTAACAGACAGGCTACAGGTTGGTGGTCCATCACGAGGAACTCGATTCCGGCCATTGTCCCTGGATCTGCCAAAGGTATATTGCCAAAAACTTCTCCACACGCTATTTGGATGCTCGCTGACAATCGCGACAGCCCCTCTTTGAAGTTGCAGGACATCCCATCGTATGGCACTGTCTCACCGCCATCGCCAAAGTACCCCACATTCAAGAAGTGTGTATGATCGGTTACTACGACGAATCTGTGTTCCGCGACTTCATCAAAGACTCTTCGAAAGAATTCCCCCAAATCAAAATCGTATACTTGCGCGAATATCAAGCTCTGGGCACAGCAGGAGGATTATACCATTTCCGTGATGCTATTCTCAAGGGCAAGCCCGAACGATTCTTCGTTCTTAACGCAGACGTGTGTTGTTCATTCCCACTGAATGACATGTTGCATCTGTTTGAGAGTAGAGACGCCGAAGCTGTGATTCTTGGTACACGTGTGGGTGAAGAAGCCGCCAGTAACTTTGGGTGCATCGTTTCCGACGCCCACACTCGCCGGGTTCTCCATTACGTCGAGAAGCCCGAATCTCACATCTCCAATCTCATCAACTGCGGCGTCTACCTCTTCTCAACCGAAACTATCTTTCCTTCAATCCGAAGTGCCATCAAAAAGCGTACCGAGCGCCCTCGTCTCATCTCTTACCCCTCCTCCGAAAACCTTCAGTCCTCGTACTTTCAAGACGATGATGACGAGGAAAAGAAGAATCAAGTACTGCGATTGGAGCAGGATATTCTCAGTGATTTGGCAGATAGCAAGCAGTTCTTTGTCCACGAAACCAAGGATTTCTGGAGACAGATCAAGACTGCAGGCTCAGCCATCCCTGCGAATGCACTGTACCTACAAAAGGCCTGGCAAACCGGATCAGAGGAGCTTGCGAAGCCATCTGCCAACATTCTGCCACCTGTATTCATTCACCCTACAGCTGATGTAGACCCAACAGCCAAGCTTGGACCCAATGTATCAATTGGTCCAAGAGCGGTCGTGGGTGCAGGTGTCAGAATCAAGGAGGCAATCGTCCTTGAAGATGTGGAGATCAAGCATGATGCTTGCGTTTTATACTCTATTATTGGCTGGAACAGTAGGGTAGGTGCTTGGGCTCGTGTTGAAGGAACTCCAACACCTGTCAACAGTCACACAACCAGTATTATCAAGAACGGAGTCAAGGTTCAAAGCATCACTATTCTTGGTAAGGAATGTGGTGTTGGTGATGAAGTTCGAGTACAGAATTGTGTTTGCTTACCATTCAAGGAATTGAAAAGGGTACGCATCGAAATCTTACATATCATTCGTCTACTAATTGAAATAGGATGTTACCAACGAGGTGATCATGTAATTGATAAAGCATCATCATTATTAAAGGTGGGGATATGGAAAATACCCATCCAGGGCTGAGTTCCACATTTGAGGCAAGTTTCCTGTGTATCTTAAAAATGGAAAAGGATAAAATGGGTTTCCGAGATACCGAAGTACGTAGGTATGACATTATTTGTCAACTGTATCACTTTTTTGCCAACTGTTGCTCTGTTCGGTGATATTTCGGGCCCCCTTGATCGGCGTTAAGATTACAATTTCTTCCCCTCAGTGGGGTACTCGAGTACCCAGCAGTTGTGCCCATCTTTTGGTTTACCAATCGGGCTGGGGCTAGGATCAAGAAATATCGGTATTTACAAGCGATCTATCAAATCAAATGATGGCTTTCGATGTAATGTCCGAAAACTCACATTAAACTGACAGCTTTCATGGAATGTGCAAGTATATATTTGTCAGCATCGTTCTTCGTGACATCATGGTTTTCCATGGTGTTTCCACTTTCTGTTTATACAGCTACGTTAGAGTATCTAGGTAAAGTAGAGGCGCCGGGGCTGAAAATGTAGATAAGTATCAATCTCAGCCTTTGTTAGTTTTTCACTTCTACCTTCTCATACATAAGTCGTCAAGTTCCATATATCTCATTTCCCGTTGCAATCCATCAACACCATCTTCGTTATCAAATCATCACAATGCCAGGAATTCCAAACAAACCCGCTGAAGGAGTATGTACCCTTCTTTTTCATTTATATACATAAACAACTAACACATCCAGGTCCCCTTCTTCACACCCGCCCAAGAACCACCAGCAGGCACAGCCTCATCCCCCCAACCAAACAACACCCCCATCCCCAAACTCTTCACCCCTCTCACAATCCGCGATGTCACCTTCCAAAACCGCATCTTTCTCTCCCCACTCTGTCAATACTCGGCCTCCAACGGCCATCTCCAGCCCTGGCATTATGCCCATCTAGGCGGCATCATTTCACGTGGTCCCGGTCTAGCGATGGTGGAAGCCACCTCCGTGACGGCCGAAGGCCGTATCACACCCGAGGACAGCGGGATCTGGCTAGATTCCCACGTCGATGCACCCTTTGGACTGAAGAGTATTGTGGACTTTGCGCATTCCCAGAATCAGAAGATAGGCATTCAGATTGGGCATGCAGGGAGGAAGGCGAGTACGGTGGCGCCGTGGTTGCATTCTGGTACGAAAGCTACGGGGGATGTGGGGGGGTGGGAGGATGATGTGTGGGCTCCTAGTGAGGTGCCGTATAATGAGCATTTTCCTGTGCCCAAGGCGGTGAGTCTTGAGGGGATTGAGGAGTTGAAAAAAGCGTGGGTGGAGGGTGTCAAGCGAGCGGTCAGGGCGGGGTTTGATGTTATTGAGATTCATAGTGCGCATGGGTATCTCCTGGGCGAGTTCTTGAGCCCGGTGTCGAATAAGAGGACGGATAAGTACGGTGGTTCGTTCGAGAATCGGGTTAGACTTACGCTTGAGCTTGTGGAGTTGACACGCAAAGAGATGCCTAAGGGTATGCCGCTCTTCCTACGGATCAGCGCAACGGACTGGTTGGAAGATGTCCTGGGCAAAGGCGAGAGCTGGACCAACGAAGATACCATCCGTCTCGCACCCCTCCTTGCCGAGCGAGGCGTCGACCTCCTTGATGTCTCGTCGGGTGGCAACTCGCCCCAGCAGAAGATCAAGAGCGGGCCGGGGTATCAGGCGCCCTTCTCCAAGGAGATTAAGAAGGCTGTGGGGAATACGTTGTTGGTTGGTACCGTGGGGAGTATTACGAGTGGCACGCAGGCGGAGGCGTTGCTCACGGGGAAGGGAGAGGATAGTCGGGGCGAGACGGAGTTGGATGTTGCGGTTCTGGGGAGGATGTTTCAGAAGAATCCCGGGTTGGTGTGGGCTTTTGCGGAGGAGTTGGGGGTGCAGGTTTATGTTGCGAATCAGATTCGGTGGGGGTTTGGGGGTCGGCCGGGGAAGAAGGATCAGTAGGTTTCTCAGCTTCTTGGAGTTAGAGCTGGGAGTGTGTTTAGATTTTTGGTAATTAGAGTAATTTTATTAAAGTTGTTAGAAGATATCTGTTCATGGCGGGAAGTGATTTGGATTCAGGTACTATCACCTTCTCTTTACACATACGTTAAGACTAGTATCGCTATACCTACCCATTACCAAAAACCCCACCCTATTTCAACTATACAACAACACTCCCCATCTTTCATCCCCTCCGTTCCCCAAGCTATCATTCCCTACACTCACCCCTCCTCACAGTTCTAACCTCAAGTAACACACCTCACACCAAGTCGTCCGGCAATCTTATATCCCTTCTAGAGTGTATAGGGTGTTAAAAAAACGTGCACCAAAGAGTAGATAAAGTAGATACGATAACTGGGTCGAATTAAGGCTCAAATACTTAGAATATAGGTTTATGTAGATCTAGGAACCTTATATTATAATACGTAGAAACGCGGTAATAAAGATACTAAGAGAAGTCTCTAACCGCTATATATTCTTATATATTAAATTATATAGTAACGTATATAAATATAGAGAGAAATATCTAAATGTTTTATAGAAATTATTACTTAATTTTTCTATTGTAAAATTATCCTAATATTACTATATATCTACTATACGTTACTTAAGTACTCTATCTAATTCGCCGTTAAGTTCTAAGCTTTTAAGCTCTCCTAGCTTTAGAATACTCCCTTGATTTAGTAATATTAATATCCTATTATCCCCTCTTATTTAAAATATTACTATTGTGACGACACGTACGCAAGGCCCACGGTGTAGGTTGTGGAATCGTAGAACTGTCAATTAAACAAAGATTCTAAGCTGAGGAGAAGAGGAGAGCTCGAGAGAGCTTCGATCTAAATACTTGGTGTGGGTCGCTAAGCGAGACCACGTGATCCGAATGGTGGTGACGGTTAGAACCGTCACAACTATGTTAAACTAAGCTCCTTCTATATTAATTATACTATAAAATAGTATAAATTCTATAGAATAAGCTACCCCGCCTATAGCGCTTTACTACTCTACTAGGAATATAGGTAAAAGAGCGTTCTAACTAAAAACCGTATTTATATTATTATAAAGAGCTTAAAAAAATACTTATATATTTTTATTTATTATTCTATTATACTAATCTAGTCGTAAACTATAAACGAAGACCTTAATTCAGATATAGTATTATTTAGCGTAAGTACTAATTATTAGTAAAAGTACTTACGTAAAGTATATAAGGTAGTAATTAATTTAGCGAGGATTATATACGATTTTAAACCTATTAAAATACTAAATCTAGTATAACCTATAAAGATAAATCTACTAAATTTATATAATACTAATAATCCTATATGTCACGAATCACGTGCTCACGTGATACTTGTCATAATAAGAGGCGCAACCCTCGACAGGCACATCCAGGTTTCTTATAGCAAAATAGGGACGCTTAGGCTAGCTAAGCGATCCAGGGATTTCCTTTGGTTAGCATCACGTGACTCGCTTGGATCATGGAGGATCATATGAGCCAGTGTGAGCCGGATCAGATGGATCATGGTGATCCATATGATCAACAGAGAACGAAGGTTCTATATAAGACTGGCATGTCTGCCATTAGATAGGAGCTTCGTGCTCAACTTAGTTATCAATCTTATCATATTAGTTTGACATCTTTGATACAAGTAACGAGTTCACTTCCAAGTGAACAACCCGATAGTCTTCTTCTTATCATAGCATACCAACCAGCGAACACCCAGCCAAGTTTAGTTAGCCAGTTTGAGTATTCGTTACATTAGGCCACTAAAAAAGCACGGATTACAGAAAATCTCGGAAAATTAAGCTTAATTCGCAACTGACTATATGTATTATTTAAACGAATTTCAATTTCTACAAATGTGATAGATATTGAGGACAATAATGTTGGGAAACACTATCTCCGCATATAATTTTAATGACTAGTCATTTAATATACCTTCATTTTATCTTATTGTTTACACCGGTTTAAGAAATAAATTGAGTACAATACAATTTCGAATTTATAATACACCAGTGATTTTGAAATAGCCCGAATATGGTTTTGGTTTGAATCTATATTCTGTAAATACTCCTTTCCCAGGTACCTACACCCGAAGAATGTAATTAGTTGAGCTAGTGTTGGTTTGACTTATCGTCAAAATGCGAGGTGCAATACAGGAAGAGGCTAAACCTTAGTATTGGACTATTCCTATTGTTGATGCACACTGAGTCAAAGGTGTGGAAGCCTGTGCTAGGTGGTCCGTGCCACCGAGTATAATCACTCGGATATTATAGCGACAGCTAGACTCAATGATTTCAATATCAAGACTGATTGGGATACTTCGATGTGTTATAGGTACTAATTGGTAAAAGTGTATGGGCCAAATAGAAGAGAAAACTGGCAATAATACGACGATGACTTTCACCAATGGCTTTCTGATCACTGTGGATTCCGAGCAAGGCGTTCCATCTGTGTTAGGCGAACAAATTAACAATCTTTACAAGTTGAAACCTACAAATAGTTCATACGTCTTTCTTGTAGCTACAATCACATGAGAAGTTATGCCCAAAGACGTTCACAAATGGTTTCGGATACAAAGATGTATTTACATCGCTCCAGCAAGCTATAAAAATATGTACAAAAAGCCCCAGTTCCACGGTGCTCCAAGATGTACTCGACACCCTTAGAAAATATGTTCGTCAGAATAAAAACAAAGGAGAGTTCTAGACCACTCCAGCTACAAGTATCGCATCTGATACCAGTGGCCAATCGATTTAACAAGCTGGGAGAGTATCAAGCTTTCCTTGAGCGCCGAGGCAGACATCCTTGGAGCTGATCTTTGGGGATTCGCCAGAAGTCTTCTTCTTGTCAATACCGGTAAACTCCTGGCAAACGTGCTTGACACCTTTTCCGCATGAACCAGTGATTGTGGCAGTGTCTTCGTAGTTGGCGTTAATACCAATGACATCGGAGGTAATGCCATTGGCCTTGAGGTTTTGGATGATGACCTTACGTGGTCCTCCGTTGTTGGAGCAGTTACCGCATGAGCGATACACTTTTCCAACACTTTGGACTGTGTAGTCCTTGATGGTGACTGTTCCCTTTCCGTTGTGTTGGACAACTTTGTCCTTAGCGTTCACTGCTCCTCCACCTTGAATGAGGACATTGCCGGTGCCGAGAAGGGAAATGGCGTCTGCTGATAGTTAGCAAATCGAAATTGTAGATTGGGATAAAAACTTACCTTCGCAGACATCACGGAACCAAACATTCTTAAGTGTGCAAGCTGCTTTGCAGTGAACACCCTCCACTAAGCAAGAGTTAGTACTGTGTTTAATGCTGGGGGATCAAACTAATCTTACATTGGTTGGCACCAATAATGACGTTGGAGAGAGTAGCACCGTCCTCGAGGATGAAGACTGCATTGCTGGATCCTGTATCCGCGTCGGTGTCACATTTCTGTCCTCGATCGTACTCCTTGTTTCCCATATCCACGCTTCCAGTGATGGTCATTGCCTCTCTAAGAGAGTTGATACTTCCAGATCGAGCGGGGATATTCACTGACTGGGAAGCAGCGAGGGTGGCCAAGATGGCAGAGAGGACGGTGGTTGAAAGTTGCATTTTGAGGTTGTTGAAGTTGTTAAGAGGATGATAGAACTTGTCTGCTGGAGCTTTGAGAATGAAAATGAAGGAATGTAAGGCCAAAGAAGCTGATGGAGAAAGAAGATGTTTAGTGTGGAAGATCGGACAGTCTTTATAGCGGACGAGAATTATGGAATTGGCTGGTAGTGCTCATGCGTCTGGCCGCAGTTACGAAATCATACTTGGATATCATTCGAGTAACCTCCGGACAAATTTGAACGGAATTTCCTATGAAAGCCCAGGCATTCTTTCACGAAACCTGACCAACCTCGCTTAGAAAAAGCATCGTTCAGGGGCTTTCTTTGGCAGAGTAATGAAGGCATTCCCCACACAAACGTCCATATCAGGTCCATATAGCGCAGCCATGACCTTAGCAGGTGTCGAAATTCTAGCGGAGAAGAAAATAATCGTCCAGAATGGATATTTCTCCGTCGGAAGAAGACCAAAGGTCCCACGAACTTGCGGACAAACACCCGATGAATCGAAAATTCATGTACTACTATCACACCAAAAAACAAGCCTCCATGAACCAGAGCCTCAGAACCATCTGCCATTTTTGCTTGGCGAGCCTATAAGGTACTTTATCCGAAAATCTTGGCGAACATGATGGTTGGTTGGTGACGGCAACGCACAACTGGGATGGAAAGTTGACCCTGGGCAAACCCGTCTTGGTATCATAGAACTTGGAAATCGAAGACTCTCATTCCCGGTTTGTGTAATGCGGGGATAATCGATCACTTTTTTCAATGCAGAGAAGGAGTCCACTCATATGGTCGGGAATGTGCAATAGATGATGCCCAGGGGCCAATTTGTTTGTTAAGCCAAACCAGATGCGATCTCAGATCCATGAATTACTTTCAAAGATCTATCACTATTCGTACTCGTACTAGATTTTTACGTCGAGCGTGCCCCCTTTCCTTTTCTGATGTCCTTTCCCCATGACACGGTACTGGTACTTTTTATTGGAACAAAACTCCGGCTCCTGCAGTGACATATGAATCGCAGGCGTGGCGGCAAAAACCGCGGGTAGCGCGACGCCTACAGTAGTACAGTAGTACACCAACAAAAAGACATGCGCGCTGATTCCACCCGTTCGTAAAAAAGCTTCGCCAAACTCAAAATATAGTTTGGAACTCTCGCCTAGGCAGGCTGAAGCCCAAACTCAGTGTCAACGTCCATGTAGTTTTGCTGATCATGCGCAGAGCATGTAGACCCTGCTTCGCGGAATATTCGCCAACTCACCACACATTTCTCGGAGAGCGTTCTCTTTTCTTAGGTTGTACGTATTCATCTCCTTCATGTCGGCACTTCAAACGAGACCTCCTGATGATGTGGCAAGGGTGAGTGCATGGGACCGTCCAAGAGGTTGCCTCGTGGTGAACAATATCGGTCAACCTCTTGGCATCCTCGTCCATACAGCCCCACGGACCCCAGTCCAAACCACTCCACTTCAGCGTTCTGGGCCAATATAAAAGCCTATTTTGGCTTAGATAAACATTTCTGGGAGTTTTTGAATGGAGGTAGATTCAACAATTGTAGGAAGGCGGTCCGGATACTCCACCATGTCTACATTTTATGTAAGAGTACTCGTACTCGGGTTCCTCCACTGACAAGCTCAAATCCCCAATTCTACCAACATTTTTGACGCACGGGGTTGAGTATATCCACCACTCCCCCTTTTCTGACCGATTTATGGTTACATCATCTTAGATCTGCTATACCTTGCTACCAAGATCCAACAATGCATAATCCCTTTTAATGACACTCCTGACTTAACTGTATCAATATTTTTTCCCGGTTGCTAACAAGAGGAGACCTCGACAGGAGTCTGCCAAATGTTTACAATGATGGAATCATTACTCGGGGGCTTTCTAAATACATGACTCCTCCCATTTCGCAACGGACGCCTCTTCCAGGCATCCACTATTCAAGTAAGTGTGGTTTTCGCGAGGGAAACTCCAAGTCATGACACTCGCCTCGCAAACAGGATCATTCTACTCGAGGAATATCTCGATAACACAAAGAGCCCCCTTGGCCTCCCCCCTTAGGTACAAGTAGTTCAAATATAGATTGGTGCGAGTAGAACGCCACTCTCTTTGCTCCACCGTGCGAGCGGCGGACACATGAGTTTCTCCCACTTCCCGGTGGCACTTCTCCACAAAACCCGCGTCGACATCCCAAACACTTCTTCCGCATTTTTTCTTTCCACTGTAAATCTCGTACAAGGAATCTGACCCGGTTGGTTGCGAGTTTCCGGCAATTTTGATGTTGGTCTGACATACAAATTTCCTGTATTCGTGGCTGCACTTGGCGATGTTTGGAATACATAGTGTTTTCTTGAGTCAGATATCGTGTCCCCAGCCGCTTTTAATGATTCATCCTCAGTCTCCTTAATTACTGGGCGATGTAGGAAATCGGAAACGTAGTCTCAGGCCATTTCCACTTTCCCAATTATCCCAAGACTTCTGAGCTAACAACCCTCAATCTCTCGCAATATTGAAATGAGCCTTCGGATGCTTGTTGGAAGAGTAGCTCGTATAACGAGAGGTCTTCTGGTCATAATCAGCTGCGAATTCCTTCACCAACTGGTTGGTGGTAAATTCGAGGATCGCAACGGAACATTCCTCTCGGAACTCCCACACCCACACATACACGAGAGAGGAAGATGGCAAATTATTAGAGATGGGAATAGTGTTCTATACAAGAGTGCGGGGATTGAGGAATGGAGGTTCAACAGAGCAAGATGGTGAGAAAGGAATCAAGGCAACTGCTTCGAACTCTCCACGAACTGGCTCACGAGGTCACAAGAAAGCAGTACTCTAGTAGAGCAATTAGACCTGTTTTGTGCATTAATCTTCTGGAAAATTAGTATTGGGAACTGATAAACGAATAGAGTGTCTTCACTGATTCGATGTCCCCACTTCCTTGCTACCTCTTTACCCAAACAAACATCAGTTTGCTAGGTCACTTCCAGAGACCTTGAAGTCTTCAGTTCCCAACGAGTCTTTATAAATTAATATGGAGACATTTCAGTCAAGTGTGTTCAAATAGAAGAGCTACTTGCTTCTGCCTTGTGGTAGGTGGAATGTAGGGTATTGGGAAACTCGAAGGTAGAAATTTGGATATAGGCGTCGTTCGCGCAACTTCTTCGCAATTGTGCACGAGTCACGGCCCTGATATGCATTGCAGTTCCGTTGGGATTCTTGGATTTTCTCGTCCATAATGAGCCATATGTTGGATATTTGAGCTAGAGGCAGTCTTTACGTCACGAGTCTGCGTTGACATTATCCATCGAACATTCAAAATTTGTTGTTCATGGATGGCTTGCTGCACATTCTCCTATTGTTTTTCTCCCCGCTCATTGATAGACCCAAGATTCAAGGCTTGGTGGATTTATTCAAGTATACTCAAGGCGTGGTACAGATAAAAGAGCAAATGATTGCAACATCGATATCTAAAAACGCAAACATGCTTTCCGTACTCCGTGAACTTAAGGCCATCTAAAATCTTACGAATATAACAACCAAGATTGGTGTACTAATCCCTGGTATAACGGGAGAGACACTTGACCAGCACTGAGCTCAGACAGCACATAAACTTCATCCATTGACTAACCCATTGAGGAGCCCTGTGCAACACGTTTCGCCCATGAAGGCTTTGGACTTTGCAGGTCTTTCGACGTCACCACCACCTCCTCGCTCTTCAAAGTCCTCGATTCCTCTCTACTAACAACACATTTCGCGTCCGCATTACTGGGAAAAAATGAAGAGTCTGTAGAAACACCCGTACGCTTCGGCAGGACTGTGTCTATTGAAGGGCTTTCAGGTGATTCTGGTGTGACGGAGGAAGCAGCCGAACTACCTGATTCCTTCACAGCAGAGAAAACGGAATATGTTGAGCTGGTGAGTGTACTATTGCCACTTCCTGGGTTTTGAAGGAGAGGTGGGCGGTTTGGGGTTGTGGGTAAATATTTTGCACTGGAATTGGAGGAGATACTACCAGTACCCTGCTTACTGTTCCTGTTCCAGAAAGACGGACGGATGGGTGTGGCAGATTTACTGGTGGAATTGGAACTAGTGGTGTTATTTCCACTCCAGTTTTGTCTCCAGTGTGGCCGTAGGGGTGTTGATGGTCTGACAGGGAGTGGTAGTGCACTTGGCCGTCGTTGGATGGCAGTAGGTTCCTCTTCGTTTTTAGATGGTTGACGGGGCCATTGCCCTTTACTTTGAAAGTTTCCGCCATTATGACTCTCATTCCGCCTGAAACTCCCGTTGCTTCTTCCTCTTCCTTTCGCGTGGGAATTTGATCGGCGAAAAGACGTCTGGTTCATCGAATTGAGACGCTCCTCGAGCTTCTTGCGTTCTGTTAGTTCCTGGTTGAACCTTTGCTGGAGTGATTCGTGACGGTTGTTGGTGTGTTTTCTCTCCAATTCAAGCACAGTTTGTGCGGTGTTACGAGCTTTTTCAAGACTGTCAATTCGATCTTTGTACCTTTCAATTTCCTCTTGGAGGGTTGATATCTGGACTTCGGAATTTAGGTTACTGGTATGTGCTAAATGAAGTCTCTTGTCTGGATAGAAGTTTTAGCAACAATATGGAAGCTTCCACATGATTCGACTTACGCAGTGCTTCGGTAAGATGGTTCTTGTCTTTATAGCAACACTGAAGATGGAAAGTTTGATTCAAACCCCCCAACTCGGAAAGACTGATATTGACCTGCATCATCGTTGGTCTCTCCTTTGGATCATGCCTAAGCATACGTTCAACAAGTTCAAGAACATGCTTGATATCAATATTGATCTCGTCCTTGTTCGTTAACCAAGCGGTCGTGGCTTTCTGTTGCAGATCATGAATGTGTTTTCGTATTCTCGGATTTTCTCTTGAGGGATCTCGTTCATGCCTGAGCGCTTTCTGGAACTTCTCTTTGGTTTCGCCATAAACTGCAGTGATGGCTGCCAGAAAGATACATCCAAGAGACCACACATCTGCCGGTGACATGTGGTGGTCGTTCCCCAAATATACCTCTGGGGCTTTCCACAGCGTTGTTCCAGTTCCTCCGGCGGTTTGTGTGTTGTCAGAATCCCTGACGTCTCGCGCAATTCCAAAGTCGGCAAGGAAGACTCGTCCTCGGCTGAGTAAGATATTCTTTGGCTTAAGATCCCGATGTCTTATTCCTCTCTCGTGAACATATGCCACCGCTTCGGCAATGCACCCAAGGGTTCGGAGCAGGAATTCAATCGCAGTGCTTGGTCTTCTTGTATCCCCATCGATTGAAGAGTTTCTCGGGATCTTCTTCTCTCCCCCGAGACGTCCAAATTCTTTCAAACCAAGCAATTGCAGTCTCGTTTCAGCCTCAGATTTCTCTTCGCAAGTTCCAGCTATCATAGTGCCAACATCGCGTAAGAAATCATCCAAATCGCAAGTGGCTGCGGGGTACAAGAGCAAGAAAAAATCTCTCTCAACTTCCACGTTCCTAACTCGTCGTCGTTTTGTGTATGTTCCGACTAACTTCACAATATGTTTATGCGACAACACCTCCATCACATTCGCCTCCTCTCGGATTCTGTCGATCGGCATTCGATTGCATAATTTGATACTTGATGAACAACCATCAGAAATGCCTGAACGGCTCACAGCGGATGACTTACTGTTTTCGAGCCATGGTCACAGCTTTGAAACTGATACGCTCTACCAGGCCATAAGTTCCACTACCCAGTTCTTCCAATGCTTCAATCGATTGGTCGTTAAACTTAGAAGAAGCATGCTTGCCGTGACCTGACCATTGACCCTTGGATCGTTCCCATTTTTCGATTTGCTTCTCTTCATCTATGCCGGAAACGAGGTGCCAGCCTTCTTCCCCATAATCCGAATTGGACATCCTGGAGTTCTATACAAATGCTCGTATCACGGTGTAGAAGGGATTTGATAGTCCGAATGGGGGTTTTGCTCCGATACTATTGCGTGCGCGTGTTGATACTACTAAAGCTTTGATAGAGATTGCAATTTTTCAGCGGGAAATCTATCGAATCTGGGTGATACAGTATGCTATGGGCTGACCACCTTCATGGCTGTGTTGTGGCTTTGAACCCCGCATTACTGCATACTGTGCGAGGTACGTGAGAGCACCATTGATTGGTTGTTAACAGTAGTCAATTGATCACCGACTTTCTGTTTTCTATACTGTATAATAACAATACTCGTTATAATGTTACATATTTCAATCGCATTCTCGAAGTCTTTTTTCATACCTGTGATGTATTCTATCTCACCTGTTGCGGTACGACTTTCTGCCCTGTGCTGAGGTTATTGCTTTAGATATTCTCTGGTGGAATAAGGTAGTTTATCTTGAGGATATCTATACAGTAGTTGTTAGGATGGACAATACCCCATCGGAACTCATTTATAGCATTTGTCAGCTCTATTACCTAAGTAGTACTGTAGAAGCAGTGCTGTTCAGGGGCCCAGCAACCCTGTCTAAAATCACAACGATGTGCTAACCGAGAAAGCTTATCAGAAGAAACAAGAAATCGGCCCCAGAAATGAGATATCGAATTCTTCTAGAATTCGATCTGAACCTTCCTATTATCGTCTAAACTAATTTCTATAAGATTTCCGTAAATTTCTTGATTGTCTATCAAATAATGTTCCCAACTCTGGCTTGTGTTGCCAATAAATAGCACGTCTAGAGCACCAAAACTTGCCAATCCCGTGGTGTACTCATAGATTAGAGCATTTAGAAAAGAACAGACCAAAAGTATTTGATTAACCAAAAGAAAAGTAAGTTGAAGATATAGATGGTGGAGTTGATATTGACCAGTCAGTTGGCTTGACTGTTCATCATTGGACTTCATCGGTCCGATAGTCGGGTATATCGGAGGATTAGCGGAGTAGATACTTGTCTTCATTTGCCCGGCCATTATTAGATTCGAGAATATCTATGTAACAACTTTCAACGATACTTCTCAGAACAAATATCCTAGAGTCATCCATATAATTTCTAGATTTGCAATTAGAAAGCAACCGCCAAAAATAGTACGACGTAAGTTCATCTATTCTACTTGAGACCGTATCTCATTCGTAACGAAAACGAGAACTCTCTTGGCAAACTGATGGGTTCGCACTAGGTGAAGTGAAGCGTAGAACTAGTTTAATACCAGATAGAGTAGTGGAGTTTGACATCTAAAGTTACATCTAGATTTACATCTAAATTTACATCTTCATCTCAGATAAATTGTCTAGGGAGATGTTCTGAAATAGTGACAGAGATAGCATGAGGTTGAGTAATTTTAAAATCAACTTTGGCATTATCCTTATGGCAATGTAAATCCATTCTTTTCGCTTCTTTGGCTAGGCAGTTGACAAGAATGGTATGTGGTGAAGAGATAGCTAGAAGTGGAAGGAGCAAGCTAAATTAGGCTCATATAAAGGGATGTCATATGGGTACCCTCATATGGGCAATAAATGTAATCAAATTATTATGTCGAATGTCACCCGCAAGATATTGTGCTAGTAAGTGACGGGATGGCTGTACATTGCGGCTCAATTGAGGACAGACATGCGTGTCTTCTTCAATGCATTAAATGATCAGCTTCAACATCAGCCTCTTCCCTGCACATTTAAGCGCTGTCAATGCTCAGTTAATGTTCAGTCAGTGTGGGATGGTGGTGTTCTGGCAACGTCGTCTGAAGTTGTGGTTTGGCGTAATTATTTTAGTGCTCCCCTGTATGACGACACTGCAGGGAATGTGGCCTCCTGCACAGCTAAAAATGAGAACAGAACACCTCTCTCAAGCAACCGTGTCCTTTCCCAAGCAACCGTGTCCTTTCCATCCAGGATTGAGAAACCTATCAAAGGCCCGTCCACACCCCGAAGTGCAGACACTTCGCCCCATCAAATTCACGCCCAACTTCGGACGATCAAAAAGAACACCGTACCCTTAGCGCTAGGCTTAGCCGAGAGGACAGATTTCGCTACTGGCCCACTAGAGCTGTGATAAAGCTGGGGGACCTCAAAATTCTTGACTTTCTTTCCCTCCAGACACTGACACTTCGCAACACCACCCCACCCCCATTTCCTTACATTTTCTCACACCTTGAACACTGCCTAGGTCAACGTTCATCATGGCGAGAGGCAATCAGACCTCGTTTTTTCTGGGGTTGTCCTTTGTGGCATACTTCCTTTTACTACTCTCTCCCCTCGCTTTCTTCTCCACAGTCAATGCCTCTGAGGCCCAGGACCCAATACAGGAGAGCTATGGCACAGGTAAGCATGCGCTTTGGCATTGTCCATGGCATTGGCAGATTTCAGGCAGCTACAGCTTCTAACATATCTACCAAACAGTTATCGGTATCGATTTAGGAACCACCTACTCTTGTGTGGGTGTGATGCAAAATGGCAAGGTCGAAATTCTGGTGAACGACCAGGGACACAGAATTACCCCATCATACGTCGCATTTACCGACGAGGAAAGACTAGTTGGAGACGCCGCAAAGAACCAGGCCGCTGGAAACCCAAAGAACACCATCTTTGATGTCAAGTAAGTCTTGCATACCGCCCCTCCAATTATGCCTTGGCAGTAATGCTAACAGGTGTCCTCTAGGCGTATGATCGGTCGTAAATTCTCGGATAAGGATGTTCAAGGTGACATGAAGCATTTCCCATTCGACGTGGTTGAGAAGGATGGCAAGCCAAACGTCAAGGTCACCGTCAATGGCAAGCCAAAGACCTTCACCCCAGAAGAGATTTCCGCCATGATTCTTGGAAAGATGAAGGAAGTCGCTGAGGGTTTCCTTTCTCGAAAGGTCACCCACGCAGTTGTTACTGTTCCAGCCTACTTCAACGACAACCAGAGACAAGCAACCAAGGATGCTGGTATCATTGCCGGTTTGAACGTCCTCCGTATCGTCAACGAACCTACCGCCGCAGCTATCGCATACGGTCTTGACAAGGTTGGCAAAGAGAGACAAATCATTGTCTACGATCTCGGTGGAGGAACCTTCGATGTGTCCCTTCTCTCTATTGAAGATGGTGTTTTTGAGGTTCTTTCTACCGCTGGTGACACCCATTTGGGTGGTGAGGATTTCGATCAACGTATCATCAACTACTTCGCCAAGAAATACAACAAGGAGAACTCCGTCGATATCACCAAGGACCTCAAGACCATGGGTAAACTGAAGCGTGAGGCTGAGAAGGCTAAGCGTACTCTTTCTTCCCAAAAGACTACCCGCATTGAAATCGAAGCTTTCCACAATGGCAACGATTTCTCCGAGACTCTTACACGAGCCAAGTTCGAGGAATTGAACATGGACTTATTCAAGAAGACATTGAAGCCTGTCGAGCAGGTTCTCAAGGATGCCAAGGTTAAGAAGGCTGAAGTCGATGACATCGTTTTGGTTGGTGGTTCTACCCGTATTCCAAAGGTCGTCGAGATGATCGAAGAGTACTTCAGTGGAAAGAAGGCCTCCAAGGGTATTAACCCTGATGAGGCTGTTGCTTTCGGTGCCGCTGTTCAAGGTGGTGTTCTTTCCGGTGAGGAGGGTACATCAGGTATTGTTCTTATGGACGTCAACCCATTGACTCTTGGTATTGAGACCACTGGAGGTGTAATGACTAAGTTGATCCCAAGAAACACTGTCATCCCAACCCGCAAAGCCCAGATTTTCTCCACCGCTGCCGACAACCAGCCAGTTGTCTTGATCCAGGTCTTTGAGGGAGAGAGAACCATGACAAAAGACAACAACCAGCTCGGAAAATTCGAGCTTACTGGTATCCCACCTGCGCCACGAGGAGTTCCTCAAATTGAGGTCTCTTTTGAGCTTGACGCCAACGGAATCTTGAAGGTCACCGCCGGAGACAAGGGTACCGGAAAGAGCGAGTCTATCACCATCACCAACGATAAGGGACGTCTTACTCAAGAGGAGATTGACCGTATGGTTGAGGAGGCCGAGAAATACGCCGATGAGGACAAAGCCACCAAGGAGCGCATTGAGGCCCGTAACGGACTCGAGAACTACGCCTTCTCTCTCAAGAACCAAGTCAACGACGAGGAGGGTCTTGGAGGAAAGATTGATGAGGAAGATAAGGAGACTGTAAGTTTACTTCGTTGCATTATTCATTTTGGCGCAATTACTAACAACCCTCACAGCTCACCGACGCAATCAAGGAGGCTACCGAATGGCTTGACGAAAACGCTGCCACCGCCACCGCGGAGGACTTTGAGGAACAGAAGGAGAAGTTATCGAACGTCGCATACCCAATCACCAGCAAACTTTACCAAGGAGCTGGTGGACCAGGTGGTGAGGAAGACTCTGATATCCACGATGAGTTGTAGAGGCGTTATCCCATATAGACTTCGTGTAATTTTGTTCGTCGCGCAAATCGAAAATCCATTTTCATCCGTTTTTGTGAGGGACAGGAAATACCTTTTTTATAGAATCGTACGGTTGCTTGCTTTGGTCTCTGGAATGGGCGTCTATGCTTTTGATGAAAGCAACATGGTATTTGCGATTGCATTTTGATAAAGACGACTGGGGCTGGAGCAGAGAGGACGTGCGGTGAAGGCTTTTTTCGAGATGATCCCCGTGTAAAATAAAAAGGCATTAGGAGAGAAGAGAACGAGAACGAAGATAATTTTCAATTTGATATGAGATCCCTTGGTGAATCTTGTCTTAGGATTGCTAGTCTCTGGGACTTGGACTCTTACAATATCTCCTCCGTGGTCCTCGTACCGCGAGTGATGTTTTCGGGGGGCGTAAAGTGGTTTTCAGCGACAGCAACCCCATCGAAATATTCTTTTGATATTAAGGATTGCGTGTAATCACTAACCAAGTTAAGCGAAGTCCATCTTACTCAGAAATGTCTTAATTATGTGAAACTACGCTAGAACTCAGATTCGGACCGTGGAATCCTACTTGATCTCTATATGGAAGAAACGCATTGAAATTAGGTGCTCGATAGTACAAGGAAATATCTCGCTAAGGATGAGGACTGCGCAGGAGATATGATTCTTGGTCTGTTGTTGGTAGTGTGGTAACCTGTTTGTCGCATGCTTCGATGGGCAGGTTGAGTGGTTATATACACTTCTACATAGCCTCTCGAGATTGGTTCTCTGGGATGATTCACGATTATTCTAATGCTATCGGATCGTCAAACTTCGCTGCCCTTTCCTTCTAGGTTACTTTAACTCGGTAACCTAAGATCGGCGTTGATGATTTACTATTGATCGAAAGAAGTGAAGGAATTGTATTTGGTGTTCGAAGCTGAAAACTTTTGTGTTATTGAAAACTGGGATATTTGGACTCGTTTACCTAAGAGATTTGGGTTGATAATTTTTAGTCATTGAGAAAGGTGGCATAATAAGGGAGTTGTTTATTCTTACTTTTCCTTTAATTTGGGTGCAATGTAATGTAATGTTCACCGCGGCTAGTTGTGGTTCCTAAATGTAGTCTGTGCGAGTGTATTTTTCTCCTTCTAATGGCGCGTGTACTATTAAAGTACTTTTCGAAGGTATTTCGCCGGAAATTATGCCAGGGGAAGGGGAGTTCTACTTATTTTTGGGAGGAGAAGGGTTTCGATGGAGCTGCTTTTTTGAATGAGTAGTCTCGAAGTCCTATTAGTCACTGTAAGAGAGGCGAGCATTGCTCTGTACACGCTATTAAAAGTCATTATTTTAAAACTCTGGCACAAGTAACTTAATTGGCCCATTTCACCTAGCATAATAAGAAATGAAAAGTAACAATTGTTCTAAACTACTCGTATAATTGATTTAGTTGTGTGAGGTCTTTAGTATAATAATATTTTTATAACTCAGGCGTGTACAGAGTATTTCACGCCTCTCTTACTACTATTCTTACTAGAACCTGGATTTTCCTTGAACATCTTTTGGTACGCCTCTTAAGAGATGGTAATGCAATGAAATGAACGAGGTTATTGTGAACGAGAGTCTGTAGTATCTGTTCGAGGCCATGTAGTACTGTACCTCACAGATGGTATTACCAGTAGTAATAAACAGTTTCCGTTCTGCTTCCCAGAGTCGTTCGATTATTTCGGGATTTAAAGGGGTTAAAATTTGTTATTGGGAAAGGAATCGTCGCTTCGCTTTACTTCGATTCCCAATTTCTCTGGATACATGCTACATGCCTGCTAGCGCATTCCATGTCTTGCTAGAGTATGTTACTAGCGCGTTTCCTAGTTAGCTACGTACAGTTTAGGTACTAGCTCGCTCCTATCTTAGAGAATGCAAGCCTTCCATCCCGAATCCCATCTAATAATAAAATTATTATAGGGGATGTTTAGAAGAATAGGTTTAGTTGTTATAAAAGCTTCGGGTTGCTAGAAAGATTATAACATATCCATGTGATATTTTACCAAGCGAGTTTAAGTTTTCGAATTGTTTTATTTAAGTAATAGTCGGATCGTCCTCCCTTTACGTTACCGCTTCGATGTTCTTTTACCCTACTTTAAATATATTCTACTAATTACCGACTCAGGTTATTAACCAATGTAGTATTACGACTCTACGACAAGACAAGACAGCTCTGCCCTATGATGTAAATAGCTAAGAACATTCTCCTAGGTATCTAGCTACTTCACTAGTAGGATATATACCTTTATTTCCTTAAATTAAAGTAAGTATAATCTAAGAATCCTATACTATTACTTAAAGGCTTAAACTTTAAATTCTTCTAAACTATTAAAGCTTCCCTTTACTTAAGAAAGGAAAAGAAAAATATATTTATATGCTACAGTTACTTCCTCCTAGTTCCCTATCTAATCTTTTATCGCTTTAATTATATAAGAATACTTTAAATAGATAAGTTCCTCCTTACTGTAACGAATACTCAAACTGGCTAACTAAACTTGGCTGGGTATTCGCTGGTTGGTATGCTATGATAAGAAGAAGACTATCGGGTTGTTCACTTGGAAGTGAACTCGTTACTTGTATCAAAGATGTCAAACTAATATGATAAGATTGATAACTAAGTTGAGCACGAAACTCCTATCTAATGGCAGACGTGCCAGTCTTATATAGAACCTTCGTTCTCCAAATCCTGAATGTCGACAGCGCGCGACAACTCGCTTGTCGCGCTGTCGCGCTTTCGTCACGTGACTATGAATGCTATGAAATCCTTGGATACTCAACAACCCTGAGTAACCACTGCTATGGTATAACTACTCTGGATGTATCTGTTTTGTCAGAACGCCGTCTGGACTAACTCGTCACATGCTAGCACGTGATTCGTGACACTTACTTACTAGACGTATATATACTCTAACCCTTCTAAAGAACCTAGCGGTAGTTAAGTAACTACTATATAGTATATAAATAATAAACGCGAATCCTATAACTAAGTAACGTTATAAAAAACACTCAATAACTCGAGTATAACTTAGAATAACTCTAAGTTAAGTTAAGTTAAGTATAAGTAATAAATTTATTTAGGTTAAGTTTGTTACGGAGTTGGAGGAACTGGGGGCGGATCACGTGTAGCATAGCCCGTGCGTGCTACTGGACTCCTGTATTTAGGCTCTCGTTCCTCTGGAACTCTCTTCTTCTCTCACTTAGTTGTTCGCTCAATACAGCAGTTTCCGTTTGACTCCGTATTCATCACAGCAAGCAGTGGTTCACTCCACACAGTTACAAAGTTAAGTATAAGTAGTAAATTTATTTAGGTTAAGTTAAGTAGTAGATTTAATTATTTAAGTACTAAATACTTTAAAGTATAAAGTAATTATTCTTAAATATAATCTCTTTAGTAATATTCTTTTTCTTACCTACTTATATCTATAAAGAACCCCTAGCCTTTTAAGCTAATTAAATATCTAATTTATAGAGATTTATTAGAAAATAATAAATAAGGGAGAGGAGATCGAGCCCTGTTCCGTATAAAAATATTAGCCTTCTAGCTATACTCTCGAGCCACGTGCGAGCCTAGCCAAATGACCGTTCGCTAGAAGCACGTGCACCTGTCGCTAGAATTTACCGGGGGTCGGACCTCTCGGTTAAGGCCCGGCCCGGCCTACCTCCGTACTCTGCCCTTAAGGACGGACTATAGTATTCAACTTAACTCCAGTACCGGGCGAGTTGAATTAAGTATGTTAGGTCTGAATCCACTCGAGTTAAGCTAAGTACTATAGGTCCTACTACCTAACTCGACTCAACTCATCTACAACGCTGCGCTACAACTAAGCCATCCAGACCAGGCTACTAATTTCACCATTCCAACCCAACTCCCACCCCAACACCCTCCCCCCTCAAAAACCCCCTTCAAAGGAATAAAACAAAAACAGAAAACAAGCAATCCCAAATCCCCCTTTCCTCTCTCATAAGTCTTGCTATGGTCACTTAACCAAGAAACCCAAGAAATACCTCGCACATACCTCTTTATACCGTCTCCATACCCGTCCACACCACTTCCACCTCTACCCTACCACCAGCTACCCTACCAAGAAGAAAAAACAGTGGGCCAATAATTCCCCTCACCCTTATTCAAAAACCTTCAAACCTTCAAACCCTCAAACCTCCAAAATCCAAATTTCACGAATCAGAAATTCAGCCTCGCTCCTCGAGAAATTACAGTACACCAACAAACCTCCCGCGTCGCGAGCCGCCTTCGTATAATATACTTCTACTAGAAGGTAAATCCAGAATTCTAGAAAATGCCTATGCTGGGATACCAGGGGTTTTACATCATCAGAAAGTAGTAGGTACCTATATTCTAGGCTTCTACATTCTACATCCTAGGTTAACAAAAAGGTTAATTTTAATTTTGATTTTAATTTTAAATAGCGAAATACGAATGAAAGGAAGGATGATTATGATTATGATTATAATTTATACGACTTACTTTGAAGTAAATACCCTGATTTGAGGGTCTCGTACGATGTTACTATAGAGAAATGATGGATAACTTTTTATATTGATAATTATTGGCCTAACTTGTCTCGAAGGACGCTGAGAATTTGCTTAATTATATATGACCACTCCCCTGTTCCAGGTTCCATCTACCCACTACTACCTTTTGCCCTGTGAAACTCTCTTCTATTCCTTGCGCTACCCTTGTTGTGTATAATTGAAGGGATATATACGTTTTACTTCGTAGAGGTAATTTAACCCTGGATATCGATATCGATACTACTTTTCTCCTAAGTTATAGAACGCCTGACTCGAGGGTATAACAAGGCGGGAGCAAGGTGGGGGGGAGGGGG